ATATTATACCAGGAAATCTATCAGGACCTAACCAACCACAGATTAGAGAACTACTTAGATTCTGTGACAAATTTTCACTCAATCAGCAGATATCGGAGCCAACGAGAAATGAAAATAGTCTAGATCTGGTCTTTACGAACAATGAAGACATTATCAGGGACATTACGATATCAGATACCACATATTCAGATCACAAGCTCATTGAAGTGCAAACGACCATCAATACTCAGAATAGACCTAAAACGTTGATAAAGCGAGAGGGGCTATTCAGTAAATTCAATTTTAATAATAAAAGGATAGACTGGGAGATAATAAACAGGGAACTTACAAACATTCCATGGGGAACTGTTCTAAGTACTGTAATACAAGTCCTACAGAAGGAATAGAAAAACTGACTTCAGAAGCGTATCAAGTCTGTCTGAAACATGTTCCTTTGAGGAAAGCCAGAAAGAGATCTAACGTAGAAAGAGAACGCAGACGACACTATAAACGCAGGAAAAAAATAACGGAACTGCTTATGCAGACACGAATTTCACGTCAAAGAAGGAATAATTTAAATAGGGAGATTGAAGCAATCGAGCGGAAATTGAAACACTCATATGAAACTGAAGAAAGGCAGTTAGAACAGAAAGCCATTCAGGAAATAAAGAAAAATCCAAAATATTTCTTCTCATATGCGAAATCAAACGCAAAAACCACTGCCAGTATTGGACCTATTCGTACAAGTGAAGGTTCATACACGGAGGATGACAAAGAAATTAGTGAAATCCTAAAAAAGCAGTATGAGGACATGTTTAGCACTCCAATAAACAACATGAAGGTGGAAGATCCAGACAATTTCTTTATGCGGGATATTCAAACCCCTGTAAATATAACTGATATAAACACGAGCGCACTAAATTTTGAAAAAGAAATTGAAAACATGCCCATGCACTCGGCCCCAGGTCCAGACTCATGGAATTCAATATTTATAAAGAAATGCAAAGTGCCGGTAGCACAGGCACTCAGTATAGTGTGGAGGAAGAGCTTGGACACGGGGGAGATACCAGATGCACTTAAAGTAGCAGACATAGCCCCTCTACACAAGGGAGGGAGCAAAGCATTGGCAAAAAATTATAGACCAGTTGCACTAACATCGCACATCACAAAAGTATTTGAGAGAGTGATTAGGAGTCAGGTCACCAATTTCATGGAGACCAATGACCTTCACAACCCAGGCCAACATGGATTTCGAGCGGGAAGATCGTGCCTCTCACAGCTACTTGAGCACTACGACAAAGTCACTGAGGCATTAGAAGAGAAACAGAATGCTGATGTGATATACACGGACTTCGCAAAGGCTTTCGATAAATGTGACCATGGCGTGATAGCACACAAAATGAAGTCAATGGGAATAACCGGTAAAGTAGGACGCTGGATACTCAGTTTTCTGTCAAACAGGACTCAGCGAGTAACTGTCAACCATATAAAATCTAGTCCAAGTGCAGTGAAAAGCTCTGTACCTCAGGGTAGTCCTTGCACCGTTGCTTTTCCTTATTCTCATATCAGATATAGACAAAAATACAAGTCACAGCTTCGTATCATCCTTTGCAGATGACACAAAAATCAGTATGAAAATTACCTCGGCTGAGGACATTGAAAAACTTCAAGCTGATATTAATAAAGTTTTCGACTGGGCATCAGAAAATAACATGATGTTTAACAGTGATAAATTCCAGGTACTCAGGTACGGTAAAAATGAGGACCTTAAACATAATACAGAGTACAAAACACAATCAAATGTACCCATAGTAGGAAAACAGCATGTAAAGGATTTGGGAATAATAATGTCTGACGACCTAACGTTTAAGGAGCATAACCAAGCAAATATTGCGACAGCCAGAAAAATGATAGGATGGATTACGAGAACTTTCAAATCCAGGGATCCCATCACAATGGTTGTACTCTTCAAGTCACTTGTGTTGTCCCGTCTTGAGTACTGTTCAGTACTCACTTCCCCCTTCAGAGCAGGAGATATTGCTGAAATAGAGGGAATACAGAGAACATATACGACACGCATAGACGCAATAAAGCACCTAAATTATTGGGATCGTCTCAAAGCCCTCCAAATGTACTCACTAGAAAGAAGACGAGAGAGATATCAAATAATATACACCTGGAAGATACTGGAGGGCCAAGTACCAAATCTACACAGTAAAATAACAACGTACTGGAGTAAACGATTTGGAAGAAAATGTAGAATAGAACCAGTGAAGAGCAGAGATGCCATAGGCACAATCAGAGAACACTGTATAAACATCAGAGGTCCGCGGTTGTTCAACGTCCTCCCAGCAAGCATAAGAAATATTACCGGAACAACCGTGGACATTTTCAAGAGGAAACTAGATTTATTCCTCCAAGGAGTGCCGGACCAACCGGGCTGTGGTGGGTATGTGGGCCTGCGGGCCGCTCCAAGCAACAGCCTTGTGGACCAAACTCTCACAAGTCAAGCCTGGCCTCGGGCCGGGCTTGGGGAGTAGAAGAACTCCCAGAACCCCATCAACCAGGTATCAACCAGTAAAATCCATATTAACAACTGTGAAAAGCTTAGTCCCCCAAGCTACCGTATTTGCTCCAGTACATTTATTTCCTCATCCCCATATCATAGAAAAGGACACAAACTATAGTACTGTATCATCCTTTGCAGATGACATTAGAATTTTCATGAGAGTAGACAATATAGAGGACAGGACACAAACCTCCAATTGGATGTTAATAAAGTCTTTCAATTGGCTACAGAAAATAACATTATTTAAATGATAATAAGTTCCAGTTACTGCACTATGGAAAAAATTAAAACATCAAAACAAAAACCCCATATAAAATGCACTCAACCCATACTATTGAAAGGAAAAATAATGTAAAAGATTTAGGAGTAATCATGTTGAAAGAAATTGTAAAATTGTTAAATTGCTGTGGTCACAAGCTGAACAGCAGTGCTATGAGCTCATGCTGCATGTGCCAGCCTTGATGGCTCACTCAGTGCCGAGGTCCTAACACCCGGGAATGTTGCCCAGGATATTTTTTTTAATGGCGTCTGTTTACAAGAACCCTGATGAAGGTGAGGTGAACCCAGTGTATCCGCAAGCTGATTAAATATTGCGTAGTACTCCAACACATATGATGTAATGTGCAATTTTGGGTAAGCTACTCAACACATACGATGTTTTGTGCAGTTTATGGGTTAAAGAACACAATAAAGAAGCTGTCACAACTGCAAGAAAAAGGACAAGTTGGATAACAAGCACCTTTCAAACTAAAGCTGCCTCACTGATGATGATGCTTTTTAAGACACTAGTGTTCTCTTAGAGTGGAATATTTTTTCACACTAACAGCACCATTCAAATCTGGAGAAATTGCTCCCCTGGAGAGCATGCAAAGAACTTTTACTGTTAGAATCCACTCAATAAAATCTCTAAATTATTGAAACCTCTTAAAATTGTTAAATCTGTACTCCCTAGATCACAGGCATGAGAGATACATAATAATTTATACTTGGAAAATATTAGAAGGACTTGTTCCAAATCTGCACACAGAAATAACTTCACATATGACCAGAAGGCATGGCAGGATGTACAAAATAGACCAATGAAAAGCAAGAGGTGCAATGAGCATTTTGAGAGAGAGCTTATCTATTCAAAGGCCCAAGATTTTACACCACTTTACCACCTACACATACAGGGCTTTACTGGCTGACTACTCAGTGTTCAAAAAGAGAACTTTAGAAACATCTTCTAAGAATATCTGATCAACCAGGCTGTGACTTATACATCAAGCTGCGAGCAGCCACATCGAAGAGATTGGTTCACCAGACCACCAACCAGGAGACCTGACCTCCACGAGGACAATGATCTGAGAACAGTGAATCGACAGGAGACTGAATTTGTAGTATAAACAGCACCTTTACCACAAAGCTAATTTTGTTTTGGAGCAGCTGCATGGTTAGATAAGAAATTTAATTTCCTAAAATAAAAGCTAACCTTAGGTTAGATTATGTCAGGCAGTTTCTATTTGCAGTTGTATGCAGAGCGCAATGAACAGCTCTACACGAGATGTCACTATTGTATACACTGCTTTTTCAATACACAACACGGTATAATTGATCTTCACTGGTTTCAAGTCAAATGCATAGGCTATTAACTGAATCCAAACAGTACTTGTGAACCTGCAACATGGCAAAACTACTACTGTACATATATACGAGTGTGTACACAAGTTGTAATCATCACTGAAAATTAGGGAAGTGTAGAAATGAAGGCCCATATAAAATTCTGGATTATTAAATACAATACTTTATTTTTGCAAATATGTACTGTGTGTGTTTGTTTTGTGTGTGTGTTTGTTTTAATAATTTTTATATTATAATATATTATAATATATATATATATATATATATATATATATATATATATATATATATATATCTGAGGAGCTGGAGGAACTCGACAACCTATGATAACCATCTTTGTAACCTATATTTAACTCCTTTTTTGTAACAAAGTTCAAATAAAGTAAATATATATGTGTACATACAAAAGAATGGGGGTGGTAGGAGAAGATAATATTAGTGTTCAGTGAGAAACCACAAGGTCTCCTCTGAATACTTTTTATTTTCTTCTCCGAGGCTATGGGTCCCCACATTGGTACCCTCACAAACTTATATTATATATATATATATATATATTATATATATATATAATATACATACACACACACACACACACACACACATACATACACACATACATACACACATACATACACACATACATACACACACATACATACACACATACATACATACATACATACATACATACATACATACATACATACATACATACATACATACATACATACATACACACACACACACACACACACAGTATATATAAACACAACCATTCAAAATATTATGAATTAAAAAACATAATGAAATAATTGGTTTATAAAACTAATGATCTTTTGGGGGCATCTTTTGCATGCACTATCCTGGTTTTTCGCAGAAAATTACTTAATACATTGATAGCCAAAATTATAAAAAAAAAAAAAAAAAAAACAATTGCACCCATCATTCAGACAACAACACTATATGATAATAGCTATAATGTACAATTGTATGAAAATGAAGTATACTATACAAAACTTTCTTTCCTTCATGGTAAAAGTTTATACTACAGTACTGTACACACATTGCATAAAAAGTATATTTGCAGGCAATGGTTCCTACATTCATGGTAGTACACCAGTACTTCTACACCTTTCTTGAGTCTTGTCCATCTGAAGTTGAGATCATTATTTCTTTGTATTCCTTATCAATGAACATCTATATATGCAGTACTGCATACAACCTATCTTTAACACAAAGTTCCCTGTGGACACTAGCATTTCCCGAGAGATCTCAGGTAGAATTCTACATATGTCTTGCATGCTTTCAACTATTGAAGGTGTGAAGGACCACCTGATATATTTACTAAATAAATCCACATGCATGTTAGTAAACCCAGAAGTAAAAGTAGGTAGTACTGAATCATTTCCTTGCACCAAGATAGGGAACTGTGTAAATTAAGGAAACATTACTTGAGAGTACTGTACTGAGAAATAAGATTGGACAGTAAAGCATACATTTCTTGAGTGCTGAGAAATTTTACTTCTTGTTAGACCTAATATAATTTATTTCACACCTACATTACTGCTGCCAAGTCTGAATAAAAGATTTTATTGACTGTGTGCAAACACATACTGCATACTCTTTTTTACTACAGAATATATTTGTAACAATTTACCTTAAACAATTTCCTAAATCCTGTTATCTAGACTAGTAATCTCTATGAAATGAAATATTAAATTCTCACCAAATATTTTTTAGAGAAGATGAAAATAATGATCTCAAATTTCTAGGTTATCTTTATATTAAACATTGACAAATATTGAAAGAAATACTGTAGTCTGAAGACAAGAGCATCAATGCTAATTGCATATCAAATGTAGGATTAAATAGCTATTAAAAGCACTTGGAAGAACTAAAAATGTGACTTACATGTACTCTCATATAAGATACCTAAATGGATGGCACCCGGTTAATCAATAAAATAATTTTTCAGATTAAAAAATACATAGTATCAAGACCCTCTAATGAGCATTATCACATTAGCACAACTGATACAGTTGCCATTATGTTTACTAGTATTTAAACCTCGTATATATACAGACAAGTAACAAATTAACCTGAAAAAGATGCAAAAATTAACACTTAATAGTTTTGACTCCCTTCATGTACCATATTGCTTTAAATTACTGAATTGATTATTTCTTACTATATGGAATATATATTTATGGTCTAAATAATGTTAGTAAATTAGCAATGTAATATTATACTAACATTGTCTCTCTAATAAGGCTTGAAGCATACAACAGGTATGATCATATAATTGTCTAAACTACATTATGCAGTTGACATCAGATTTTCTCACAAGCACCTATTTTCGAATATATTGAGCAAACTTATGCAGGTGTTCCACCACTACAGCTACAACAGCATTAACCGAGTCATCGATGAGTCCCTGCATATAGCTGACTGCCTCTTCATCACTCAAATCTAATCGGAACTTGTCTTCTACTTTTTTCACAGTTTTATCAGGCTCTAAGGCAATGTCTGGCACATTTGCATCCACCATGAGAGAGAACAGATTGAGTATTAGGTTTGCATGCCGGCGAAGTTGGTGAAAAGCAGTATAGCAAAGTTTACGAAATTCGTGATAATGTTCAGACTGTGCTCCTCCCATGCCTTCAACCATTTCTTTGCTAAGCTTCATAGGAGGTGGAAGTGGCTTTGGATCCCTTCCAAGAATGTATCCAAAATCAATATGAAAGAGATTCCCATTCCTTGTCAAAAGTAGATTATCCAAGTGTCGATCACCAATGCCAAGCAAATATGTGATGACACAATAGCCAGCACAAGATTTTATGTACGTGTCCATTACCTCTGGAGCAATACCATATGGACCCGTTTCTGAAGAAGCATGCTTACGGAAGAAGTTCTGGATTCCTCCTTCAGTGCGTAAAACCTAAAAGAAACAGATGTTACCAATACACAAAGAAATTACAAATACTGTACTGTACATAAAAAAAAATCACAATAATGTGATATATCTATGAGAAAATCATTGGGGCCGAACGGGGATCATGATTTCCTTGTACATTTTAAGGGAGTGTCTGGCGGAGAACTCCATTACCTACACAAGAGGATTACAATATATGCAAAACCTGAGTTGGCTACCAGATCAGTGCCTCCAGACTCTAAAGTGGATTTAGTATAATCCCAGGTTGTATAATCTTTACCATGTTGTGGTCCATGGGTAAAGCACGTGGATGGGAGTACTCAGGTCACTGGTTTAATTCCTGTATTGCTCCCATCATTTTCTCACAGATGTTACTAAAATAATCCTGATAATAATGAAGTTTGTTAACAATCAAGCATTGAATATCTTGTTATGGCTGGAAAACAAGTGTACAGTGTTGAACAAAGCAGTAGAAGAGTTAATGTGTTCGGTGGGATGATGAAGTGGCAAGGAATTTAAAAGTATTAACCTGGCATGAAAAAAAGAATGAATAAATGATGAGCTATAACTAAAAGTAAACAAAATTTGTCTGAAAAATATAAATAGCTTCAGGAAAGAAGAAAAAAGTCCAGCTGTGAAAAAAGCCAGTGGGTATATAAAGCTCTGCAATAGGAAGGGAAACTACAAAAATTACGATTCCCGTGGAGAGAGTTACTGTATCTCAAAGTCTGATAACTAAAGGATTGAAATAAAAATAACTGAAGGATTGAAAAAAGTGCAAGTTTAAATAAGATTGGTTTTCTTGGTGTGAGAGGAGTACAGAATAAATTACAACAAGGTATAATATATTTTTTGGAAAAGAGAAACGTGCAGAAACTGAAATGTGCATTTTAAAAGTGTGGATGAGATGTACAGTGGAACCCCAATTATTCAGATCCCCCATTTTCCAGATTCTCAAATTATCTAGACCAAAAAATTGATGTTCTCCACCTTCATTAACAGAACCTATTTAATTTATAGGGTTAATCCTCATTATCTATAAAATCTCTTTGCAATTCATCATCAGAGGACCCTTTTTTATACTAAAAATCACAAAAATTTAAATGGTTCTTACATACATAATAAGCACAATCCTATTAAAACACCCTTACAGGTATTTTTAAAATAGCATTATATAAATACCAAAATAACCAAAATGGCTGAAAAATTACATTTCAGTCCTTTATTCAATTACAGTACCGGACCTTTGTTATTTGGGCATCAAGAGGTATGAATTAGTTCAGATTATTGAGGTAACACTGTATACAGAAAATATTATATGATGAAGAGATATCATCATCACTACTCCATATCCCACTTTCATGGAGGTAAGGAGGCATTAGCTTTAAAGCAATAAGAGAACAGGGACAAAAGATCCACCAGTGTTTGAATCTATTTCTGGAAAAAGTTCCCACACAGAAGAGTAGCTATGGAGTAGGTTGCAAGACCCAGGGGCCGGATTCAGGAAGGTACTTACGAAGGTTTTTCCTCTTAGCTAAGAGCGAATTCCTTCTTAGCGCCTTCGTGGCGGCTAGGTCCGTATTCAAGTAGGTACCCTAAGTGGAAAAACCTTCGTAAGTTCATTCCGGGATTTAAGTGTGGTTTCGACCACTCGTAGCTTTACGTAAACTGGATATAAGTCATTTTTTCTCTACTACATAACACTGGGATCGATTTATGATATTGGAACATGACCAAAATATTATAGCTGGTGAATCTAGTGAAGAGGAATCCTTCGTGTTAGTTATATATGCATTCTCTGCTTGAAACTTGAAGTAAATATGTGTTTGATGATAGTAGAATTAGTTTTATAATAGCAAGATATTATACCAGTAGTTATTAAGTAAATAAACACTGGTGAACATGAAATATGAGAGAAGGTGATGAGCCCTGCCTGATGGGATCATTTACTATCACCAAATGCCCCTGTTCACCTAGTAGTAAGAGTGTACCTTAGCTATACATACCCATTTCTAATTTATTTAGTTTGGTTTTATTTTGAAATTAAATCTGGGTGAGACATAAAATAAAAATATGCTGCACAAATGATGTTAGGTAAGGAGAAGGGTAAAAATGTCACAAACTTTATTCATTGAATACTTAAAGCTATAATTATGACTATATACTGTAGATTATTAAAAAAGAGAGAGGGAAGTAGGGGTCCAAAACCTCTTCCTGTTATACAATTTGGGTGTGGAACAAGTAATTATCAAAAGAAGGCACCATGCCGGGAAGGCTATGTAGCAGTAAGGCAGTGAGGTGAGGCAGCTACTTATTTGAGAAATGCTTATTTTATTTACCTTATAAGCTGAGGCAACTTATTTTATTTGAGGAATACTCAGCTGATTCCTCTACATTTAGCATGGAACAAATTTGTGTCCAAGACCTCTTCCTGTTACTCAATTTGGCTGTGTGTAACCAAACTAGAAGTGCTCTACAAATCAAGGGACCCAGAATGTGGAATGACCTCCCGAATCATGTCAAAGGCTGTACCTCTCTCAACCAGTTTAAGAGTTAAACCAAGTACTGCCTAATTAACTCCATGTAACCTAACTTACCTCCTAAATGTCAACCCATGTCTTGCTATTTTTTAAACAACGCTGTTCACCAACATGTGCAATTGCTGAGTTATGCTATGCTAACCCCCCTTTTTGTATTTTTTATTCCTTCTTTCAACACAATTTATACCTAATCCCGATTACAGGCTGTACTAAGTTTTAGTCTGTGTTTTTTCCCCCACACCTTGCCCGAAATGCTATGAGTATTAGTGGCTTTAGGTATTGTATGTACTAGCTCTGTCTATAAATCCAACATTATGTTTGTAAATCAACTGTATGTACTTTTCCTGAATAAAATGTATTTATTATTTATTTTTTAATCAGTAAGTATTAAAAGAAGGCACCAAGCTGGGAAGGCTATGTAGCACCATTGTGTGTAACAATAAACCAAATTTTTTTTAACAAATAATGCACCTGTATGGTAAAACAAATCCTGTCAGCTGTAAAAATATTGATGCAGTTATTTAAATGAAAAATATAATGAAAGAAATATTACTGGTTTATTTTTATCCTATCTTTTTGTACTGTACAGTATATCCAAGGAAGTGAAAAATTGAGACATAATACACAATTTAATGAATGATTAGCATGGATTAGCAGTTCAAAAGAAATATGACTTGTATTACATATCAACATGAGATCTTAATGATCCATGGTCAACATGATTTAATAAGGATAATACAGTACTGTATTTGTAATAATACAAACTATAATTTAAAATCTTTATTACTGATTTTTTTTATTAAGAAGATTAGGTATACACAGCAATGTGCTGCTACCCTATTCTATATGGAATATTACACAGTGTAGATAAAAAACTAGCTATAAGTTTATCTAATACTCCCATCTCAAATACCAGCCTCAATAGAAAAAACAAATCAACTCTGACTAAACAACTCTAAGCAATTTTCACAAGAGGTAAGCACTGAATCATGGAAACATTATATTATAATTACTCTTACCAGTTTCTACAAAACTCCTCTCAAACAATGTATTTTTAAACATGTTTAGGTATACACAGCAATGTGCTGCTTCCCTATTCTGTCTAAAGGACCACACAGTGTAGATCAAAAACCAGCTACAAGCTCACCTCACAGGATGGCCAGTCATACATGGAATTAGGAGAGAACAAAATACTTAATGCTGATCTATTAGCCTCCACTGGCAAAATCTGGGTGCAGCACAAGAATATCTTCCAATATTCCTGAGTGTATGAAGTAATTACAGAGCTCAAAATACCTCATACCATTTGGTATGAAGTCACTGATAACAGGACAATCACAGATATAGTGTTGGAGAGTATGTTCTCTCAAGTAGGACTGAAAACAGATGTTTTTTCCACCAAGAGGGCTATAAACCCATGGAACCGCCTACCCGCTGAAGCCGTAAATGCCAAATTCCAGCTAAAAAATGTAATTAAGACCATTGGCGGGCCCTTCAACAAGCCGCCGGCTTTCTGTCCTCTTCGAGGTCACTAGATAGTTAGTGGCCCTTGGGTAAATTCAGTAAATATATACAATAATTGTCAGCGCATCTTCCGAGCAACAAGGACAGCTACACAGTATCTCTTAGAATTACGTAGGTAAACAACAAATGTAACATATTTGTTTACTACAATGTCGGTGCTGGCTGTAGAAGTTGAAAAAACATTGTTTTACTTCGAAATATACTAATTTTATAAGAAAATTCGACGTAAATAGGAGGCAGTAGAGCTGCGATAAGCCAGCGCTAAATCTTCAATATGAAGAATGTTGCTGCTCTCTGATTGGCCAAACGAAACACAGTAGTGACCTCTATCGGCACGCAGGTGAACCAACAATTTTTCTTCCTAAGTATACCTTATTGAATAGCACCTAAGCATCTTCTTAGGGCGCACTTAGGAACCTTCGTAGCAAACCCACTTACGAAGAAATACACAGAGCTTCCTGAATCTAGGTCCTGGTACTACTTCCTATGAGTAGTACCAGGAATAACTTTGTGTTAAAGATGTGTGTACATATACAGATGTGTACATAGTGAAGATGTGTTCACTATGACACTGTAGGCCTATATACAGTACACAATTGCTGTTTTGTCAATTATGTGTACATAAATTGAGTTCAACACAAATAATACATTATATAAAGTAATAAGCAAAGCCACAAACATAAAACCCATCCAACTTGAACATAAGCCTCCTTGCCTTCCCTACATGACTAGTCAGCAAACTGCATATATTGTTGGAATCGGTGATGTCCACACCCAGCTCTCTCCTAACATACATAAAACTAGAAAAGACTTAGATATTCTTTGCCTTTGTCTTATCTTTTGCATGCAAATGTATCCTTCTATAAAAATAAAAAACTTTTCTTATTACAAACATGAGGGGACAGTTTTGATGATAGCTGCTCTTTAAAGGGTTAACCCTGGAAACACAAATCATAACTGCCTTTATTTTCAGCTTGTTACAACTTGTAATAAAGTTGTTACATCTTGGCTTAACGTGTTTATGACGTATTAGAACGTTGTTACATCTTGCTATATTGGTTGTTATAACTGGTTAGGAGGTATTAAAACTTATTCGAACGTTGTACCAACGTCGTAGTTTCGGTGTGTGTTTGGCGGGAAGAACCTTTGATTTATCTGTCTAACTGCTACAATTAACAGCTAGTTTAGAGAATTGTCTGGATCCACATTTATTGGGTCACCATTCCATAAAAGTGAAGTATGATTACCTTTACCTTGACGTTAACTTGAGGTGTTTTCGGGGCTTAGTGTCCCCGCGGCCCGGTCGTCGACCAGGCCTCCTTGTTGCTGGACTGGTCAACCAGGTTGTTGGGCGCGGCTGCTCGCAGCCTGACATAAATCACAGCCTGGTTGATCAGGTATCCTTTGGAGGTGCTTATCCAGTTCTCTCTTGAACACTGTGAAGGGTCGGCCAGTTATGCCCCTTATGTGTAGTGGAAGCGTGTTGAAAAGTCTCGGGCTTCTGATGTTGATAGAGTTCTCTCTCAGAGAACCTATTGCACCTCTCTTCTTCAATAGGGGTATTCTGCACATCCTGCCATGCCTTTTGGTCTTGTGTGATGTTATTTCTGTGTACAGGTTTGGGACCACCACCTCTACTATTTTCCATGTGTTAATTACTATGTATCTCTCCCACCTGCACTCGAGAGAATACAGATTTAGACTCTTTAGTCGGTCCCAATAGTTTAGATGTTTTACAGAGTGAATTCTTGCAGTAAAGGATCTCTGCACTCTCTCCAGGTCAGCAATTTCTCCAGCTTTGAAAGGGGCTGTCATTGTGCAACAGTATTCCACTCTAGAGAGCACTAGCGTCTTGAAAAGTATCATCATCGGTATAGCATCTTTAGTGTGAAAGGTTCTTGTTATCCAACCTGTCATTTTTCTAGCAGTTGTGATGGCTACTTTATTGTTCTTTAAAGGTAAGGTCTTCTGACATGAGTACACCCAAATCCTTTACATTGCCTTTTTCTATGTTATAATTTGACTGCGGTTTGTCTGTGGTTTCCGTTTTTATATCTTCATTCTTTCTGTAGTGTATAGGCTGGAACTTATCTTCGTTAAACACCATATTTTCTGTAGCCCACAGAAAGACCTGATTTACATCTGATTGGAGGTTTGCCACATCCTCTATGTTCTCATAAAAACCCTAGCGTCATCTGAAAGCTATTGAATAACATACTGTGTATAGTCATCTGGTTGCTATTCAATATACATACTATACTATACTGACCTCACTGCTCAGTAAACAGGTGGCTGTTAGTTTCATTGAGTTACAGTGGGTGAGGGAATGTACCAGTGTTATGGTACAGCGACTGTGGATATGGGCATATTCCATCGTGTACGTGTGTAGTGGCCACAAGGCATGTCTGGTGGAGCTTGACTAAACACTTGAATCATCATCATTTGGCATTAGAACAATTTTCCTTACTCTTACACAAAGTAGCCCTATTGAAGCTATCAAATTATAAGAAGGAAAATAGGAAAAAGTATAAGGAAAGACAGCAAGCCAGGTGAGCAACTAGCTATTAACAGTCAGGAGCACCAGAACAATACTGGGCAGCCTAGTTAAGTTTCAGGTATTGCTTGAATGTGGTTTTTTGTGTATAAAGAAATGTATTATACTCTTATGACCATTCAGAGATGAATTGAGAATTCTTCAGTGTTTCCCTTCCTCCTGCTATTGCCAGGTGTGGGCATTTAGAAAATATTCCTATTGCATCTGGATATGGAAGCATAGGCTGGAGTTCACAATACAATGGACATGTGCTACTGCCTGAAGGTATGGTGGCTTATGTATAAGTGCATTATACCCAGAAATGATTGACAAAACTAACTTGTCAATGACACACACTGTAGCGGCTGACCACCAAGTGTGTGCCATACCTTCACTATGACATTTTTGTTATCTCTGTATATCCTGCATATTTAAACTAGATTTCCATAAATTAATATTTATATTTATTGTAATTTGAATGCCATTAAAGTGACCAATGAAAGATGATTTTACCCTACCACAAATTCACAATTGGCTATCATATTAGTGGCATTCTGATACAGTATAGAATGACTTCCAAACTGTGAAGCAAGAATGCTGTAATGAGAATTTCCATGGTTTAATTCTCAGTTTTGGCAGCTTTATCATTGCTCAGTGCTCAACACCTTCCAGCTTGTATATATTCAGTCATACCAAATTTCTAATGTTATACCAATAAGACTTTAAACCCTATTAGCTTACTCTTTTGGTACATTGTCTGATTGCATAATTTATTTGAACAATAATTACAAGTATATTATAGAAAGCATTGAAAAGGCCTTGTTTCCAACATATCAGAAATGACCACATCTGGAGGGTTGGTAATGTTCATATTTATCCAATTCATATTGTATGCTGGTGAAAAACAATGGAAAAATAATGTGTCCGATTTCATGACAACGTTGGATGAAATGTAACACATACAAGGGGCAACAATCTCAAGCCACAATGTAGAACAGGAAATAGATGCTTTTCCACCAACAGGGTTATAAACCCATGGAACCATCTACCTACCAAAGTCGTACAGTATATCCAAAACATTACTGAAGTTCAAAATTAAGTAGAAAAAATGAGGAGAGAGAGACCTTTGGCTTCCTGTTGCTATCAAAGCCACTATATAGATGGTGACTCAAATTCAGGTAAATAGGTGAGATTGTACAGGTTATTGTAGTGAATCTATGAGAACATCAAGGAGATGAGGGTATTGACTGACATAAGATGATAAATAAAGATGAAAGTGAGAACTGGTACCTGACAGAAGCTGTAGGTAAGACTTCACTGAGGATGACTAGATACAGTAAATCGACTAACTTTTCAATAGTCTGTGCATCTAAAAGTCATCATCCCAAGAAAGTAATAGCTTTTATATTTCTATGATTCAAAGTTTACAAATACACCAAGACTTGGCAACTCTCCTACTTCTAAGTATCAACACAAATCATATTTGAAACAAACTACTTTAAATAAAAAAATATTCCCAACTCATCTCACAATAGTGTTTGAATACACTTCTTTAATGTAAGAGGTTAAAGAAATCTAATGAGCAACAAAATTGCCAAAGTACAAATATATAAATAAAAAATACTTTTACACAGTACTGTACTATACTTACATCTGCGACAGCATGAGACTCAATAAACTGAACAAAGCCATGCTTGCTGCTCGTAGCTAAAACCTTATAAGGGGTGAGTCTAAGGTCCAAGTTCTCTCGACGCAGAAGTCTATCCATCAGTGTTATTATCTGAAAGACAAAGGAGAATATGAGGAGGACTGATAGACATAGACTGATTTGTATGCATACAAATCTCTGCTTATGCCTTTATAATCAAAATATTATCCAATATAAACGTCTACTATTATCTTGGTGTTTCTTTGCATTGTTGTGAAATGTTGTTACTGGCATTATACAAGTCTACAACCTTAAATGCCCTCTCTTAGGAGTGTCCCATTCCTTGAAGGACTCCACCAAGCAAAATCAATTACAGGAAATTCAGTTATCTTTATATAACAAAGAAATAAGAAGCATAACAGAATTTGAAGACAATGATAATGGTCCGGACCGAAACGTCGTCGTTTCTTCATCTTTTGATGTGTGGTCTGGTCATCATATCTTCAGCCACGATATTGTGACTCTTCATCTGCAATTATGATGCAGGGAATGGATTGTTTTGCCTTTGCCACCAGCTAAGACATAACTTCAGTAACAACAGAGTAGATGCCGGTTCTGCCATTTACAGGTCTCTCCTCAGGCCACCCCCCCACCCCACACACACACACCAAAAGCATTTGTTGATCTAGTATACATTCTAAACCCTGGTGATCTCTTTTTCAATGACTCCTCTCTTCCTATTAGGTTTTCATTATTTACATTTATCATGACTTTCTATTTTCCTTCCTACTTTCCTTCTACTATTATATTTACAATACAATACTTGCTCAGACAGTTCTCAGATTTTCAATACTGTACTACCTTATTTCTCTGTAAGAACAATGGCCGACTACTCCACAAATGAAAGCCAAACTAATACAGTACTGTATGTAAAATTCTTCATCAATGTATATATTCATAGGAAGCCCATGATCCTACCAAACATCCAACACTTAAAACTGACTGAAGTATCCTGAGAAATTCTCAGCAAGACCACCTTCTAAAGAAACTTGAGTCCTCTGAGAGTGAGTGTGCTTCATCAGCAAATGTAGATACAAATTTTTTTAATTTATAAAAAGGACAGTTGTGCCTCAAATAGGACCAGACAGGACTTGGCCAAATGGGATACTTCAGAAAGGTGAGTTTTGTAGGTAACTGGCTGTCTTCCATAATGACCTGGAAGAAATAGGAATGTTTCAAGAGCTCAGCCAATGCTGTACACCACTGGAAGACCTAAAAATAAATATAGGGACATAGTGACTTGCCTTTACACACACACACAAACATTAAATATTAATACAACACAAAATAATAAAGCACATTAGAGACATGCTATATGTTTCTTCCTGGTCCTAGGACTGCTAACCCTGCCATATTTACAATCAGGAAGAATGCAAAGGGTATTATGTTGCGGTCACAACGTTTTCATCCGGTGGTCACCATGAGCATTGGGTTACCGAGCAGATAGTTGGCTGTTAGGCGGAGAACTCCATTGGTGGTCACATGTGATTAGAAGGGGAAATACCTTACATGACTTGAATTTATATTGAATGCACCTTTCTCAGTCATTCTGGACCGAAGTGTGTTCATCTCCAGTGATCTCCTAGCTTCATTAATCACCTTACACAGAGTTTGAAAAGTTCCCTGTGGTGCTGGTGCTTAAAGTATCTCCTGCTTCAATTACCATAATCCATTTCCAGAGGACAAAGGGGATTTAACCTAACAAGGAATCAAAATCTTAAAGCTCAGAAAACTTTATCATAATATATTATTATTATTATAATATATAATATATAATATAATATATATATATATATATATATATATATATATATATATATATATGTATGTATGTATATGTATGTTGCACTGTATATATAAACAAATTATTATTTTAAATGTGTTTTTAAAGAGTGAAGGCTTTTAATGGCTCAATGGTTTGTGACACCACAATTTAGTCACCTGAATAATAAGTTGATCCTGACGTAAGTCGTCTCCATGTTTGAAAATTGCAACATATTCCTCTCCTGATACCGTGTTGAATGTTAGTCGAGATGGCTCCAAGGCCGATTTGAATAGAGTAGCTCGTTCCGTCATAATTCCAGTAACTATTACCTGAAGATAGTAAACAAATTATACAATAACTTAGTATGGATTCTCAACACTCTTTGCTTAGTACTGTACATTTTGTTTTTTGCCATAAAATTTACTAGAATACATTCCAATTATAATTCACTATGTAAAACCTGTTTAATCAATTGAAGATAAGAAAGCTTGACTTGCAATCTCTAGAAAGATGAAGAGTAAAAGGAATGGATGCATGACTGAAGTATACAAATAGAGAAAAGGCATATAAATAGTGGAACCTCGGTCTATGAATGCCCAAGAAAACAAATTTTTGGGTGTAGGACGTCAACTGCATCGCAAAATTTGACCCAGTGTAAGACGTCTGCTTCAGAGTACGAGTCATTTGTTGATACTTGTATGGGTCAGGCACGTGGGTTCTGCTGGGCGCAGGGTGAGACACACTCAGTTTACCGGTGTATCTCGCCTCGTGACGACCACGCTTGAATTCTTTGTGAAGAATTTCATTGTGTTTTGCTTTTTTTGTTTCTGAACAGAAAAGTCCTTATATATCATGCCATGGGTCCCAAAGAAGTCAGTGGTAAAGTTCAACCTTATAAAATAGTTGTGAGGATGATGAAAGAGGAAAAAAAAGATAACTTGAAAACATGAACACAGCTCATGCGTGTGGTTGATCTGGCTAAGGAAAATGGGTTCAGTATGGGAAGACTTGCAAAGTTTTGCTAAAAAAAAACTCGCCCAGATAGAGCTGTATCAAACCGTTGTGTTGACCATTTTAATGAGAATGTGATATCTTACTACAGACAGGTATTAAAATGTAGGGAAAAAACAAGTGCCTTTAGACAGATTCTTAGTGAGACAAACAAGCAGTGAGCCACAACCAGGTCCTAGTGGTATGTCTACAAAATATAGGAGAAATGTCATCACTGCCTGATGTTATAATGTTAGGGGGACTCCCCTTTCTAATACTAACACTTCCCCCCTCCTCCTCACCTTCTTCCATATGCCAACAAGAGTCCTCTATACATAAAGGTAAGGTACAGTAAAAACTATGAGATGTACTCTGTATAAAATGTATTTCTAAGTTAATAGTTTTGGGTATGTAGAACGGATTAATTCAATTTACATTATTTCTCATGGAAAAATTTGTTTCTGTGTATGAATTTTTGGTGTACGATCCGTCTCTTGGAACGGATTAAACTCATAGACTGAGGTTCCACTGTACTACTAAAATATACCAGACTCACAAGAGAGAACACAAAACACGGATATAAACTAAATAAATTTAGATTTAGAAAGGAACCGAGTTAAATCTGGTTTGGAAATACCTGTACTGTAATGTAGATTTTTGTATTTAGAGAACAGAGTACCAACATAATTAATGTGAGGTTGCTGGACTGTTTCAGCCAAAAGTTAGACAGACATACTTATTCAGTAAAAAAGTGGATGTGGAAGGATATATAGCAAGACTCAAATTGGCCATTAGGCCTTTTTCAGTTCCCTCTATTCTTATTCAATTCTATTCTAATGGTCTTAAAACATTCTTATATGTATATCTGTTGCAAACTGATTATAAAAATATTATTTTGTAAATAAAGATTTCTTTTTTAATTACGTACTGCATACAATAGACATAAAAGTGAATACTTACCATGTAAGCTTACACACAGTATGAATGTAACCATCAGTTTATTAATTTTCAGGAATTTATTACTTGCAACAGGGTTGTACTACTTTCACAGCATGCATCTCAAGGAGGCTTTATTCAATAAGGCTGCACACACATAATACTGATTTTTTTACATTTACTGATGAGCTGTATAAATTCATGCTACAACCCTGTGGCACTGAACTAATGACAGATGTGAGAAATGTGCCTGACAAAAGCAAAGCTTTGTTGCTACAGTAATGCGGGACAGATCTTACCTCAGGGTCTAAGGGGAGAGCTAAAGGTTCAAAATTAGCAAAGTTAATTTTCAAGTTTTCAGAATCAGCTAACATTGTCTGTAGCTTTTCTATTTTGCGCATACGATTACCACTGTCGCGTGCTACGGTCTGGAAAAAATATTTAAGTTTTTATTAAATGCAAATTTTCTATTTTCTATACACTATAATGGTCAGTAAATTTTCTTAAAAACACTGCACAGTAGTGCACATATCCAAATTACCCAAAGTGAAATATGAATATATCTCACTGAAAATCAACAGAAGTGATGTAAAAGTATAGGTAGACAGATCTTGTATCATTCTCCTTCAAAAGTACAGTACACTGTACAATGTTAGCTTCTAATATGGTTGATGTTTCTTCCCAAAGCTTAACCATATCTTCTTAGCCTGTCATACACTCTCAACAGATTAACAAATATGAGGAAAATATGCATTCCTATCTTTGAAAGTGAAATTAAGTGACAAGGCATACCTGTTTCCATGTGAGGCATTTGGTTTGTGATCGTGACAATAGAGCACAAAAACAAACATGCATTCATTGTAAGTACTGTAATTTGAGCACATTTGTCTGTTAAAATACACGAATATGTGCAGTATCAAAATTAGTGTTGCATCATAAGGGTTCTGGTAGTACAATCAGGTTCATTCTCAATTCACAAATCAGAATTCTGGGTTCGAATCCCAGCCAGGGCAGAAATGGTTGGACACTTTTCATGTCACCTAATGCAGTAAATAGCTATCCAGGAACTACTCAGCTTGTGGGGTTGCATCCTGGGGAGGGGGGGGGGGAGAGGAATTAATAGTTCAACCTTGGGGGAGGGGACCTCAATATAAGCCTAATATGTTTATATACACAGGCTGCCTGTTCCCTGACAAAATTAATTAGTATTATTATTATTACAATAATAATCCAAAATATGACATAGCATGATTTTACTTCAATAATCTGGGATTTCAGTTTTATTGACACCCAGAAGTACCAATCAATCTGGATAATACTGTATTACAAGGCATTACTTTTGTGTGTAAATGAATTAAAATGAATTGCACTTGAATATTGTAGATTAAGCTAATTATAAATGTTCCTGTACAATCTTTCTACAATGTACAAAATTTTAATTTTAACAATTTTTTCTTTACCTTTACAAGAGCTACAAGCTGGTCCATGAAGTGGTGTTGTCTTGTCAGCAAGAGTCGAGATGATCGTGCTTCTCGGCTCCCTTGCTGCAGAGCTAACTTAAAGCGCCGCAACACCCACAAGTACATTTCACGAACCTAATAAAAAAATTATTAATTTCCATAATATATCTTAGAATTTGTCAATTACCTATAATCTCTCTCCTTTCCATTTTCTTTCAACACAAAAAGAAATGTGTGAAACATTAAATGAAAAGTACCAAGGTGTATTTGTACAAAATGAAATCTTCAGGGAACCAGACACAATAAGAATTCCAGAGAATAACATAGAGCACATGGAGGTGTTTAGAGACAGAGTGGAAAAAAATGCTCAAGGAGCCAAGTAAGAACAAAGCAGTTGACCCAGATGGAGTTTCACCATGGGTTCTGAGACTGTGCACCCGAACTCAGCATTCCACTTCAACCAATTTTTCAGGCATCCCTGTGTACAGGAGTTGTAGCAGATGTGTGGAAAAAGGCTAACATAGTTCCAATCTACAAAAGTGGTGTCAGAGAAGACACCCTCAATTACAGACCTGTATCGTTGACAAGTGTATCAGTCAAAATTTTGGAAAAAATAATTGAAACTAAATGGGTAGAACACCTGGAGAAAAACTATATATCAGACAGTCAATATGGTTTTCGATCTGGAAGATCCTGTGTAACAAATTTACTCGGTTTCTATGATCAAAGCTACAGAGATTTTACAGGAAAGAGATGGTTGGGTTGACTGCATCTATTTGGACCTAAAAAGACTTTCGACGGAGTTCCACATAAAAGGTTGGTCTGGAAACTAAAACATATTGGAGGGGTGACAGGTAAGCTTCTAACATGGATTAAAAATTTTCTGACTGATAGAAAAATGAGGGCAGTAATCAGAGGAAGTGTACCGGACTGGAGAAATGTCACAAGTGGAGTACCACAGGGTTCAGTTCTTGCACCGGTAATGTTTTTTGTCTACATAAACGATCTACCAGATGGAATACAGAATTATATAAGCATGCTTGCTGATGATGCTAAGATAAATAGGGAAGATAAGTAACTTTGATGATTGTCATGTCCTTCAAGAAGACCTGGACAAAATAAGAATATGGAGCCCTACTTAGAAATTGGAATTTAATGTACATACAGTAAATGCCATGTTATGGAATGTGGAATAGGAGGTTATCTTCTTGAGGTTATCTTGAGATGATTCCGGGGCTTTTAGTGTCCCCGTGGCCCGGTCTTCGACCAGGCCTCCACCCCCAGGAAGCAGCCTGTGACAGCTGACTAACACCCAGGTACCTATTTTACTGCTAGGTAACAGGGGCATAGGGTGAAAGAAACTCTGCCCATTGTTTCTCGCCGGCGCCTGGGATCGAACCCAGGACCACAGGATCACAAGTCCAGCGTGTTGTTTGCTCGGCCGACCGGCTCCCTATTCACCAACATATTATTCTATGTTCTCCCTAGGAGAAGATAGATCCCACACATCCTATAAATTATGTGAGAAATCTTTAAAGAATTTTGATAAAGAAAGATCTAGGGGTGGTTCTAGATCAAAAACTATCACCTGAGGATCACATAAGGAACATTGTGCGAGGGGCCTATGCTACACTTTCTAACTTCAGAATTGCTTTTAAATACATGAATGGCAAAATACTAAAGAAATTGTTCATGACTTTTGTTAGACCAAAGCTGGAATATGCAGTGGTTGTCTAGTGCCCATATCTGAAGAAGCACATCAACAAATTGGAAAAGATGCAAAGACATGCCACTAAGTGGCTCCCAGAACTGAAGGACAAGAGCTACGAGGAGAGGTTAGAGGCATTAAATATACCAAAACCAGAAAATAGAAGAAAAAGAGGCAATATGATCACTACATGCAAAATAGTAACAGAAATTGATAAAATTGATAGGGAAGAATTCCTGAGACCTGGAACTTCAAGAACAAGAAATAATAAATTTAAACTAACTAAACAAAGATGCCAAAGAAATATAAGAAAATTCACTTTTGCAAATAGAGTGGTAGATGGTTGGAACAAGTTAGGTGAGGTGGTGGTGGAGGCCAAAACCGTCAGCAATTTCAAAGTGTTATATGACAGAGTGTTGGGATGACGGGACACCACGAGCATGGCTCTCATCCTGTAACTACACTTATGTAACTACATAAGGCCCATCATGATGTACAGTCTAAGCTCTATAGAAACTGCCACAAGCAACCACTCAGCCTTTTACATATACTGTACATACCATATTACTGCTGTGTGCTGTATTAACAGGAGGATGAGTAACAGCATGCCTAAAGTACAACTGTGTTGGATGTCATTATCCACAAGAACACTGAGGTTGAAAAAAAAAAAGAAAAAACAAGAGAAATTGATGTGTCGCCATCATTAACTATGATGTTCCTCAGCTCCTGGCATGACTTCCGTAATACAGTAGTTTCCATAATTCTATCACAATCACGATCTGCTAGCGAGAGTTGGAGAATTTATCGAAAAGGAGTAGGCTTTATTACAGGCATACACACCTGCGAAAGCCCGAGAAGGCTGAGGCATGCCTGTATGGCTGTGTGAAATGTTGAGAGACTAAATGATGAACAAACTAATGTGTTAGTTTCATGCAAGACGAAGCTGAAACGAAGTGGGAAAAGATGATTTGAATGGAGTAAATATTATAAGAGCAGGAGAATAAGAAAATGTCATGGGTAAAGAAGGAGAATGTATTTTAACAAATAAAAGAATTTTATGGAGCAAAAATTATTGATTGTTTCATAGTTGAAGGTGGTTTTGTGTGAAATTCAAGTCTGTGAGGGTGTAACCTGTGACTGCATATGCTCCATGTAATGGTGTCATATGAATAAAGATTAGACAAAGCATTCCCACACGATAGATTTGTTTACCAAAAAAAAATCAGATACAGTAATAAAACAAAAGACATAATTCAATGCTTCCCTTGTTCAATAACTAGGAGAGAGTATAAACAATCTGTAACTTTCTCATTTCTAGTTACCTTAGTATCATGTTTGAGTCCTGCCTCTTGGTCCTCACACTCTACGAGTAGGTACCAGTACAGGTAGTTAGCCAATGTTGGGTTTCTTGTGGCACGGTGAATAAGGAAGGATGCAAGGTCTAGCTCTGAATCCATTTCTGCCAATTCAGGAAGCAAACCAGAATCAGGAGCTGTGGCTGAAGGATCTGAACTGTCTGGCTCCGCTAAGAGTGATGATGACGGGGATCTCTGGATGGTTGCCGCTTCACTCTCTTCAAGAGATGATGATGTAGACTGTGTAAGGTCACCACCTGTGGAGCTAGTAGATTCACACAATTTTTCTTGCATAGAATCCCCTGGAGTCCTCTCTTCAGTCTGACATGTGTCAACACTTGTGTCGCTTGCTGATGAATAATGAGATACATCACAAAGGCTCATATCAACATTATCTAATGCCTCATACTTTAAAGCCTGCACAAGTTGCAATAGGTAGAGTAGAAGATCTTCATCAGAAGCAATACTCAGACGCTCAACAGCATAACGGCGGACATCAGGATGAGTAAAGCCTGGACCTAGTAATTCGAGTGCATCATCCACATCTGGAGGCACCCAGCGACCCAGCAACTCAATGGCCTGCTTTGCTTCTCCCAAGAGTTTCCAGTTGACACATTTGAGGAACTTTGTCAAAGCTTTCTTTTGTGTACTTAAATAGAAACGATATTTCCACACCATGTCTTGTTCATCACTAGTCAGCTGTTTAGTTGATGGGTACTCCATAATTGTGTGAAGGCTGTCCCTAATGGCAGAATTTGGCTTCAAGTCCTTGTCGGTTACACCAGAACGCAGAGATCTCGCTAATCTGTGGTGCTTTGCTTCTTGCAGGTTCTCTAATGCAATCTCAGGGTCTGGCATGCGAACCATATTCCCACATGTTCGATGCTCATATTCTACATTACCCCCACGTTCCCACCACACTATAGAATAGATAACTCCTTCATGTTCCACTCGTGGAAATTCAACTATCAAGTACATCGAGTTGGACGAGCGTTTCTCTTGCTCATTAATTAATTCAATTTCACGGAAAGTTAAACGGTCCAACCAATCCACTTTTGTCATTTGCCCATTACGATGTTTCTTGGCAAGTTTTGCAAGACGTTGCATCTGGTCCTTTCCATGGTCCTGACCTTTTCCTGGTGTAAGAACATGGTCAGCAATCCGATTTGGCCAAACTTTTAAGTCGTGAAGCCCCTGCCGAAATACTCCATGTTTGCCAAAGAAGGATATGGTTGTGCCTCCGATAGGCTCATTTCTACGAGGGCCATATGTATCATAAATAGTGAGTGCCAGAACGGAATTCCGTGGCAAATCACTAAAGCGAAGGGGCAAGGTTAACCACTCGTTCCAGTTCCACCGATGAGAAAACGATTTGTACGAGGTTCGCACAGGGAGGGTAAGTTCCCGGCCATCAGAAAATACCTGACAGGAAACATACAGATCCGAGCACGAAGACCCATAGAGTCCAGAGTACTTGAGCAGTGGATCTTTCAGGAGAGCTTCATAATTGGGCATCTCCCTCTTCCCATCTAGCGTACCAATTTTCACTTGAATATCTACATCTAAGTCACAACTGTGCACATACCAGAACTTGTCACTATCGGGTTCCATTTTGTACTCAAACGTTACTCAAAGACGAAATCATAGTTTTGTAAATGTTCACCAAGAGCGAGCAGACCACTTCTACCAGCTCCCACAGCAGTTCCTATCTTGCCATCATCTGTTACCTGGACGTAAACACCACCTGGGCTGCGGGGCCAAATATTTCAAAATTGGGTTAAATCACAATTTTTCTCCTTTATTATAAACGATAAATTTCGCATAACTATTTGAGAATTTTTAAGCATGTAATATATAAATATGTCATATCTGCATCTACAATAAAGTAATAAAAACAATTCTCCGCGTCCCAAGGACAACGAGAACGTACGTATGACGTAATTCTCAAAAACTTGTTGGAGTTCATTAAACATAAAGGAAATGTAAATGTTTATCTCTCAGAATGTTTGGTAATATGTTTATTGTTTGTGATGTGTTTATATGTATATATTAACACGATGTACTGAACGGGGTGAGAATAGCTTGAGCTACCTCATCCCTTTGTGTGTATTTTACCTCAATAAACTTATTTCAGTTTCAATTTAAATTAAACATAATGTTTTACGATAATTAAGTACAGCATCGCGCGGCTCCTCAAACTTTAAGGAGAATGTCAGAGTGTAGGATAAAGATTATCTATATGTACAACAAAGGCTCCCATCTTGCGAGAGTAAGTACTCACCTAGTTGTGCTTGCGAGGCTTGCGAGGTATAAATCAAAATTAAAATGTTTATTCAGGTAAAAGTACATACATAGAAATTGAGTTACAAACATAATGTTGGATTTATAGATAGAGCTAATACATACAATACCTAAAGCCACTAATACGCACAGCGTTTCGGGCAAGATGTGGGGAAAAAACACTTAGACTAAAGCTTAATATTAATTGAGATTAAAGTATAAATTGTGTAGGAAAAGGAAAAAAAAAGGGGGGGAAGAACATGGCAGAAATCAGCAATTATATAACTTGGTCAACAAACAGCATTGTTTGAAAATAGCAAGATATGGGTTGATATTTAGGGGGTAAGGTAGGTTACATGAAGTTTATTAGGTAGAACTCAATTTTCCCTTTAAACTGGTTGAGAGAGGTACAGTCTTTGACATGATTGGGAAGGTCATTCCACATTCTGGGTACCTTGATTTGTAGAGCATTTCTAGTTTGGTCAAGACGCACTCTTGAAATATCGAATAGGTATTTGTTTCTGGTGTGATTTTTTTTTTTTCAGGGATATTCCTGCGCGGGCCCTAAGCCTCTGGCTTCTGGTGTGATGCCCATGGGTTCTGTTAGAACCTTCTAAGAAGGTTGTAAGGTCAGGATTGATATCACAGTTCAGAGTTTTAAATATATAGAGTACACATGAGAGGATGTGCAGTGACTTAATATCTAACATATTAAAAGATTTAAGGGTACCGAGTGCTGTCTGAGGCCGGAGTTTGATATGGTTCTAATAGCAGCTTTGTGTAGAGTAATTAGAGGACGTAAATGATTTTGGGTAGTAGAACCCCAAGCACAAATACCATAATTGAGATAAGGATAGATGAGAGAGTAATAGAGCGTCATCAGGCAGGGCGAGGTACATAATATCTGATCTTAGAAAGAATGCCAACAGTTTTAGAAACTTTTTTTGCTATAATTAGAATGTGACCCTGGAAATTCAGCTTGTTATCGATGAGTACACCAAGGACTTTACTATCTACTTTGTTACTAATTTGGATATTGTTAATTCTTAGATTAATTTGATCTGAGGATTTATTACCAAACAAAATATAGCAGGTTTTGTCACTGTTAGGGCGAGTTTGTTAGCAGGTAACCAAAGATAGACTTTATTGTGTTCAGTATTCATTGTATCATTCAGAATAAGAGGGTTAGGACTGGAGAAAATGAGGGTTGTGTCATCAGCAAATAAAATTGGCTTGAGGTGTTGAGAGGCATTTGGAAAGTCATTAATGTAGATGAGAAAGAGGAGAGGGTATACGTATAGTATAGTATCCACCAAGTATACTTGTCCTGTGGAACACCAATGTTGATGAGTAGGGTGGGAGAAATGGAATCATTCACAGAAACATGCTGGAACCTGTCACTAGGGTAAGACTGAAGGTACTGGAGTGATCTTTGACTCCATAATGATGTAATTTAAGAAGAAGATTGTGGTTGTTGACTGTCAAAAGCCTTACCTAATTCAACGAATAACGCAACAGGGAACTCATTTTTATCAAGAGCTGCATGTATCAAGTTAATCATACTAATCAGTGCATCGTTAGTGACTTTTTTTGGGTCTGAAGCCATATTGGCAAGAGCTAAGTATATTGTGTTTGGCTAGATAAGAGTAAAGCTGCTTGTAGATTAGCTTTTCAAATATTTTTGTCAAGGTTGGCAGAATTGATATAGGTATGAAATTGTTGACATCAGTGAGATCACCACATTTATGGACTGGGGTTACTCTCGATTTTTTAGAATATCCGGAAAGGTTTGGAGTTCAAGTGATTTGTTGTAGAGCAATGCAATGGCTGGATCTAGAAATCTAGAGACTGTTTTGTATATTAGAGTTGGTATCTCAGCAAGGGAACTTGACTGTTTTAAGAGAAAGGATTATCTCATTATCATCAAAGGAATTAGTGGGAGTTAGGTATAGAGACTCTGGATAGTTTCCTGTAAGGTAATCCTTTACATTAGTTAGGGAGGATTGGATATCATTTGCAAAGGATGTGCCAATGTATGAGAAAAACTATTGAATTTAATAGCAGTGCCAGAGGCTGAAAGCACATAATCGTCAGTGGATAGGAGTATTGGTTTCTTATTCAAGATCTTCTTTGATCCCAATATTTGTGAAATAGTGCTCCATGTTTTCTTAATGTTGCTCTTAATTTGTTCAAATTTATTTTCATAGTATTTTGTTTTGGCTCTCCTAATTATTTTGGACGGCATTGCTGAGTATCTCCTTCAAACTTTTTTGGAGATGACCCCTAACCTATACCTCTTCTCATGGTCATGTTTTTTATTAATAGATTTAAGTATACCCTTAGTAAGCCATGGATTATTTAACCTTTTAGGTGTGACTTATTTCGTTAGCATTGGACAGCGGGTATTATAGAGACATAATTGATTTACACATCATGCACCACACACCCATCGGGTGGGCGGTGGCGGAAAGCTTACACCCACATGTTCATTATTAACATCTTTACTGACAAAATGAATTACAATTTTGCCTTATCTGAGTCATTCAATTAGGTCTAATTAAAGTGAGGATAATGCTGTTATTCACTGTCACACAGGACAGAGGATCATACACAAGACAATAGGTCTAAACCGTAGGCTTTACGCACATATATCATGGTTACAATCAACTACATTAGACAGTACAGTATACATGATTCAACTTACGAATTTGAAAATCCAACTTTCTATTGTGCACGGCCACACAAGGGCAGGGATGGGATCATAAGAGATGAAGCTTCAAAGTACAATCACTAATATTGTTCTTCGTTCTTTAAAACCCCATGTATGCACTACCTACGGTACTACGGTAAGCAAACTTGGGATTTTTATCTAAGATATCTGGAAGTACCAGTATATAATTTTTAATGAAATATACACATTTTTTAAATCTTGTGACAGAATTACTGTATCTCTAAATTCTACGATTTTTTCCTTTAAATTGCATAGTAACGTAAGGTATGCGAACAGTTCTGCTGGCAGTTTACATTTGGTCAGATTTGCTTTAGCAAATGATGTAAACTCCCAAAGGTACTCGTAGCCGAGTCTAAACCTGGCAATATAACGACTGTAGAAGTCTGCGGACTTTATTGGATGATCCACAAATATATGCCTCTACCTGCATAATTATATGATTATAGAATAACTAGTGCTAATTTCACTTGTCTCAGGTCGACTAAATTTTGTTGCAGTTTTCGAAAATTACTGCCCTCAGCTGCTGTTCAAAGGTAATCCAAGGTAGTAATTAATTCCCTCTTTCAGAGCACATACCTTATCAACTTATCTAACCATCTAACTTATCATTTCTGTCTTCCATTCGAAGACCAGTAAGAGATGGGATCCATAGAACACACTCTGATACCTTCATTGATTATTTTGTTGTACCTGTGTTTAGCCTCAGGCACAAGTACGTTAGTTATGCCTTAAATAGTTGAGTTCAATCAGTGATGAGAGGTGATAAGCAAGCTTCATGGCCGCCCCCGTGGGAAACCAGTTACTCCTGCCAGACTGTTATATTAAGGGTGTGCGGGGGAGGCCTCATATCTCCTCCTCGACCAGCAGACACGATGCTTCCCCTGCTCCCGACGACAGCCCTGGTTGTGGTCGCTCTCCTCACAGGTGCGTCGCTGAACATATATATATATATATATATATATATATATATATATATATATATATATTGAGATATATACAAGAGTTGTTACATTCTTGTACAGCCACTAGTACGCGTAGCGTTCGGGCAGGTCCCTGGAATACGATCCCCGCCGCGAGGAATCGTTGTTACAACCAAGTACACATTTTACTGTTGAGTTAAACAGAGGCTACAGTTAAGGATTTGCGCCCAGTAAATCCTCCCCGGCCAGGATACGAACCCATGACAAAGCGCTCGCGGAACGCCAGGCGAGTGTCTTACCACTACACCACAGAGATATCATATAGCACCCGAATTTTCTCGTTGGTGCCACACTGTTTTACGTTGTCAGGAACGGGAAGTTTGCTAGACTTATCGAAGTCTCGCCCTAATCAACACCTGACGGTCCCCCAGGAAACGGTCTACAACTTCCAGGTATATATTTATACCTAGGAGTTCCCGTGGTGAAGTGGTAGGACACTCGCCTGGCGTTTCGCGAGCGCTTTGTCCTTGGTTCGTATCCTAGCCGGGGAGGATTTACTGGGCGCAAATCCTTAACTGTAGCCTCTGTTTAACGCAACAGTAAAATGGGTACCTTAATGTTAAACGATTTGGCGGGTCGTATTCTGGGGAATATTAGGATTAAGGACTTGCCCGAAACGCTATGGCTGTACAAGAATGTAAGAACTTGAATATATATAAAAAAAAAATACTGCTCGATGAACAGGTTCATTAGATGTACGGAAACGCGCCCAAATATCTCGTTCTGCCAGAGATTCGAACCCAGGAACAATTACTCGTGAGCAGACTACTTTAACCACTGAGCTACCAGCGAGTAACATTAATGGTTATATACCACCGCCATGGGAAAATGTAGCTTACTGACTTATTACAGCAGATACCTCTAATACTATTCATAACTGTTCATGTATTATAATAATAAACCATTAGGTTATAGTTACAGTCTAAATCATTAAGACGGATAACGTATTTTTTTGTTACAAGATTGTATTCTGTTTTCTTTTAAACTTCGGCTAAACACAGTGTCTACTCTTATATATGCGACCACCTGCATTGCCCTTCCACACCGCTAGGGCGGCTCGCAATTATCCGCTGAGTGTAGAAATAAATGCAGTGCCTAGGTATACATAATAACCATACTGCTGGATGATGAAACTTGAATAAGTGAGTGCCCTGCTGCCACCCCAACAGGAGCGAACGGCTGTTCTGTTGGCTTCGTCGAGATCAACGGAGAGTGCTTCTACTTCAGGTCTGAGGTGGGGACGTGGGAGGCCGCTCACGACCTCTGCCTCAACCTCACCGACTCCCGCGGCCTGGCAGAGGTCAAGTCTGCCAACACACTGAGAGCCATCTATGAGTACATCAGGACCTACGGTAAGTGAGTCAGTGAGGCAGGAGAGAGAAAAAAACGCAGGGAAAGAGACGGAAACAGAGGTGGTAACATAGTGAGTGAATAGGAGAGAGATTGAAAGGAAAGGTAGTAAGAAAAAAAGACGGAAAATGGTAAGAGAGAAAGAGAGTGGGGGTAGTGTGAATGGTTGTGCCTCAAGAAAGAGGTTTGTGATGTTAATCAAAAGGTCTTTTTCCCTGCCCATCTCCAAGCATTTATTAGAGTTGAATTCTAGCAGCCATTTGTCAAGCCATTTTTGCAGTTTGCACAGTAAATTTTGCAGTTTTGATTCGTGTTATCATCCTCCCCATTTCTTGCATCATCTTCTAACATCATTAAGAAAGAATTAATTGTATTCCTTCTGGAGTATTATTAACATAAATTAGGAATAAGATGCACCAAGAGGGACTCGACTACTTCTCTATTACTACAACTTGTAGAGCAATATCCCAAGGGTTTCTGGTAGGCCAAAAAATACGTATATTGTTTATCCTTCTGGCCTATATAATCTACATCGTCTTGTAGAATTTTATCAGGTTTAGGAGGTAAGATTTATTGTCCGTAAACCCATACTGACGCTGATTAACTAATGGCCTTCTCTTCAGATGTCCGACTGTTTTTATTCTATTATATATTTCTTATCCTTTCGTGATATTGCATGTAAGCGACATAGACTTTTAATTACCAGCCTATTTCCTTTTCAGTGGTATTAAGTTGGATGTTTTATGACTTTCTGGATGTTCCCATGTTGCCGGTTATTTGTTCTTTGTGCCCGGCCAGAGAAGGGCTTCAGCCTCCTCTTTTAACATTGAAAGTGATTTTTATCTAGTCTCAAATCCGTCGATGCATCTATTTCCAGCAAGAGTATTCTTTATGCGTGTCTGATAACCTACAGGTTCTCCAGTGTCTTAATGCGAAAACCACTGCACTTCTCACCTCTCTGTTTGGCAGGTCCTTTTGTTATTATGTTCTCTTGAAGCGTATATTTCCTCATGCACTTTATAATACTTTTTTTTTAATGTGTCTGCATCTGTTCTCAGTCTGATTACTTGAGCTGCTTCGTTAGTGTCTGATGTGGCCCAGGGCCGGTGGACGTTCCATACACATTAGCTTCAGTCTTATTTTGAAATTGATTTTCTGTCTATTCTAAGAAAGTCGGTACCTGACCGTCCGTAGCCTCTCCACACACACTGTCGACTTTGGGAAAGGTTTCCTATATTCTTAACTTGCTCTCATTCTTGTGAGATTTAGTTCACTGTGTAGTTTGTTTAACTTTTGGGTTATTCCTTTGATTAAATGTTTTCTCTATGAAGAGAACATTTTTTTTTATTTTTTTTTATATCTGAGAGTTTATAATTTCTTGTGAGATCTTCCTGTTAAGTTATAAATGTGTTTGTGTGTGTCTACCTATTTATTTTGAGATGTTAGTGCTTATTAGTAGCACTTACGGGGTAGGGATAAATAGCTTTTGGTCCCACATCTTCATAATCGAGGTTCAACTCTCGTGTGTGTGTGTGTGTGTGTGTGTGTGTGTGTGTGTGTGTGTGTGTGTGTGTGTGTGTGTGTGTGTGTGTGTGTGTGTGTGTGTGTGTGTGTACTCGCCTATTTGTACTCACCTATTTGTGCTTGCGGGGGTTGAGCTTTGGCTCTTTGGTCCCGCCTCTCAGCTGTCAATCAACTGGCGTACAGATTCCTGAGCCTACTGGGCTCTATCATATCTACATTTAAAACTGTGTATGGAGTCTGCCTCCACCACATCACTGCCTAATGCATTCCATCCGTTAACTACTCTGACACTGAAAAAGTTCCTTTGTGTGTGTGTGTGTGTGTGTGTGTGTGTGTGTGTGTGTGTGTGTGTGTGTGTGTGTGTGTGTGTGTGTGTGTGTGTGTGTGTGTGTGTGTGTGTATTTGCTATTTGTGTCTGCAGATTCTAGCTATGAACTCTTGAACCCTGCCTTTCTAACCAATCTATTTTTCCTCTGTTATATCTACTACACATATTTCCCTCTAACACACGCACACATTCCCTGGAAGCAGCCCGTAGCAGTTGTCTAACTACCAGGTGAACAGGGGCATCAGGGTGAAAGAAACTGTGCCCATTTGTTTCCGCCTCCACCGGGAATCAAACCCGGGCCATTAGGACTACAACCCCCAAACGCTGTCCACTCAGCCGCGAGGCCCCATGTGTGTATTTACTCACCTAGTTGTACTTACCTAGTTGTGCTTGCGGGGGTTGAGCTTCGGCTCTTTGATCCCGCCTCTCACCTCTCAATCAACTAATGTACAGGTTTCTGAGCCTTCTGGGCTCTATCATATCTACACTTGAAACTGTGTATGGAGTCAGCCTCCGCCACATCACTTCCTAATGCATTCCATTTGTTAACTACTGTGACACTAAACAAATTCTTTTTAATCTTTAAATGACTTAATTGGGCATTCAATTTTCATCTGTATCCCCTGGTGCGTGTGCCCCTTGAGTTAAATAATCTTTGTCTGCCCAATCAATTCCTATGAGAATCTTGTACGTCATGTGTATACTATATACAACGTGTACACCGCCAGTGGAGCGCTACTAATTGTTGTCTGTGATGTGTGTGGTCGTGGGCAGACCTGGGCGGGTCCTTCTGGCTGGGGGCCACCGACCAAGCCTACGAGGGTGACTGGCTGTGGACTGACGGCAGCAGGGTGGCCCGGGGCACGCCCTTCTGGGCCCTCCACTACAGTGTCTTAGGTGCGTGTTTCCTGGTCTTCTCTCGCCCACGTTATTGTGACATTATCTGCACCTTGTGCTGGTTGCTAACAAAGTCTCCGTTATATATTTGATTTACTTTTTGTCTATAAAGTATTTTGTTTATATTTTATTAAAATATGCAATTCAAATTTTGTCAGCCTTAATTAAAATCAATCTTAAACACCCAATTGACTTGATACCAACCCGTCGACAGTCTTATTCAGTGAAGACTACAACCCAAATTTGCTCTATACATCTCAAATGTCTCAAATTCATAACAACAACAAATGATTTACCAATAAGAGTGTTAAATAACAACCACCTCGTCCTCTGCCAGGCTGGAGCCAGGAGCCTTCTGGCGGCAGCGATGAGAACTGCCTGTCGCTGGACAAAGACCGTTACTATTACTTCAACGACGCCAACTGCGACAACGGGTACTACCCCATCTGCCAGGGGCTGTAGCCTCGCCACTCCTGAGGGCGAGGCTTCGGCACCAGCTGTTACTGGCCACGATGATGCAGAAATTATCGTACGGAAAGAGTTGAGACTACGCGAGAATGTATTATTTACACACCAAGATCTGTGACAAATAATTCATTGTACGTTTACATAAATAAATAAATACAATAAATAACTTACATACTACCTTGGGGTAACTATACAATACTTACTGTATTTTTCAGTGAATAGGATGGATGTTTTTGCCGCACTACCAAGCCATTATATACTGTATCTACATGCACAAAATGCAGCCCGTCCTCCTAAAATAAAAGTACTTATAGTAATTATTTGGTGGAAAGTACCGATATGTAGTGATAGTCCTCCAGAAAGTTGACTTTGTATCATTGAATTTGGTCAAATGGAAACATTTTTTTGTTAACTGCAACATATAGAACCTAACCTAGCAACCATAGGCCTAATTTTATAGTATCTTAGTTATTTTAGACCTAATATAGCACATATATGTGTTATACAAAGCCTAGGAATATATAAGTTTTTATTAGCTTTATTTTTTTGCACTATAAAGTGAATAGTGCCAAATTCAATTATCTAATTGTCTTTTACACCAATGTTTGTACTATGAAGCACAGTATTACAAAAAGTATTATCTAAACAGGAGGATGGGTTGCATATTGCTACTTTCCACCAAATAGTTACTATAAATACTATCATTTCAGGAGGACACATTGACAAAATCATATGTTTTCCACTACAAAACCACGTAAAGATCAATTCCAATAAATGTACGATGAAACATAGTACAATTTTGTATTTTTCATAACATATCTTTGCAAATTAGATACGTCCTATACGCCGGTAAATACGGTAATGAATTGAGGGACTATTGTCTCATCTTGGAGGTGAACATGATCCTCGTGAAGGTGAGGTGACATGGGTGCCACTGGAACTATTGTAGGCATATAAGACCTGAGTCCACAGGTAACCCCCACTCCAGAGTCCTCGGGTAACACCCCTCCTCCTCACCCACTCAAGAGTCCCTAGGTATTCGACAAACAAGAATTATTACTGTGTGAATGTTGGCAGTAATGTACCACTGTACGTTACACTTCCCCGTTATCGAGGGCATGAAGTTTGTTGAGTTTATCGAGGTTCCCCAAGGCCAACGACAGAACATCTCCAAAGTTGCAACCTTCAAAAGTCGATTAACTCTCTTTTACCAATTTACTGCTGAGTGAATAGAGGCGTCATGTATAAGAGTAGTGCCTAAACGTTTCGCCCTGCCTAGGAGTCGAACTCAGGACAACAGCAATGACACCCATTTAAATTCCAGCCAGATACCAATCATGACCTAGTGAAACGGGAGGGAATGACTGCCAGGTACCATGTACTCTCCCTCCCTCCCCCATCTCAGATACAAAACAAGAAAATATAAAGCTACAGAAAACCAGTTCTGCAGGAGTAATGAGCAGGGTAAAGTTAATTCCAAACAATGCAGACTGAATCATGAATAGAGTAGGGCATCTCCAAAAAAGGATATTGGAACAGCTGCCACAAATTATTGCAATCACAGAAACGAAACTGACAAGTGAAATATGGAATATTAGCTCCCCCAATTAATACAAAAATAGATGAAACAACACAAAAAGATGGGGAGAGGTGCTGATATTTCAAATACATTGAATTTATAAATTGTTTACCTGGAGCTGTAACAAGTAACATATCTGTGATGAAGGTGGCCGAACAACAGTACTACATAATTTTTATGATAAATGTAGTGAATCAGAATATGATCGTTATGGGTACAAACAGCCTCCTATAAACCAACATGACCTGAAAAATAGTATAAAGACAACAAAACTGCCTAAAAGAGAAACAATAGTGGCAATAACTGCAATTGGAGCAAGAAGAAAGTTCCTCGTGCAAGGTGACTTCAACCACAGGAAAATTAACTGAGCATCAAATCCTATCATGGCAATATGTGGAGCAGCGTAGACTTATTGGATACTAGCACAGAGGTAATTATTGTTGGTACAGATGATAGAATTTCTGATTTCTGATGATAGAATTCTGATAGAATTTACCTACTTAAAATTATCTGTTAGATTAAGGACCTGCCCGAAACGCTGCGCGTACTAGTGACTTTACAAGAGTGTAAATACTGTACTATGCTATGTATTCTCACAAACCCAATGTACCTTCTTGTATATAAATAAATAAAATAAAATAAAAATAAAATAGATGGTGGGTTGGTAACACTGGTAAAGGTCTGGGAAGTAAGATGGGTTGGTAACTCTAGTGTAGATATAAGAAGTGAGATTGGTTGGCAACTGATGGAGGTCTGGGAAATGAGGTGGGTTGGTAATATTGATGGAGTTACAGGAAGTGAGATGGGTTGGTATCACTGGAGGTCTGGGAAATGAGATGGATTGTTTTAACACTTGCTAGAATATAAGAAAAACAGCAGAAACTCAGCATTTCTGTATTTTGACGAGGCCAAGTCGTTAGTCAGACAGCTGCTACTGTCTTGGCTCACGAACGTCCAGATATTAAACCTTTTGATACAAAAATAAAGTTTATTATCAGTGTCAAAAGTGTGATTCACGTGTTACCTTTCTCACCAACCTTATCTGTAGATATGCTGTCCGAGGTGATGGTGGTGCCGGGGGAAGAGGAGGGATGGTGGTGTATCATTACGAGAGATATGAAATGTTCCACTGTACGGAGCTTGACGACACAATTGAGTGTGTGCGCATCGAATACTTCTCCAAGGACATGTTAGGCTGCGTGAGGGAGAGCACGAGAGCCATAGCTGGTCGTTTGGTATTTTTCTCTTCTCTGGAATCAACCCGTCCTCGATTCAAGTCCATTACATCCAGCGGTCGACCCCACAGATGCATTCATAAATTTTTACATGCTGTTCATTCAAAACGGGAATGTTCTCAAATATAAATTTATATTATAATATATTAGCATGTTGTGCATATATAGCATAGGTTAGGTTAGGTATTTAGGTTCTGTTGGCGATTATTGTATTTGTAATATGTGGGTGAAGCATTTACAGCGTTGTGGTTCGAACAAAACTCGCCAGAGAAGCAATTGTTCCGATAGTGTTCGAATGAAATCAGTTGTGAGTCGTGTGTAAACTGTTTTTCATTCAAAAACAGGGGGTTTGGCGGGTGCATGGAATCACTTTTGGGTCTTTGTTTGGAGGACTGGCTGTAGTTCGAACAAAAGTCGTCAGCGAAGCACTTGTTCCGGAAGTGTTCGGACGTCATCAGTTGTAAGTCGTGTGTAAACCGTTTTTCATTCGTAAACAGGGGGTTTGACGGGTGCATGGAAAGGACTCTGGGTATTTGTTTAGAAAACGGGCTGCTGGAATAGTCATTGAATGAATACATACACCGGAGTACCCGCTTATAGGTGTATATGTATTGAGAGTTAACGTTGGTTGTAAACTATACTGAGCACCAAAGTACATCGCCAGGTTGGTCAGTACGCAAGTATCAAGGCCTAAATAACCTTCTAAGGGTTGACAGGCATTAAAGCCAACACAGAGACGGAATCAATAAATATATAATTAATTATTCATATATGAGATTTATGCCTCAAATTGTTTACGATAACTTATGCATTAAATAAAAAAATATATAGAGTGTATACTGCTCTAAACCGTATTCGAGTTATAATAAGCATATTCCAGGACGGATGGAATGCATGATAATTGTAACAGAGGAAATATAATTCAAATTCGAAGTGCCCCTATAGCCGAAACGAACTGTGATGACTGCAATTATCGTGAATCATACAGTCGGGTCGCAACGGAATGGCTCCGGGTTCTATTCCCGGGCTGGGCAAGACGTTTAGTCACGTTTCTTTACATCTGATGCCTCTGTTGAGGTAGCAGTAAATACGTACCCGGCAGTTAGAGAGCTGTTGTGGGTTGCACTCTGGGGAAGGCCAACCGTTGGCCTAGGTTCCTAACAGGGCGTTCATGCGGCGAATACTATGTATTATATTGTGCTCAAACAGAATAAGATCCACTTTAGGTGTGTGTGTTGAGTTGAATGCCAAGTGTTATCACTTACATGCAGTTTTAAATAAGAATAATAGTGCAGGGCTTATATATAAACACTGAAAACACATACCAAAACATCTGCGTCAGTGGGAGTCCCAGGCGCAAAATACCTGACCTCTCCCGCTGATAAAAGGACAATGAGTAAGGTATATAACGAGCAGAGGCACCTGGCGGAGCTCTCACTCACTCACTCACTCACCAGGAGACACACTAGGTCCTGAACGGAGGCACACAAGCCCCTCAGTAATAAGGGAAATAATCACCTGAACACCGACATGAAACGACTGGTTTACCTTTTCGCGATCATCTTAGCTGCTGGTAAGGTCATGAAGGCACTTTTTATGTTGGGATTTAAGCACAGAGAAATATACTGAAACCCCTTAGGAGATTCAGTGTATTCGCCAGAACATAATCCGTCACACTTATTATATCCAGGTCTCAAATTTGTGCAGGAACTGAGCAAAGTTTATCTTACACGTAATTATTGAATATTTAAACAATTAAATTTGTTTAAAGTAAAACCAGGGATTAATATTAAACTGCTGTAACATTGATACTCGAAGCTCTTGAATAACTCGTCGAAGTTAAACAGCTATATAACAGATTTTACAATAATGAAAAATTATTAGCATTCTTGTATATTTGCATTTAGTTTCTCATGCCAGTATCCACAGTTCTTTATGGACGATGCTGCAATTTGTTTTTACTATCTTACCAAATTTTTCCAGAGATGAAAGGTAAATGTTGTTTGGTACTTGTCATCCATATTGTTATAATTAGTTTTCTCAGCATTTAAGAAAGCACTGGATTGTGTGTTCAAGGTTCAGGTGTCCACGGCTGTGACGACGGATGGGAGGACATCGAGGGGTCGTGTTTCAAGTTCGATATTTCTATGTCGTTACCGTGGGACGATGCTCGCGTCTTCTGCCAGAGTAACGGGGGTGACCTGGCCAAAGTTATCGACGGCAACACCCACAGGGGCATATGGCTGTACATCCAGACCTACGGTAAGCAAGCACTTGTACATATAGAGACATGTAATGTTGATTGCAAATAATATTGTTCCAAATTTTCTTAAAGGCTCCTGTGTACACAAAATACATATTCAATAATCTGTTGGTTTGTGTGGAGGGCAGGACTGAGCGGGTCGTTCTGGTTGGGGGCGTCTGATGTGGCGGCGGAGGGTGACTGGATCTGGGCGAAGGATGAGACCAGGGTGTCCAAAGGGACTCCGTACTGGGCTCTACGTAGCACAGTCCTCGGTAGGTGCTGCTTCTTCCCGAGTACTTTCCACTTTCTTACCTCCCCCCTCTCACACTTTCTCACATGATGCGATTGAGCGTTTCTCAACCTTTGTACCCTTGAAATAATTCCGGGTCGTACTTTGGATAAACACAAATGGATTTCATTGTAAACTGATAGGAGACGATTTCTGTCTTTGCACTTGATACTAGTTAAATGACAAAAATGAAACAAAAAATGTCTCAAATACATTGGCATTTAAATTAAAACAATGAAAGTCCTTGAAAATCACGTTTAGATTTTCAAATTCCTTTATTCTATCATATAAATCAAGGAACATATATAACAGTTTCTTTGATGTCCGTCTCACAAGCTCCACGGCATTAGACTCGCAAGAAATAATTCACTAGGATAAGCTTTTGGCGGAAAATATTTGCGTTTAAAATAGTCTCACGACCGTATTTCCACGCAGCTGATATACCATATATATTTCGCATCATTCCCTAGATACTAAATTTACATTTTGTATATTTTTATTTGTATAATTGGAGACCGAGGATAGCACATTGTCGAGTTTTTTTATAATAATGTGAGGAGATTAAAAATAGCCTAAGCTACTCTAGCCCTTTGAGATGTATTTTATTGTCTCAATACGTACTTGAACTTGAATAATGTGTGTGTGTGTGTGTGTTTGCTGCCATAACAGGATACCAGCAGGAGCCTTCTGGCGGGGCCAAAGAGAACTGTCTGGCCCTAGATGAAGACAGGAAGTACTTCTTCAACGACGACGCCTGTGATCTCGGCCACCACCCCATCTGCATGAAGTAGCGTCATTGACACGAGGCTCCTCACCATGTTGATTGTACGGAGAAGCACCACGAAATGCAACGCCTTTCATTATAAATTTCATTACCTTTCATTATAATGTAATAACCTATACTATAGTATGAAACTTCACTGTAATGTGATGAATGCTCTTGTAATGCCCTTCACTACTATGTAATATTTTTTAATATAATGTAATGATCTTTACTAAAATCTATTAATATAATACTCTTCACTACAATGTAACATCCGTCGGCTGTATAATGGATGAGTTACGCTATATACCTGAATTTACCCGAGTGGCCACTAATACTAGTGGCCCCGATGAAGACAGGAAGCCGGCAGCTTGTCAAAGGTCCCCCCTATTTGCCCTGATGATCGTTTCCACCAGAATTTTAAAACCCAGCAGTTTTTGGCGTTTACGGCTTAGGCGGGTAGGCGGTTCCACGGGTTTACAACCCTATGGGTGAAAAAAACATCTCCTGTTTTCTGTCCAACAATGTGGTTTGTTAAGCTTGAACCCGTTGCTCCTTGAAGAAATTGATCGGATAGACACCCTCCAAATGGTTCATTATTTTAAAGGTTTCGATGAGATCCGCCCTGTCATGCCTGGTTGCAGTGTTGTTAGCCCAGTGATCTTCGTTTTTTCTGTATTAAATAATATACAATATAAAGATCATAATTATATCAATTTACAAGGCAAAATACTACATTTATATATTTTATATAATTCTCGGTATTATATATAATTCTGATATGGAAAAAACAATTTTCCATATCATCACCGAGCATGAGCCGTAAACCCCAAATGATCCTGCCTCGCAAGAACTTCAATATTTTGTCTACCGAATAACCTTCCTGCCTGCCTATCCACACACACAAAATGTAATCAGAAAGCATAATTATTGTATTTTTAATTTTCTTGCATTTTATATCAATATGAAACATTAAAAACCTCATTAAATCCACTCTAATGCTTGGTCCACATAAAGCTTTAAGAATGTCTGCAATCCAGTTTACAAGAACAGCTTTCTCCTTACCGAAATAAAATATATGCATATTATTTTCAATTTTAGAACATTCGACAGGTTCTACATCAATAAACACTGATTTAAATTTAGATTATATGCAGCGAGGCGCTGGTTCAGTGCTTAACATGTAATGACAAATAATCAAGAGCAGCAATACTCGTGTACTCTGTCCTAGCGTATTAGCATAAAGAATTTATTTAGAATAAATAAAATATTTTAGATCTTTATCAAGATATTGTGGAACATAAATAATTTGGTAATAAATTCACCACGTACATGGCTTGGGGTTAAAACCCCATAGTGTAACTGGTACTCTGTTAAAGAAACGGTTAATTTACCTGAGGGCCACTAACTCTAGTGGTCTCGACGAGGACAGGAAGCCGGCGGCTTGTCGAAGATGCCTCCCCCCCTCATTTGCCTTGATGAACATCAAGGCAAACTTAATGCCTTGATTAAGGTATTAAGTATACCATAATGGAATACACAATATTATTAACCTGACATCAAGCTAATACAAACATGAAAAGTCGCACACTTTCCCTTGTTAAGTTGGTAGAGTCCGGATGACCAAGTTAACGTTGCTTCTAGTCGACTCAAGTGTCCATCTGTAGGGTCGAGCACAATTATTTTAATGTGTAGCCATGTGGATCATGTGTCGTCGTAGCCGGCTACTAGTGGATCCTTTCCCATCACTCGTCTCTGATGGTTATCCAACACTTTTTAAACGCCTAAGTATAATTTAAAGTCCTTATAACAGCACTAAATAGTTGGTAGACCAGCATAGCGTATGAAGGTCCATCATTCTGGGAGTGTGTAGCTCTGCACCGTGGCGAAGGACCCCAACTTTAGCTCGCAAGCCTCGTCCTGCCGACTATCATTCTACCAGCGTGGCAAGGTCTAGTTCCTTCATCTGGTCACTGTAGGCTACCTCATTGCCCACAAAATCTTGTAGCTTTTTTTTTTTTACACAGGTGGGTACATGAGCAGACGACTTCTGACTCCTGTTAGCAGGCTCAGAGCTTTCCTTCCGCATAGCTCATGGTAAACCTTACCCACTGTCTCATTATTATTTATTTTTTTGTTTTGCTTTTTCGTGTCAAAGCTCCAAGTCAGGGCTCACCTAAACGTACTCGCCTAGATATGCTTGCAGGTTTGAACTAGTTCTCTAGTTCAAACTAATTGAACTAGAACAGAAGGCTCCTAGTTCCGCCTTCTGAACATTTCGTAGTTTAATGCAATGACTGTATCCACCTTTCTCTTATCATACTTACATTTAAATTTGTGTGCACAGTTAGCTTCAACTACTACGACTAATCCATTACAATTATTTACAACTCTGAATCTGAATAAATTGATTCTGGCATTTCTCACATTCTATTATCTAATTCCAGCTACGTCCCAAGGTGAAGTACAAGTTCAAGTATGTTCATTGAGACAAGAAAATTCATCCCAAAGGGATAGAGTAGTTTCGGCTATTTCAACCCTCCCACTACTTTCCTTCGTTCTGTTGTTCCTAGCATTAAAAATTTCCCCTCGCTCTATTTCTTTCACGTTAAAGACGTACTCGCCTTTATCTGCCGGGAACAGGTGCAGGTTTCTTGGGCAGTTGACAGGTGACCCTCACACTCCCGCCTACAGCAGTGTTATGTAAGAGAGGCGAGTGATAAGGTACAGATACAAACGAATAATTTGCAGGTGTGGGAAAAAAGAGAGGGGGAATGCGGGTGTCTTGGTCCCCCCCTAACATCTCGGCGCGTCTTCCCGTTGACGAGCCTAAACTTTACTGCCCCGTGGCCAAAATACCATGATTTCTACTTTATATAGAGAGATTTCGAATTATTTAAAATAATAATAATAATATTAAAAAAATACAAAGGATGCAAATTCATATTTTTCCATTATATATAACGATATTTTTTATTATTATATGCATGTTCTTGTGACAATACCTGTGCCCCAACTCCCAGTGGGGCCGGAAATGGGATATGTTGAATCTGAAGTCAGCGCCATTAAGTAAATCGTACAAGAATGCAGATATATCTGCAGCTTCTTAAGGTTTTAACAGAAGAACTCTTAAGGTTTCCCAACGTCAAGAAACCGGCCAATTTAAAGTGTCCTCTCCTAACCTACCAAAGGACCCAAAACAGAAAACCGGACAGTACGTCACTTTCGCGAGCCGCTACAATTTTCTAATACAATTTTTTGGGGCCTTATTGTAACGCATACGATCGAAATGCGACGTTCTTTGTACGAGAACAGGTTGGGGCGTGACCCAACCTGGAACCTTGGAACATTATGGGTGTTCTCTCTTGGGATAGTGGACAACCAACACTCACAACCCGAGGCAACGTACACAAAGTTATCGTGTGAGAACGACCCGTCTGGCTCACTCTCACCAGCAACAGTGGCGGCCTGGCAGCCTAGTGACGTGCACTCATCACACCAGAGAGGGGGCGACCAGAGAGGGGAGCGAGATGAGGCGACCAGAGAGGGGAGCGAGATGAGGCGACCAGAGAGGGGAACAAGAGGGGGCAGGATCGAAAAGTAGAGACGAGAGTGTGGTTCTTTACGGGACAAGAGGAGAACTCGTAATATATTATGTATATCAAATGGTTCATTAAAATACATCTGCCGCTAACAATAATATCATTGTTACCAAACAAGATATTTTGGTAAAAAAAAAATGCACAACAAAATATAAGCAACAACAAATTCTTGATAAAGTATATAACAATATCATGATTTTGTTTTTAATTATGCATTGGAATTGTTATTAGTCATGCGTCTAGTTTTAATCAAGAATGGATGAGAGGCTTAAACAATATATGTTTAAAACTTTTTAATTGGAATGTGTATGTGATGCTGAAGTATTTTCACGTCCCAGCTCCGCCTCATATGAAGAGAGCTTCCGTAGTCTCCCGTCCAGGCTGGGCTGTGGGACGTCGCCCGTGACCAAGGGGCGAACCGTCGGGACTAGTGGCCAACGGAGACAGGCAGCTCACAACAGAACATGATCACGTTGTTGAGGGCGGTGTCGTCCGTGGCAGAATCAGCCTCGACTTTTGTCTGGATACCACATATGGCCCACCCTGTGAAGATAACAGATCCTTTACTTGTGCCGTTATCACGCACAAGTGACCCTCATCATCTCAGTGTACGTGGGTCACGCCACGGTCATTCCACCAGTCCCGCTTAACATTATAATCCTTCTCTAGAAGTAATAATTATTCATACCATGTTTTCAACACAAGATATAAAATTGACATATATTTACAGGGTTATATGTATCCATCAACAGGGTCTGCTTATATCCTGTTGTGGACCACACAAGTCCAAGTTTATTGAGATAAAATGCATTGCTTAAGGATAGAGTAGCTTAGGCTGCGTCTACCTTCCTTCACACGAGCACTCGTAGACAAATAAGAAACAAAAAGCAGAGACTGAGATGACATCACGCCTAAGGTTCACTAGCAGGTGTTACATAGGAACCAGTGGCGTCAATCCTACTTGACTTTGGTGAATTACCTCCCACGTGGGACAGACTTCTTTCTGTCAACGTTTGTAGATGAAATAATTATGAACAAACACGCGGAGAATGACTGCAAGAAGCTATAGGAAGGCTTGACACAAATTCATAAAAGTGGGCACTAAAGTTCAGCAAGAGAAAAGTAGTAAAGAAGAGCAGTCGAGGGAACCGGTAGTTGTCCAGCCGAGAGATAATAGTCTATACTATTGTGATCAACGTATCGTGACAACATGCAAAGGAGTCTTCATTTAATATAGCCAATAAGAACTGTTTCATATCAACTAATGCAGTGCTAAGAGACGCAAAACTTTCGATAATTTACGTCTTGCTGAATAATAAACTAACTGTAAGAGTGAAAGTTATTGCGACACTATTTTGTAACAATTGTGATTAAATCTGAAAATATATCAAATCGTTCAATTAACACCAGTGGAACTCTTAAATTAAGTAACTAGGTCACTTTTCTCTACTAAAAACGCTTGTCTCTGTCTTCAAAATATAAAGCATAAAGATCATGTTTCCTTTTCATTCACTGGGACCATGGCAGATTAGAACACTGACATCAAAAGTGAGAGCCGGTTGCTCTACCAACCGCACCATGAGTGCTCACAATAAGGAAGGATCTCAGACGCAAAATCTGGACAAGTAATGTGGGAGGAGCAACTGACCGTCAGGACAGGTAGCAAAGTCACTCCAGTCGCCCCATTCATTACCACCGCCACTCAAAGTGAAGGTGGACCAGTCACACTGCATCTCCAGGTCGTTGGCGGCGGTGTCGTCTTCCAGGATACCCTGGTACGCCTCGCTCTTCATCTTGAGCCCCGTCAGCAGACCCTCAGGGCACGCCTGCCTACCTGAAATTGAAATTGAAATAAGTTTATTGAGGTAAAATACACACAAAGGGATGAGGTAGCTCAAGCTATTCTCACCCCGTTCAGTACATCGTGTTAATACATACATATAAACACATCACAAACAATAAACATATTACTAAACATTCTGAGAGATAAACATCTACATTTCCACGCCTGCCTACCTGATCCACGGAGAAAACATTTTCATTGTAATGAAAGCTTAGCAAGTGGAATATTGAAGCTTTTGATGGATTATTGAACTATGTGGAGTAGCACATCTTCTAGGAACATTGTGCATCTCAGTTATGTCTGCCAGGCAACAGAGATTTAACTGTTTGAATTGTAAATTCCATTATTTTATGATTGCTTACGTCACCGAGATGTGTCCCTGCCTCTTACAAATTATGTCTGAATTTGGTCGTTTGTCCGTATGGCAGAAAATGGACATAATTTGAAAATGCTAAAAATTGAAAATAAATAGTGGATTTTTTTTCCAAAACAGTAAGTTAAGGGTCCTCTGCTAAGTTAGAAGGGCAGGAAATTCTCCTACAGTTTCAAAAGTCATGAAAAACGTTAAGTGAAAGTTTCCTTTCCTAACCTTACCGAGTAAGCCTTAGGACTCAAACAGAAAACGGGACAGTACATCACTTTTGTGAGCCGATTTCATTTCAAATTACTTACCTTTTTGCCCATAGAGCGCATACAAGTGAAAAGCTACATAATTTTTAAGAGGACGGGTTGAGTATACAGCGATCATGCCATACTCCGCTCACAAGCCTCTACCAACGTTTTGGGAAGCTGCTGAATTGTCATAAATGAAATGCATTGTCATATAATTTGTTCAGATTTTGATGTATTTAAACATAAAACAATACATAGTTGTATATATGTGTGGGGGGGGGGGGGTGGATGAGTGTGTGAGAGGTGCAGGGGAGTGTGTGTGTGTGTGTGTGTGTGTGTGAGGTGCAGGGGAGTGTGTGTGTGAGAGGTGCAGGGGAGTGTGTGTGTGAGAGGTGCAGGGGAGTGTGTGTGTGAGAGGTGCAGGGGAGTGTGTGTGTGAGAGGTGCAGGGGAGTGTGTGTGTGAGAGGTGCAGGGGAGTGTGTGTGTGAGAGGTGCAGGGGAGTGTGTGTGTGAGAGGTGCAGGGGAGTGTGTGTGTGAGAGGTGCAGGGGAGTGTGTGTGTGAGAGGTGCAGGGGAGTGTGTGTGTGAGAGGTGCAGGGGAGTGTGTGTGTGAGAGGTGCAGGGGAATGTGTGTGTGTGTGTGAGGTGCAGGGGAGTGTGTGTGTGAGAGGTGCAGGGGAGTGTGTGTGTGAGAGGTGCAGGGGAGTGTGTGAGAGGTGCAGGGGAGTGTGTGTGTGTGAGAGGTGCAGGGGAGTCTGTGAGAGGTGCAGGGGAGTGTGTGTGTGTGAGAGGTGCAGGGGAGTGTGTGAGAGGTGCAGGGGAGTGTGTGTGTGTGTGAGAGGTGCAGGGGAGTGTGTGAGAGGGGCAGGGGAGTGTGTGTGTGTGAGAGGTGCAGGGGAGTGTGTGAGAGGTGCAGGGGAGTGTGTGTGTGAGAGGTGCAGGGGAGTGTGTGTGAGAGGTGCAGGGGAGTGTGTGTGTGAGAGGTGCAGGGGAGTGTGTGTGTGAGAGGTGCAGGGGAGTGTGTGTGAGAGGTGCAGGGGAGTGTGTGTGTGAGAGGTGCAGGGGAGTGTGTGAGAGGTGCAGGGGAGTGTGTGGGCGGAAGTCTTACCCCGCCAGTCGCCCCATCTCTGGACGGTGGAGGTGATGGAGAACTCCTTCGCGTCCTTTTTGGGCGGTACTCCGTCATGGCCGACATCAGCCAGGGCGCGACAGTACAACGTGATGCCATTCATGGAGGTGTCGTCAGCGCTCCCCTCCGTCTCTACCTGCCCAAAACAGATGAGTTAGAAGTGAGCAAACTTGACTGTCCATCATTTCCTTATACACGTGTCTCTTGTAGTGTAGCTAAAAATTACGAAGAAAATCTGTATATGTTAAAGTGTCCACAACTGTATTTGTAATTTATGAAGCAATTTTAGTGGAATAAAAAACTAATTTAAATTAATTTACCAACCTATATATTTAGGTGTAATAAGCTTCTTATCAAAGTTGTTTATTCTTAAACTGAGGACTGTTAATGGTATAGATAGCCGCTGATAATATGAAGCAAGAGGTTCTCTTGCTTCATATTATATAATATGAAGAGGTTCTCTAATATGAAGAGAGAGTATAATATAAAATATTATATATGATTGGTAGCCTATTGTGTGTACACACTCAGTATTTATTCACACCTCATCAACAAAGAATACCAACGTCAGAATAGTTACCCACACACCCAGCACTGCACACCCACAACACTGCACACCCACACACCCATCCACACCCAACACTGCACACCCACACACCCAACACTGCACACCCACACACCCATCCACACCCAACACTGCACACCCACACACCCAACACTGCACACCCACACACCCATCCACACCCAACACTGCACAACCTCACACACACAGCACTGCACACCCACACACCCAACACTGCACACCCATCCACACCCAACACTGCACACCCACACACCCAACACTGCACACCCATCCACACCCAACACTGCACACCCACACACCCAGCACTGCACACCCACAACACTGCACACCCACACACCCAGCACTGCACACCCACAACACTGCACACCCACACACCCAGCACTGCACACCCACAACACTGCACACCCACACACCCAGCACTGCACACCCACAACACTGCACACCCAGCACTGCACACCCACAACACTGCACACCCACACACCCAACACTGCACACCCACACACCCAACACTGCACACCCACACACCCAACACTGCACACCCACACACCCAACACTGCACACCCACACACCCATCACTGCACACCCACAACACTGCACACCCACACACCCAACACTGCACACCCACACACCCAACACTGCACACCCACAACACTGCACACCCACACACCCAACACTGCACACCCACACACCCAACACTGCACAACCTCACACACACAGCACTGCACACCCACACACCCAGCACTGCACACCCATCCACACCCAACACTGCACACCCACACACCCAGCACTGCACACCCATCCACACCCAACACTGCACACCCACACACCCAACACTGCACACCCACACACCCAACACTGCACAACCTCACACACACAACACTGCACACCCACACACCCAACACTGCACACCCACACACCCAACACTGCACACCCACACACCCAGCACTGCACACCCACACACCCAGCACTGCACACCCACAACACTGCACACCCACACACCCAGCACTGCACACCCACAACACTGCACACCCACACACCCAACACTGCACACCCACACACCCAGCACTGCACACCCATCCACACCCAACACTGCACACCCACACACCCAGCACTGCACACCCACAACACTGCACACCCACACACCCAACACTGCACACCCACACACCCAGCACTGCACACCCATCCACACCCAACACTGCACACCCACACACCCAACACTGCACACCCACACACCCAACACTGCACACCCACACACCCAACACTGCACACCCACACACCCAACACTGCACACCTACACACCCATCACTGCATACCCACACACCCAGCACTGCACACCCACACACCCATCCACACCCACACAACCCTCCCATGCCCCGTTAGGGCAGAAGCCACCCCTGGAAAAGCTATCATTATAAACTATGGTGGACATATTATAAACAAAACTATTCTTGTTGAATGTTTTCGATCCTTTACCAGTTTTTAATCGACACGACATACACATAATTACTTCTGTTGTCAGTTGATATCTTTAAACTATATCCCATTAGAGAGCTACGTGCATAATAACTAATTCTGTTCCTTACCTTGATGTCGAAGGCGTAGGCGAAGGTGCCATCGGGGCAGAAGGCCTCAGGGCCCCACTCCCCCCAGTTCATGGCCCAGTCCAGGTTGAGAGCGATGTGGAGGTCGTCCTGTAGGAGTTGCCGCCCCCCACCAACCACACCTGGCCCACCAACACCGATAATCCCACTATAAACTGCCTGGGGCTAGATTCACGAAGCAGTTACGCAAGCACTTACGAACCTGTACAACTTTTCTCAATCTTTGGCGGCTTTGTTTACAATTGTTAAACAGTTAAGGAGCACCGAAGTGCCTGGAGGCTGTTTATAACAATAACAACAGTTGATTGGGAAGTTTTCATGCTTGGAAAATGTTTAATAAATGTAACCAAAGCCGTCAAAGATTGAGGAAAGATGTACACGTTCGTAAGTACTTGCGTAACTGCTTCGTGAATCTGGCCCCGTAATTTAGTATCACGAGTTGAAACCCGTTTAACCCAGCGCCCTCCTGAGCAAACAACAACGTCTCGGAAGTCCTATATGCGGGTAAACAAAGAAGATATAGCAGTAACAAGTATATTAAATTCCGCATGACCGTTTACTTATAAATAAGGAAGAAAACTACAATATAGGACGATGTGAGTAATGTGAGTTAAAAGTAAGTACGAAAAAGGAAATGCTTAGTTAGTATAACTGTACAGAACTGACACCAAAAATTAAAACCTTTACTGATATGATCCAGAAAATCAATACGGAAGTAGAAAAAAACACACCTTTACCATATTCTCTGCCGAGATAATCTGATTTACTGAGTATTGTATCAAAACACATTTAGCTTAGAGAAACAGTTGGGAAGCAAACTTTCAGATCACCATGACAATCAGAACATTCAACCAGGCGATAGATAAACAAGTTAAAATGCATCTTAGACAATAAGGGACAGATTTGTGTGAGGTTTGCAATCTTGGTTCAACTCTCCAGCAGGAGATGAAACAGGACATGACGAAAGTTGTGTGTTCCAGAGAGAGATACTATACTGCTAGGTGGCGTTGTCCTACAGCTACATCTCGGCCCCCTGTAAGCACAGCTAAAAAAGTAGAGTCAGGAAAGCACAGCTCGGTAAGCACAACTAGACACTCACAGCTAGGCAAGCACAGCTAGTGAAGTGCACGCATTAAATCACGTTATCTCCTTAAACATTGAAACAATAACTTACCCAAAATGCAGAGAAGCACAGCTGGACGCTGGAAGGTTCCCATGGCGACGAGGACAGCTGTTCCTACACGAGTGAGTCGGCGGCTATACTCTATACACTGGGTATAGACACACTGGGATACACTGGGATACACACCCTGGGTAAATAGTCTCGCTATCAACTGTCCTCAAGTTTTTATACCACCACCTGGCTTTGTTCTCAGACCAACCTGTCCTCTCAACTAGTGTATCTCATTGTGCACGTTATGGTCCACAACGTACAAAATGTAAGGTACTATGGTAAAGGTACCAAGGTAAGTGATGAAACGACGACGTCTGTCTGTCCCGGACCATTATCGAGTCGTGTGTTAGAAGAGAGGAAGGGACGGACAAGTAAACATGGTAAGTGAGATGTGAGGAGCAACAGAAGTGAGGATAACAAGGTAAAAACAAGAATAAGAGGAAGGTAAAGGTAATAAGATAAAATGAAAGGTAAGAGTAGGAAATAGGGTATGAAAAAAAGGGGGTACGAAGAAGAGAAGGGGTATGAAAAAGAAGAAGAAAAGAGAAACAGGGCAAAGCTTAAGTCAGATCACGTTTGTTAAGAAGGTTGGAGCATTCAAATATATGCTGTTAAAGGGTCAAGTATAAACTGTGAAAGGGAACTGTCAATAACAACAAAGGCAGGACTAAGGTTCATGTTGGGTATGTTGTGTATCAGAGCCGATTCAACAAGACGGCGTCTGTGAAGAGTAGAGGCAGGAAAGATTATTTTAGAAGACGAACCAAGCTATAGAATGATTAGAGTCCCTGACACTGTTACCATCCAGAGCTCCTCCTCACCGCCTTCGTGCACTGTTCGCAGCTTTAGCAGTGATGATGATGCTCTCATCACCTGGCTGATCAGAGCATCATCATGATGATTCCATGACCTGAATGATGATTCAGCTGGCCACTGAAACACCACCCCTTCTCCTGCGTGCTCGTCATCCAGCCCTAAGAGACGTTACTTCTAGCTTCTAGACCAGCACAGTTGTCCTAATTCTAGACCAGCACAGTTGTCCTAATTCTAGACCATCATTCATATCCTGTTACAGACCAACTTCCAAACCTGCTCTTAACACCCCGGGACGTTCTCATGCCATCTGATAACCTTAAAGCCACTTCAGTATTTCCTGAAACACAATCCTCCCCTGGCATGATTTATTGCTAAAATCCCCGAAGCTTCGCCTCAGTGTTCGAAGTCCATAATTTCAGAATTCAAGAACACGAGTAAAATGAACAACAATGCCGTAACCCGCAGCCGTCACCACAAAACTAATGGAACAATCAGTCGGTTCTATATTCTTCGTCAGGAGGAAAGTTGTATTAATATTATTCAGCTTAAGCTTAACACAATCAATTAATTGCGTCAGATTTCAGACCTGATCTTAAATCATAAAACTTTCAAGAAGGCTGAGAAAATGTAATAATCTAATAACAGTTTTAGGGTTTAATTTGTTATGTGTAGATTATGAACATATTGGAACAACAAAACCATTCAATCTGGTTACAACTTTGTGCCGGTGTAGGAATAACTATTCAATAAACGTTATGTCTATATTTATACTGTTATATAAACATTATTATATATTTTTATTCATACGCATTTTATATTTATACATACACACTGTGCCCGCTATAATATATATATATATATATATATATATATATATATATATATATATATATATATATATATATATATATATATATATATATATATATATATATGGGGGGATACATAAGGGATAAACATAGGGGCTGCAGAAGGCTTATTGGCCCATACGAGGCATCTCCTATCTAAACACAAAGATTAATCCAGTGTAATTGGCCTGTTATGTTGGACATTGTCTTCTGTGTTGGCATCGATATGTTCTTGTCTTGTCCTTACTCTCATGGTGGGTAGAGTAAATAGTTCCGTGATTTGGGTGTTCATGGTAGGTCGCTCTATTCTTATGTGAATTGCCTCAAGAATTTGTAATCTTCTTAAATCTTGGGTTTTGTCTATTATGCAAGTATTCTTGTTCAACATTTCTCTTGTTAGAGTAATGTTGTCCCCCCATGTTTTCACCTTCATTGTATTATCACCTGACCTAATGCGGGTATAAAATCAACTAATATATATATATATATATATACAAAGGGAAGGGAGTACCACCTCTGGCTGGAAGAAGGGGGACCCTTAGCCTCGAAGGGAACCACACATAACGCATTAGAGGGAATGTTTGTTTATATATATATATATATATATATATATATATATATATATATATATATATATATATATATATATATATATATATATATATATATACACACACACACACACACACACACACACACACACACACACACACACACACACACACACACAGACGTACACACTCTTGGTTAAGTACAGGAAGTTACAACAATATTCACTACTGTAATCTCTGAAGGAATACAAATTGCCAACAGAAACGCAGCAGGTGTTTGAGAATAAGATTTATGCAAGTTAAAACTTAGAGGACAAATACAGCCTTGAAGGTGGGAATGACGAAGGATGAAAAACTTTGAAATTTGTGTTCGATTCGTATATTATAATTTCCGTTGTCGGTAAGAGGAAGCCTGTTTGGCTTATTGAGGTCCCCCGTTAAGCCAACTACTGACTTCCCCTGGATGCAATCCACAAGTTGCCAAACTTCCGGATTCTTATTATGCTGCTAAGTGAACAGAGGCATCAGGCGAAAGAAAATACGCCTGACGGTTTCTGTCCTGCCCAAGGATGGGACTCGGGTCCCTCGATTGTGAGCTAATGACGTAGACCACTGTGCTCGCATAATACACACGCTAGATATACAGTAACGGTTGATTGGTGATTTAAGAATAAGACGCGATATTTCCCAGTTCGTAGGCGTCTGTCTAGTGTTTGGTAAACTTTTGTTATTAGCACATTTAGGTACATGTGCATTTGTGCAGCTACCCTAGACTATATGAAGGGGAGTACAGTGTGTGTCAAAAAAACTAGCTACGTGATGATAAAATCCCCACCACACAGGATGGTTAGTCATAGAGAGGCATGTGATGAGTAGTCTGCACTGGCAGACTCTGAGGTGCATTATGAGGATATCATCATCAACACAAGAAGCTGCCCAATAATGATTCCTTCGAAAATTGTGACGTGAAAACCTGTACGTGGTATCGAGAATAATTCTTAGCGTAACTAACCCAGCATAAAGTTGCATATAAGATGTGATCCAGAAAATCTAACATCAATTGCATCAGGTTAATGAAAAATGATTTATTCAATTGTGTATAGGTGAAGAATGAAGTGATGTTGTGCGTGACAGCAACTAACAATGCTCTCAGAACTCCTTCCTGGCTAAAAATAACCCACAAACTTGAAAAATAATTTTAACATTTGAATTATATATGAATTTTCCATTGTCGGATACGTAAGTACCTTGACGATGACACCATGTTTGGACATTTCAAATAGCCTTATGACTTTAGTCAGTCTAAACATTCGTAATTCTCATTTCTTCTTACACAACAAGCAACTATGTTCGTTATTTACGGCCGAGTTCAAACAATCCTATTCATCACTCCTCTCTTGGCTCCCTCGGACGGAGATGCCGACATATACGATGATGAGAATGAAGAGAAGGATGGGAATGATGACCCGGCAGAAGTAATTTATCTTGCGGCTTCGTTCTGGTGTCTGGTACATCGTTTTCTTCTTGGAGAAGGGAACTACAATGTTATCACTCTCGTGTATCTTTAGGTAATTGATCACGACCAGCAAAATGACTATAGAGAAGTTGACGAGGATGCACGCCACAAACCATATGTCGAGGAGCTTGAGGTAGGAAGTCTTGGGTGTTGTGGTAGTGATCTGAGTGAAGAGTGTGGCCAGGACCAGCAGGGCGGTCAGCGACACCATGATGCGGTCGTTGAAGTCGTCCAACTCGAAGTAAAATGTCGAGTAACAGATAAGAACCATTAGGAAAGTCGGAACGAAAGTGCTGCTTACATAGAACCCAGACAGGTTATCTATACGAAAAATTACCTCCTGGCCGCTGTGGTTGTTCCAGGTTGATTGCATCATTTCGACAGACCTCATTTCGTATTCTCTTAAGTTCCTGGCGCCACGATATTCGACCACGGTCTCTCGAGAGCTCAGAGCCACCAGGTCTTTGGTGAAGTACTGCATCCTTATCATGAACACGCAGAGCTGACTATCAAAGGGGTAGTGCTCAAGCTTCATCAGGCACGACACCTTCACCCAGTACGTCTGCGTCAGCTTCAGAGAGTTCAGCTCCCCGGGATACACCTCGTCTGGTGGGGTCAAACAAAACGACAATTATTCTAAGCTATTTCTAGCTGGTAGCGTAGCTAATTGTGTCATCTTGTGTGTAGCTAGAGTCTACTAGTCTAATTATCACAACGCTTATTTACATCCGGTCGCCGCCTCTAGTGGCCTAGTTTAGGACAGGAAGTCTGGCAAGTGTGACGGGTCTTTCACGTGTTGTCAGTTATCTACATGTTGATATTACTGTGTAAGTCCTTGATACGACGACTACTGCGGGAACACTTACGCATCTACCTTAGTCTGTAGGAAAATATCCTGACTGATATACACTACATGGTGGCAAGCTTGAGACTTGACCCTTGTGTTTGTCACGATAGATACAGTAATTTAGTATTCGAGGTTTATGTTATAAAACATAGGCATCTTAAGCGTCTATAAGCCCCGCCATTGCTTTATTTGAAGTGCTGATCTATGTTAAATAATGGAACAAAAGTCCTCACTCTCGTTATCGTGACATTCTCTGAAGCTAATGTTTCTGCAGGTGACACTACCTGCTTAAACACAATTTTCAAGTTGGAGTTGTGAATGGATTAGGTATAAATTAAATTATTAATTTCTTGTCCTAGTATTTAAAGGTGCCTTTGATTATTCCAAGAGTTCGGCTGACCTTTTATCATACCTGTTCTTGCTTACTGAGCTATTATATACGCGTATGAACCATCACATCAAGGTCCTTCCCCTCTTTCTGTAAGTTGCAGGATACAATTTTTTTATCAGACATTTGTTGACCAAACCATATACTAGAAAGTGAAGAGACGGCGACGTTTCGACTTGATAATGATCCAGGACGGACCGAAACGTCGTCGTCTTTTCACTTTCTAGTGTGTGGTCTGGTGAACATTTTTCAGCCACGTTATTGTGACTCCTCGTCTGCTTATTAAGACATTTATCTATAGTGAAAGTCTTTGCCAGCCATCTGGCTATTTGTTGAGTGCGTGTGAGGGAAGGGGAAGCAGGGGGGGGGGTTAATCTTATATGTATATTTAACGATATGTTGTGACATATTTTGATGGCATAGTTTCAGATATTCTCATCAATGTTGTATTTATAGTGCCAACAGGGTTGGTCCCAAGATGGCTCCTTGAGGCATTAAACTCAGAAAGTAGTTCCATTAAGATTTCATTCCTATAAGAACGACTGATTTCTCCTTCACGAATTTTGTTTTATCCGTTCCAGTATTTTGCCATTAATTCCATATGATTGTATTTTATGAACCTCGTCTTTCATATGGCACTTGGTCGAATACTTTAGGAAGTTCATGTGTGGTATATAACCTGGAAATTATTTGTGAATTTGTTACCAATTTCAATAAATTTTGAAGGATTAGGCTCAACAGTAATTAAACTCTTAGCTTGTCACTAATAAAGAAATTAAGATTGTTTTGCTTTGGATTGGATGGTGTAATATAGGCATATATTAATCACTAAAGTCTGGAGGCAATACAGAGCTAAATTTTAAAGTTTTTTTTATATGATTAAATATTTTGACAAAGTATTAAATAAATGAAATCATTTAGCTCTTTCAGAAATTGAAACCCGCATTATGCTCCTGAATCATTACCTAGTATAGCAACCCTTGTTTACCTTGCAAGCTTCCCTTCGTGTGGGCTGTCTTCTCGTCTCGCTAACACTGGCAAACACTGTATACACTGTATGACGTTTACACGTATGGAAGAGTGCTCGTAGAGCATCACACAGGCATCCTGGTGTATTCTCAAGCAGCTTAATTAAGTACACAAAATTTGGACTATTCGTAACCTTTGCATGGATGATTGTTATTTGTATACTAAGTATCTACTGACTAGTTCCTTTATGTCTATCGGGGAACTGATTTACATTATTTGATTACTATTTATTGCGCGCTTAATATATGGAAACTAACATGTATTTAACTGTGCTCATTTTTCTAGTTCTACAACTGATTACACGATTCTTCAGTCAAAATTCTAACTCGAGTACATTAATTAATGTTCACGTATGCAAAAGGTGAGCTTCGACAATATTATTTGGGTGGAACACACATTCTCTCCCTTGAAATGCCATAACTCACCCCAACAGACGAACAAGAGTTTCCTTCAACCCTGAGATAATGCTTTGTGGCGTTGACTAGCATTGACCTCTTAATCCAAGTTCCACCCTATACACTGACCTTCTCTGACCCTAGTGATGTCGTCAGGCTCCGCTCCGGACTCCATGACGACTACGAAGGTCTCCCACTGAAGTCTGGTCTCCGCCTCAGTCCACGTGACATCCTGGAACAGCAGTTCCGGTCTCCAGATGTTCTCCTCGTCGTAGATGACGTTGAGAGTCTCCGCCAAGTTGAGAGACTCCATTTTAAGCCTCGGGTCACGCCACATGAGCTCAATGCTCAGGTCAAGGGTCAGCTTCATATTGGCCGTGTCGATGGGCTGCAGGGACAAGATGGTCAACTTCATGTGGATACGGGCCGGCTCGGTACCTTTTCTTGCCGGAGGAACCTGTTGAGGCAGGAGCAAGGGTTGTGTTGACATGATGCAGACCGTGGCGTCGACCCGGTGGACACAATATCCAAGAGTCCCTGGGCTATACCCCACCTTCCCTGATGTAGTCCCCTGAGCTATACTCCTCATCTTCCCTGATGTAGTCTAGTGGGCTACCCACCTCCTTGATATAGTCCCCGGGGACAACAACTGCGTTGCAGAGCCTCTCATCACTCTGGTCCGGGCAGTTGACCTCCAGGTCACATCGCTGCATCTTGGTGATGCAAGTACCATCGTTGCAAGTGTACTGGTCGGCCCGGCAGGCGGTCAGAAGCAGGTCCTGGTACGGAGTGGGGCACAGGTCACCTGCGGAGTACACCACAGTTGCCCGAGAGAACAATGTATCTGTGTGCCAGCTCTGGGTTGCACACCAATAAAGATTTTCATAGCAATATGGATGGTAGGCAAAAACAAAGTTAAGACAGGTTCGATTAAAAGAAATAGTATTTCCGTTACCCAACCACCATCCCCCACTGAAGCTGTACTGCCTCCACAGAGAGAGAGAGAGAGAGAGAGAACTGAGCTAAGAACACTGTTGCGCATGCATCAGGTGTGCGCACGCAACCGGTGATGCGCGCGTGCATCTGCAGGAGATACGTGCACACAACATGTGCTTCACGAGAGGAAGCACAGCAGGAGACAACTGAAGTATATGTTAAGCCATATCGTAGGTTGTGGATGAGTGTGTGTCCAGCATTATCCTCTCTAGCGCCTCAATTCTTAAGATCTTTTTCATATTTGGTAAAATACATCTTCTCGAGACTGTCTAGACTAGAGTATGCAGCATGCGAGCCACTACAGTGGAAGCAGTGAAGACTACCACGACAGATAGTTATGATGGCAGACTAAACAAGACATAGAGTTCCCTGTTTCCCCACTTACTTTTATCTGACACAATTGGGTGACAAGAACAACTTTCTGTAATGACAGTAACTGTGAGGACTGGGAATGCATGGCTTTTCTGAAACTTAAACCACTCTACTTTTTAAGAACCTGCAGGTTGAGGCAGTCTGAACTTGTAAGGAATGACTGTTGGGATTCTTTTCCTGTCATATGCGTCACGAGTCAATCAACACTCACAATTGTCAGCACTATGGAGAAATGCCCGACAGCCCACTGGAACATTATCTAACACAGTGCACAGTTACAAACCCATTAAGATTTCAACTTAGATTCAACATAGCAGAAGAAGTTGTTAAACACATATGGCAAAATCTTACTGAAGCGACCATACGAGTCATAAATACTCCCACTCCGCCCAAGTAAAACAGAAACAAGCAACACTTAGTGGGCCAGCCAGAGGGCCAGCTTAGGGCCCGCGCAGGAATATCCCTGCCAAAAAAAAAAAAAAAACGCTCACAACCTGCAAACTATCTAATTCTTTTTATAAATGTCTCGTCTAAGTACCGCATCAGTTTGCATGAGAGCCACGCGTCAACTTGAGACAAATGTGGCAGGTTTATTGGAAGAGACGAGCCAAGAGGACAACATCTACCACTTATACAACAAGAACAACCAACAGTAGAACTAGAACTAAAAACAACAACCTATAGATCTTCTACCCTCACTAGATTGGAACTACCACCACTAAAGTAGAACAACACCTAATAGATAAACCATAAGAAAAAATAAGAAAATCTAAATTTGAATAACGAGAAGAGGAAGTGGATCATTACCTGTAATATTCCACTTGTGGAGGCCAAGCGGGTACTGCATTCTGTTCATCATCTCCATGGTTCCAGACACCTGGTGGTGCATCTGGTCCCTCAGCACCCAGGTGGTGTTGTCCCAGTATATCTGCGTGTGACCGGTGCCGTCGAAGAGCGGCTTGTCGTTGAGCATGCCGTTAATGGTATAGAGACGGTCGAGCACAGTATCGTCACAGAGCCCACGGAGCCTGAGAGCGGTGACCCTGGTGAAACTACAGACAGTGCAAGTCTTGAGAGAGCACGGGTACACCACCCACTTGCCTTCCTCCAAAGAGTCCATGAAGACGCAGCGGAAGGAGGCCACCGGTGCGGTGTAGCCCTGCCGGAAATTCGTGTACTTGAGGGTTGCGTTAGTCTCTAGGTTTATATAGTGTTCAGAGCCATTCTCATTACTGACGCCTACCCCTAGCCACAGGTACACTCCCCAGCCCTTAGTGCACTTCTCAGAACGGGTTCTGGTCTCCGCTACAACTTCTTTGTTCTCAGTCTCACTCTCCGGGACTGTGATGTTTCCCTTCAGCATGTGGCACAACACCCGAGACTCTTCCAGGGTTCGGTGCTCGGGGAACATAGCATGAACTTTGGGAGCTTTTCCACAGATATTAGTTTTCGTAAAATAAACGAATTCAACATCTCCCGAAGCTTTCCAGTCTGTTGTTATCGAGGAGAAGGAAACAACGGCCGAATCGATTGCCTTCATGTTGCATGAGACGAACTCCCGCATATGTTTTTCCCCCAGATATTCTGGATATATCACCAGCGTAGCAATATAAGCTTCCAGGGTCTGTTCCAGGCTGAAGCCATCTCCATGAAGATCCTGTTCCTGGCCGAGGAGGAGTATTCCACCACCCCGCATTATCATTTCCTTGGCCGAGATGGTGATAATCTTTCCAGAGAAGAGTTGCGAGTCCAGGACTAGCGTGTAACGCCAGGCCTGGAGGTCCATGGCGATGCACATATGGACCCAGACGTGAAGGACGGAGAAGGTGATGAGGCCCCGGTGCTCCACGCGGCCGTTGCCGTTACAGCACACCACCACCACAGCCTCAGAGTCCCAGTTGACATCTGCAACGACAATATACTCTAGCGTCATCTGGTACCTGCAGGTGACGAGAGTTCACGCTGTATACACTATACTCTACTCTAATGTTTAACAGCACGACTTGTTTTGGTACGGGTGTACATTCCTTTAACAAGAGCCTTGGCAGGGAAACTAAAGTGGCGACTTATAAACGTATTAGGCATTAATAGAATATAAGTAAACTGTTCTGGAGCAAGGTATCTTCTAGCTAGTTTTCAAGCACTTTAATTTTTGGTTTCAATTAATAGTGAATGATATTGCTATTTGAATGAAAAGGATAACAAAGTCTTCCTTTGTTATGTCACTCTCTTTATAATACTTTGAATATAAAACTCACTCCACGCCCCAGCAGTCGTCCACCGCTTCATAAAACCAGGTGTACAATACTCATCGTCAGATGGCAAAAAAATAAAAATAAAAATAAAACACTCATTCCATCTTGCTAGGGAGGGAATGAACCTGCTAGCATGCACCCTTGTCTACCATATCTCGGTGTTGTTCATAATGTGAATATGATTGCTACATGTTTGGGGTTTCTGTTCGTGCTACTTCATCACTCCGCCAAGCAGCTCCCTCATTTGTCTGTCAGTTTGTGCAGCAGCACACATATGCTTGCAGTATTACCTGTAGTGTGTTTCGAGAGTTGTTATACTCTCCAGCTCGGCCTGGAGCAAAGACGGGAATTATTTCCTAAATATTCCGTGTATATTTCCATTCATGTCTCTTTTTTTTTAATTTGTATATTAATTTATTTGAAGACCTCAATAATCACTTTTCATAAACAGTCGAGTCTCTCAACCTTTTATTCTTTTGTTACTTGGATCCTCATGACGCGCCTCGTTTACAGCTTCTTACACAGATTCAGGTACAACCACATAACTTTAGACATTGATCTGATTTCTATCATTTATTTTAATGTCATCCCCCAAGGCAGCGAATATATGTTTTTTGGTTTAAATGGCAATTGATCAACTCCATACAGACACTATGAATTTTTATTGTAGGTACCACACACACACACACACACACACACACACACACACACACACACACACACACACACACACACACACACACACACACACACACACACACACACACACACACACACACACACACACACACACACACACACACACACACACACACTACTTCTGCAACCTTTCCCACTACCACTCACAGCATGGGTATAAGATGCGTCATAAATGAACTACACCAAGATGAAACAAAGGGTTGCCACTCAACAGTGCCAAATGTAGATCTTCCAACACCTTAATTGACCCATCTCACTCTCTTTCCCCTTCCCCTTAATCAGTACTCACATACTAGCAGCTCGTCGGGAAATTCCGGGACGGAGTAACTGAGGAGAGGCATAAGTATGGAGCGGGAGTGGAGGAGGCGCAGGTGGAAGCACACGGTGAGGGTGGAGAGTGTTGGAACTGGCTTTACCCAGCGCACGAAGGAGTCGGTGCTGGGGACGCCCTGGGACTGCAGGTACACGGCCGGGTACAGACCCTCTGCCCCCGTATCTCTTCCCTCTGGAGGATGTTGTTAACCTAACTTTAGCAGGGGGCCAGATTTACGAAGCAGTTACGCAAGTACTTACGAACGCGTACATCTTTACTCAATCTTTGGTTATATTTATTAAACAGTTTACACGCATGAAAACTTCCCAATCAACTGTTGTTTTGGCTATAAACAGCCTCCTGGGGCTTCGGATCTCATTAACTGTTTAATAATTGTAAACAAAGCCGCCAAAGATTGAGAAAAGATGCACAGGTTCGTAAGTGCTGGTGTAACTGCCTCGTGAATCTGGCCCCTCAGTTCTCGTGACGCGGCATGAAGCATAGTTCAAAGATTTAACTTCACAACCACTTGCTGTGTACTTTATCGTTTTATTATTAATAAAAATAGAGAAAATCAAAGTTCTCAACAATTATTTAAGAAATCGTTAATAAAGATTAAAACCTTGACCTGTATCACAGTAGCTAAATAAAAATTTATCAACTCTCACAGTGGGCACAGAACACGCTCGTTAGGGGGACCAAGTAATAAATTGCTCAGAACTACTGTAGTTAGCTAATTAGTTAGCTAACTGCTGTAGTTGGTTAATTACCGTAGTTAGCTAAAACATCTTAATGCCACGGCTGAAGGTTTATCATCTAAGCTTATGGCCAGGTTCTACCAATTATACTAATTAAAATTTAGAAGATAATCTGAGATTTAATAAAATAAACTGATGCAATGAGGTCTACAGTTAATGTTGAAGGTTGGTAATCATCTTCTACATTTGCCCCTAAATGGTTCTGTAACCCACTAATTGGGCGATTTTCCTGCTTATCTGAACGAATAAAACTAATCATAGGGAAGGGTGCTAATCATAGCCTTCCCGGCTTGGTGCCTTCTTTCATAATTACTTATTAATCATGGGAGGCTGGTGCTAAATTACGGATTATGTCACAATCATATACACTACTAAATGACTAAATTTTCTTGGCATACTGCAAAATTTCAAATCCGAAAACACATGTATTCGGTTTTGCATTATATATTATCCTTTCGCAGTACCTGGATGGACGTCCTCGTGTCAGTCCTGAAGCACCATTGTTGTTGTTACAGATTCAGCTACTCGGAACAAGTTCCAAGTAGCACGTGCTATGGTGAGCCCGTAATGGACTTACCTGGCACAGTAGCGGTGCTGTGTCCGGGGGTGAAGCAGCAGTCTGGTATGTGGTTACGAAGGCAATGGTATAGAATCTAAATATTTACCACCTCTCCTTAACTATTGCCCTACAATTTGAATGTTGTTATTCATAACAGTATATTTGTATTTACAAAGTATTTCAACAACGCCATTGGTCGCTGGAGAACCTACCGGGCTGAGCGCGCGTGTCCCAGGAGAGGATGAGCGCCAGCAGGAGATTTGTTGGGAATACCAAGGCCATGGTCCACCTCTTTTGCCGCGCCCTGGTGCCTGCTGGGGAAGACCTGGTGCCTGGTGGGGAGGGCCTGGTGTCTGCGGGGGAAGACCTGGTGCCTGCTGGGGAGGGCCTGGTGCCTGCTGGGGAAGACCTGGTGCCTGGTGGGGAGGGCCTGGTGTCTGCGGGGGAAGACCTGGTGCCTGCTGGGGAGGGCCTGGTGCCTGCTGGGGAAGACCTGGTGCCTGGTGTCTGCGGGGGAAGACCTGGTGCCTGCTGGGGAGGGCCTGGTGTCTGCAGGGGAGGGCCTGGTGCCTCCAGCAGGGGAAGACCGCCCTGGTCTTATTAGGTTCCTCTGGAACTCTCACCAGCACCTCCTGTAGGTCTGCTGATCTCTGTCTCAGAGATCCCTGTGGTCCCGTACCTGTTTATCCTCACTTGACCATCTGTCTCAACGTTACTCCTCTTCGTTTTGTCACTGCCATTTCTATTTAGTTTCTGTGTTCTTTTAATTTTTTGGCTTTAAACTTTTATTGCTACGCCGAATAAGTGTTACACCTCATTTTTTTTACCTTTGTTAACTTTTAAAGTTAACATCGGTTACCAAAGGTAAGTCACCGAAAGGTAATCCTAATGGTTTCTGATTTTACAGTTGTATTTCTAGATCTCCAAGGCTCCTTCAGGCCTGTCTCAGACCTCGCAGCGTCTCCTGCAGCATGTGAGTGTTCCTCAACACTCTGTCTGGCGGTCTGGGAACATGGAGTGGTCCCCAGTTGGAGGCAGCCAGTGACTGACCCGTCCACCGCCTCCACAGCTCAATATGCCTGCTCCGGAGTGAGTGAGCCAGCTAATAGCATCAATCAGGCCATGAGTAATGACGTACCAAGGACAGTTATGTGTAGGGGCTATGTCCAAGGCACTGGACAGGTCATTGGTTTTATGCAGATTACTACAAGGGAAATAAATTAAAAGTTAATACGTACCCACTTTCACCAGCAGAGGAAATGATAAAACGGTTTCAATACCAAAAAATCTGTCACTACCCTAAACGGTAAGCCAGTTCATTAGATGATCACTGTTGCAGAGCAGGATAGAGAAATAAACTTTTTTATGATGGATGAAGCTCTATAAATTTAATAGAGGTGCATTGTCTGTTAGCTAGTTGGGAGATCTGTTCACAAACTCTTTGTACCATTGCTGGTACAAATAGGTTGTGGAATCACTAACATGGCTCGTCACTGGGCATAGTCCCCACAGGCGGAAGATTGTACACGTTTTCCTGCAGATAGGTCACAACAGCAAACTCGGCCACCTCCTTATAAAAGGAATTATCCACCACCTTCATCTGATGATTATGGAGTGTGCCAGAGGGCTGCCCTTGCTGGTCGAGCCCACCAGCCTGCCAGGGCTGTAGTACACGAGCCTCGAAATCCCACTGGAGACTAATGGTACTTCTGTCTTCCTGACGTGGAATATTTTCATTTATTGAGACTGCGAAATTAAATTTTAACTTTTTACATATATTAAATCGTTTTATAAAAGTCATTTTATTAAGATTCATTATAAATTGTATTTTATTAGTTTATCGCGTTCTATCTTTATCTAGGTTCAGTGATTAAGTCGTTATAATTTCAAGTATTTTATAACTATTCCACGACTTCTATTGCAGGGTGTAAATAGTCCTTTAACGGATGCCTGGGCTTTTGTATAGCGAATGTGTTAAAGTCTCGAGGCAATTTGTTTAAGTTACGGGCCCCAGTGAAGTTGAGAGAGGCGTGTCGAATCGCATAGCAGGAGACGCTCTCCATCACTGTATTTTCCTTGCTCTAACTAAAGTTTACCAGCTGCCGTCGTCTTATACACCTGAGAAGTTCACACGAGAGCACCATTTATCACAAAATGACACAGCCAGAACAACAAAGACAACGTCGATAACCAACACAAACACACACGTGAGACAGAGTGACTGCCAGCCATTTACAGCACACTTTGATGCTTCAGGGTCAGTGGCTTCCATGTAGCAAGAACTTCCTCTTGTGCTCAAGCCTCGTTGTTTGGTGGTTAGCTTAAGGCCTAACAACCGCGGGAGGGTTAGTGAGGCCTAACCTAACCTAACCTTCACATTGCCAGCATATTAATCCTTCTACCTTTACAAATAAATAAACCAAACTACACTGAATATATATAATTTAACGATGTTTAAGTCCCCTCAGTCTCTACCTTTACCAATATATTTGTGTATATAAATGACTCGTATAGTTATCTCTCAGTTAGTTTTTGTATTTACACTATTTTTCATAACAAGAGGAAGTCATATGCAAAGAGATAAAAGATACCAAGATAAGGGATATGTTATCTTGATCAACATGAACGCTTCCGTGACCATAGGTCCTCCCACACGCTGGAAGACGCGTCGTAAGTCACGCTATCTCATGCTCTCTTGCTCATAAATACTTTCAATAATATACCGAAAGAAATTTGAAGGAAGTAAAGGCGATAAAATAGAGATTACCAGCGTAGGGGAAACCCGGAGAACACTGGAGGCGAAGCCCAAGTGTATCACCACCACTGTCAGGTCTCCTCCTATACATTAAGGTAAGTGTCCGTTATACATTTAGGTAAGAGTGTGTGTTATACATTAAGGTAAGAGTGTGTGTTATACATTAAGGTAAGAGTGTTATACATTAAATTAAGTGTCTGTTATACATTAAGGTAAGAGTGTTATACATTAAATTAAGTGTCTGTTATACATTAAGGTAAGAGTGTCCGTTATACATTAAGATAAAATTGTCAGTTATACATTAAGGTAAGTGTGTTTATTATACATTAAGGTAAGAGTGTCCGTTATACATTAAGGTAAGAGTGTCCGTTATACATTAAGGTAAGAGTGTCCGTTATACATTAAGGTAAGTGTCCGTTATACATTAAGGTAAGAGTATCGGTAATACATTACGGCAAGAGTGTCTGTTATACATTAAGGTAAGAGTGTTATACATTAAGGCAAGAGTGTCTATTATACATTGCTTCCGTTTTTAGAAGCTCCAGGTGTGCCCTCAACTCATTTATGCAAGCGTAGGTTAGATGTGCACATGAATGAGTTTGGTTGGGTGTAGAGCTGCCTTGTATGGAATAAAAAATGATTTCTGCAGGTCACTCGATTCACATTTTCTATTAAACTGCAAATGTTACGTTTTAGTAATATATTAATTGCCAGTAATGATAAATTATAAATGAACAACTGAAGTTACAAGCATTCACTTTTCATGATAGAGTATCACATTCTTATCTTTCTCTCAAGATGTTGACGACAAATAATGAAACCCTTCATTGCAAGGAGGGTTGCCTGCTCAAGCATTAGCAAAGGGCAGCCCTCCACATTATGTTCATGATATCCACGATACTCTTGGGATCTCGTGGACAAAGATTAGCATTGTATCTGTAATAGTTTAATGGGATGTAATAGATAACGAGTAACGAGTACCTAACACATCTAACTTGAACGTATTTAGAAAATAAAATGATATAACACTTTCTGAAGATCACACAATGAAAAAAAGGTCGGTAAATCTATCGGTATTAAAAGCGGTTTCCTTTGAGATCTATACGAGACGTGACGCTTTTGAAAACTATCGAGTTAAAAACTATTTTACCATCTATTTTGACCACATTCATTGATCTGGAGGCTAGTGCCTACTGCTGCCGCTGCTGCCTAATTGGGGTGGAGGGTCTGGGTGTGATAAGGGCTTGTTTGACACGATAGCGATTCCTGTGACCGTTAGTAAGCTGACAGCAGACCCGCCAGCCAGGTATCTCTGTCCAGAGGTTCCGGTACTCAAGATTTGATTTTTAATTTCGGAAGGTAAGTGTGTGCTTTAATTGGGGTGTTGAAAAGGGGTGTCACAATATGGGTTGAGATATTGATTGAGGTGCACAGTTTTTGGAATATGTGGCTCGGTGTGTTGGCCTTGGGTGTGTAGGAAGAATGTGTCGGGATATGCTGGGAGTGGTTGGGGTGTTGGTGTGTATACTGGGCATGTGGGCGTTGCTTGTATGCTCGGAAACATGCGGGCGTGGGCGTTTGAGAAGGGGTGGGCGTGATGGCACCTGAGTATGGGTGGGTGGGTGTAGGCTCCCTCTGAGAGCCATTGTCATCTAGGCAAACGCTGGCGTGTTTCAACCTCTTGTCCGGGGTTCGGTTCCCGGGCAGGACCTTTTGAATTGTAAACCCGCTGAGCTGACTACTGCGCTATACAATCCCCTGTATACACGAGCGCTGAGCGCCAGCATATATATTTATGCTCTATTTCGCGTGTATATTCTCATATACAAAATTATTAAATACATTTTGAACTTGTATTTTGTAACAGTGAACAAACAGTACAACATAAGGGATAGCGAGCGGCCTTGTATAAAACGAAAACAGCAGTAGCACAATGCCGATAACGCGTCGTGTTGACCAACACTGAAATGTTGACAGTTATTGGTAATACTCTTTTCAACCCGGCTAGCTACCACTGTACCACTGCGAACACTTCCCATCACTATCACCACAAACAAACATTCCTTTCACAAATGTACCCCCCCCCCACTCGCTCACAAACCCCCGCTGGTGTGTGTGTGTGTGTGTGTGAGCAGGACCAAGGAGAGACCAAAGAGCTAGAGCTCAACCCCAGCAAGCACAATTAGGTGAGTACACACTCCCCCCCCCCCGACAAACAGAACCACGCACACACATCACACACACACACCCCACACACACACGCGGGTGGCACACGCACAAGGGGACACAGGTGGAAACTGAGTACCTAAATGAGCCACAGGGACGTTAGAAAGAACTTTTTCAGTGTCAGAGTAGTTAGTAAATGGAATGCATTAAGTAGTGATGTGGTGGAGGCTGACTCCATACACAGTTTCAAATGTAGACATGATAGAGCCCAGTAGGCTCAGGAATCTGTACACCAGTTGATTGACAGTTGAGAGGCGGGACCAAAGAGCCAAAGCTCAACCCCCGCAAGCACAAATAGGTGAGCACACACACCCCATACACACACTCACTCACCCCCCCCCCCCACACACACACTCACCCCACACTCAATAATATGAGGCTACCGAGCATTGTGCTCCCCCCCCCCCCCCCCCCCCGCCTCCTCACTTTTTTGTCTATCTTGGCCGAATAACGTCTACTTTGTACCCGGGATTTAGATAGTGATTGTCACCAGGGCTCAATGAATGATGGATTAAGGTGTCAGATTAAGCCAGGCGATAAGGTGGACGAAGAAGTTCGTTAATAATAATTATGTATCGAACTGTGTTTGAATGTCCGTGTCCGTTACCTCTGTACCAGCATTTTTAACACTTTGCTTGACCGTTATCACCCCGTCTTGTTGCTACCTTCTCATATCAATAAAATGTTGCTACCGAGCTCATACCAATTATCACAGATATATTTATTACCGACAGCCACTGGGGTTATTTATCCAGCTTAAACCATTCTGGGGTCTTAAAAAACCTGTCCGGGGGCAAATATCCGTAGTGGAGATGAGAACTTTCTTCCAGGAAACAAATTACAGTATGCTAAACTGTTCACCGCAGACTAGGCCTGTAATCTATCATTTATAGGAACTTCAATCAACCAACCTGTTGAATTTAGGCGGAGATAAATCCTCTTCTCCCCCCTACAGGTCAGCATTCCCCTTTGGAGCGAGAGTGAGGAAGATCTGTTAAGGTAACAGATATAACAGATACTTCTGAGGAAGTATGGGGCATGAGAGAGAGCGGCTGCTGGTGTACCGGGGCCAGGACTTCATCAGGCTTCGGGACCGTTGCCGGGCTGAGAAGAGGCTTTTCGAGGACCCAGAGTTCCCCGCAGACGACCGCTCCCTTGGGCTCGACAAGGTGGTCAGCTGGAAGAGACCATCGGTGAGTTCGCAGCCGTGTTTAATGTTAACAAAGCATGTATTGATAATTTGGCCAGTTCAAATTGTTTAATAATTTTTTGGGGGAATTGAAAATGTTGGCAATAGCTCCCGCCCTGTATTATTAACATCTTAAATTAAATTAGCTCGAGTAATGTAAGAATAATGGACGCTGAAGCTGTGTATCAATTCTGTGTGATTCTTATATTTAATTTTAATTATCTTGATGAACACATAGGTGACTGACAAATGTTGATTTCTGAAGTGGCTAGTATCTACCCGTAAAAAGTACATGAAATATGTATACTGAAAGATATATTGGCCAGTAAATAAGTCATAGCGTAAATTCCATCACAACTTACTAGAACACCAAACTGAACCTCCCCTGTAGGAGCTGGTGGGCAAACCCCGGTTCATGGACCGCGCTGACAGGTTCTCCGTGGTACAGGGCGACCTGGGTATGTATTATCTCTCTCCTGGAGTTGTTGTTGTTGTTTAAGTTTCAGCTACTAGAAACTAAAAGTTCCAAGTAGCACGGGCTATGGTGAGCCCGTGATGGACTTATCTGGCACAGGAGCGGGGCTGAAACTTGCTCTCTCCTGGAGATTGGACGGGGAAGGTATGAGCTGTATATCCTTGAATTTTGTAACGCATATTATTTACAACGTCTCAATTTCAAGGTGAAATCATTATATTCATGCAAGAAATTTGGTTCAAAAATTGTATAACAAAAATCACATCACAATCCTAATGCCAAAAGTTAACGGATTCAAATTCAATTTTCCTCAAGCAGCTCTGATAAATTACTTTTCCACTTGTTCCAAAATAATTAAGTTTTCTTTTTAACTTCTATCGTGGACTAATACAAATCTGTTGCATCAGTGTTCATGATAATGTTACTGCATTTATGATAATGTTACTGCATTTATGATACTGTTACTGCAAGAGGAAGTTAAGGGCTGCACAAAGGCAGATGTACCTAATAAATTAATAAAAAAAATGAAGTGGCTTCACAACCACTCGTACACCGCCTAGCGTGACGCTTGCCCACGTGTCCTTACACCTGATGCCTCAATTCATCTAACTGAAAATAGGTATCGAGTTAGATAACTGTTGTGGTGGGTTGCATGTTTGGTAAGATCTGTCGTTAGTCTAGTGGAAGCTTGATAAGCCTATCAGGCTTTCTGTCCCCTGTCAGGATGTGTCACACCGTTTGGGACGTATCAACACAGATTAAATTAAAAATGAGGACAAAAGTATGCCAATAATATCCAGGGGCCAGATTCACGAAAAGACTTACGCAAACACTTAAGAACGTGTACATCTTTCCTCAATCATAGACGGCTTTGGTTACATTTATTAAAAAGTTTACAAGCATGAAAACTTGCCATTCAACTGTTTTTATTGTTGTAAACAGCCTCCTGGTGCTTCGGAGCTCATTAACTGTTTAATAATTGTAAACGAAGCCGCCAAAGATTGAGAAAAGATGTACAGGTTCGTAAGTGCTTGCGTAAGTGCTTTCGTGAATCTGGCCCCAGATGTCAGTTCTTATAAAATAGTAAATATATTTAAAAAAACAAATGAAATTAACAAAACTAAATAAATTAACAACAGAACATAGACTACTATAGTCTTGCTGGCAGCGTGGTACAACCCGTCCTCTCCAGCAGTACATCGAATTTTTGACCTATAAATCCCCAAAGGCCAGAATATGATGTACTATCAATCATAACAGCTCGCAAAACAGACGGACTGTCTCGTTTTCTATTCGTGGGTTCTCGGTTAGGCTGAGTTCGGGCAATTTAGTACATCAATTTAATGACGCTGTTAACGCTCTAGAGGAGGAGCTGCTTGAAGAGCCAGCCTAGTAACCTATAATGGTAATACATCAGCCCGTCCTCTAATCTAGAACTGCCATATCACAAAACACTATGTACTAAATTGCCCGAACCTTAACCTAACTGAGGACCCACGAATAGAAAACGGGACAGCCCGTCAATTTTGCGAATTCAAGATGCTATTAATTGAAATACTCGAGAGTTTCAAGGGTGCACTTCTGAAAAAGGCAAATATCAACAAATTATAAACAAAAAAATGAGAGGTTCCATGTTTTAATCATTTCCCTTTTCGCTCATGTTTCTTGAAAATAAAGGCAGATGCTATCAATATTGGGTTTCATCCTATCATAATTTATGTATTAAAATTATCATGTATTGAATAACTGCTTGATATTGTAAATACATTTCAAGAGCACAAGTGCTCGTATATTCGTGTTTACGAGTACTAAATATCGTTGGTACTCATCTAGTTGGGTAGTACCAACGATATTTAGTACTCGTAAACACGCTTATACAGGCACTAGGGCTCTTGAAATGTATTTACAATATCAAGCAGTTATTCAATACATGATAATGCACTTTGTGCACGTACGTGTGTGGAGCAGGAGACTGTTGGCTGGTGTCGGCCCTGTCAGCCATCACCCTGAACCCTGGCCTCCTGCGGCGTGTGGCACCGAGTGACCAAGACTTTACCACCAAGTACGCCGGCATCTTCCACTTCAGGTACGGAGATTCATTCACGAGACTGGTAAGATGATGTGTGCTTTAGCTGCGACACTGATGTAGTCTACTACATCAGTACACGATCCAATACTACACGACCCGGCTATTGGTGCTCGTGGTCACTTTAATTAATTTATTACTTGACCCCCATAATCATCCTGTGGGAGGTGCACAAATGCTACAGGAGCACATAACGTCCTCCAGGTACTGGACCCCAGTGACATTTACCATTAACAACAATTCAAAAGGTTTATACTTGATGATATAATAATTCTAGGATTTTGTCTTGCCATTTCTTTAAGAAAAGATAATTATTTGGGAGAGGATGAAAACGGAGAGAGAAGACTAAATTGGGTAGAGGATATATTTTAGTAAAAGATATAGTATAAAGTTAATACTATAGCTACGTGTTGCTTTGTCGCAGTTAACTCATCCCTGCTCCATTATTGGGTCATTCCTGCGAGTCTGAGAAAATCGTATACTGGATGCTCACAATGTCCTAATATCTATAATCCTACTATGCACTATGGCGTGAAGGCCTACCAGACAATACTCATCAGCGGTCATTTGCAACGTGTCAGGGTGTGGCAGGGAGGAGAGTGGGTGGACGTGGTGGTTGACGACCGGCTACCAGTAAACCAAATCGACCAACTGTGCTTCTCGCGCTCCTCCAACTCTTGCGAGTTCTGGTCGGCGCTCCTGGAGAAAGCCTATGCTAAGTACGTCCTCCTCACGACTCTTATCTTTATACATACTGTATTTTACAGCTATTTAGTGACTATTATTTCCTTTCTGCTTACTGGATTTTTTGTTTAATGTTTTAATGCGAGTTTACTACGGTATCCCTTTCAGTTGTTATAAATGTAACCTTTGTTTGGTCACTGCCCAGTGAGTAATATCCAAGAGTGGCGTTGGTTTGACGCTGAATCAACGTTCAATCAGCGTTGATGACGTTGATTAGGCGTTGCTCTTGGATATTGTGCCCACTGGGTGTGGACTTTTCCCTCAATATATAATTGTACCTACCTCCTATTATTATCATATTCCTAATTGGTCAATATCATCTAAGCTGCCTGCAACTAAAACCAGTGTTAAGTAATAACTAAACAACAGTGGGCGGTCTCCTGCAGGCTCCACGGGTCGTACGGAGCTCTGAACGCTGGCAAGAGCTACGAGGCTACGGAGGACCTGACGGGAGGCGTAACGGAGAGGTTCCTGCTGCAGAAGGAGACGCCGCCAGACAACCTCTTCTCCATCATGGTACAGGCCAGCCAGCGAGGCTCTCTCATCACCTGCAACGTTCCGGTAACCATGCCTTCCTCATCCACCGCCAGCTGAATTGTGTATTTCTACACGTGTTTCCGTTTTAATTTTGCGAGTTCTTTATAGTTTTTATGTGTTTTAAGCCTATTTCTTACTGCATAAATTGTAATTTATTTTACATAAAACCAATTAATTTTTTTCTCAGGGAAAACTGGGAGACATATCCAATGGGCTGGTGGCTAGTCATGGGTACTGCGTCACAGGGGTCAGGCTGTGTAAGGTCATTATCACACCCTGGCTGTCTGACGTCCAGTTGGTGCGCCTCAGAAACCCTTGGGGAGACGACGTAAGTGCCCTCTTTCCAGAAACCAGGGCCCAGGGTCCAGATTCACGAAGCAGTTACGCAAGTACTTAGGAACGTGTACATCGTTCCTTAATCTTTGACGGCTTTGGTTACATTTATTCAACAGTTTACAAGCATGAAAACCTCCCAATCAACTGTTGTTATTGTTATAAACAGCCTACTGGTACTTCGGAGCTCATTTACTGTTTCATAATTGTAAACAAACCCGCAAAGGTTGAGAAAAGATGTACAGGTTCGTAAGTACTTGCGTAACTGCTTCGTGAATCTGGGCCAGATACCTTTGGTTCGCACCCTACCAGAAACCTTCATCCCCCTCTCAGTACACTTCCACCCATCATCCCAGTTTATCTCCCCCCTCCATTCCCCACCCCTTTCTTTGACAGTCCCCACTCCACCACCCAAGTACTTCCCCAACCAGATCATTCATTTTCTGTGTATGACAATACTAACGTCTTCCTACTTTATACACTAAATAATTCTCTTTCGGCTACTTATTTATATGGTTAAGTAAAACAATGTTAATTTCCTCTTTGTTCCTTTTCCATTCTCCGCAATTCGATACTTATATTTCCTTAATTTTATCTAGTGCCACCTCTCAAAACCTGAATTGATCAGTTCCTCTATTATGTCCACTAGAGAATATAATACAATCTTTCCCTAAGGCCAAATGACGTTATCTGAAAGTTCTCTTTTTCTTCTTTTTCCATCCATTCACGCTTCTTGTTGTCCATCTTCTTCCCTTTCTTTATTCCCTCCGTTTGACGCACGGGAAGTATCTCTCCGGTCTCTCGGTAGAGTGAGTGGCGAGGAGCGTTCTCCGACGACTCCGAGGAGTGGAAGCTGGTGCCGGCGGAGGAGAAAGCCAGACTCCGACTCACGACTGCCGATGACGGTGAATTCTGGATGACCTTCCAGGTTAGCAGGTGTTGTGGGCGCTTATGAGACCGACACGTGTTCGACACGAATACAGTATGTGTGTTACACTGACACGGCTGTTCCAGGAGTGTATGTGTAATTGAAACTCGGCCATACGAGTCTTACAGGCCTTGTTAGGCCCAAGCTGGAAGCCACTTCTATATAAAACAAATTTCATTCCAATGTAAATGAAAATGGATAATTTAGACTTGCCGTGTAGATGGCAATTGTGAAATCAATGAGCTGGAGTTCCAATAAAGGCTATTGGGTGAATATTGTACATTAACACTATAGTAACTGTTGATTATATTATATATTTATATATATTATATATATAATATAATGATAAATAAAGGTTAATAATAACTTCAAAATATATAAATAGAATTCCCTCATTCATATATGTCTACAATATACAATATCTTCAATTGCATACAAAACTTTATTTTTTCTCTCCAATATCCAGGCATTTAAAGACAACTTTCAGGAAGTGTTCATCACTAGCCTCAACCCCCAGACCCTGAACAGCGAGGCTCGAGAACACCTGCACTCCTTGGCAGATGTTGTCACTCGCATCATGCACCAGCCTGGGGAGGGAGGGAGGGCGCCACCGTCGCAGGAGGAGGCCAGAGAGAGGAAGGTGTGGGAGGTGGTCCACTACGACGGCTCCTGGGTGAGGCACGTCTCAGCGGCCGGAGCTCCATGTAACTCAAGTGAGTCGAGTAAGAAGGGAAGATCTAGGAATAGTGGGGGTCAGGTAGAGGTGAGAGGTCAAGAATGTGTGTTATGGGCTTGTCATTCCCTGCAGTTATGTTTCAGAGTTTTATATAATCCACACATTATCTTAAATACCTTGTGACATTCTTCCAACTTTGGTAAACATTTAGGTTAGCCGATATTAATTCACAAATTAAAACACACTTAAAGTCACCAAACCTAGGCCTAAATATACTAAAAAATACGATAATACTAACAAGGTATTTAAAATGTTTATTCCAACATCAAGGTCAAAAGTGTATATTAAAAACAAGGCTCCAAAACACAATTCAGGCACACCGCTAATGACGGCTCCCCAACCAGACTTCATCCCATTTACGACAATCTAAGGACATCATCATCATACTTCCTCAGAAACTCGGAAGACGTCACACTGTTTGCAAATTTCACCATCATTTGTGGCCTTGCACGTGTGAAATCAAATTAAGATTTGTTTGCCAACCTCAGATTTTGCAGTTAAGTGATGTGAGGCATAGTCTAACCAGGTTTAAATAGCCTCATCTTCGGGTATGGTGGTTAGTTCTATACAACAGGGTCAGACCAGAAAGTAATTTTGTCATTGTACGTCCATTCTGTAGTAATTTAAAGTGAAGTAATACATACGCACATTGTCGTCAAGTCAACAAAAAAGTTTTATATGCAACCGACTTGTCTCAGTGTTGCTTGTCCAGCTGCCACAACCCCAATAGTTAAACATTTGTTTTCCACCTGCAGCGCTACCTGTAGGCCCAATATTCATATATAATTTATGCTGAATACCTCTGGAACACTATACACCCGTAGCTGTGTATATTGTTGCATTCTGAGTGCCTCATTCAACGTGAATACAGGTGTCCCGTTCCACCACCCATATATATATATTTTTGTTTCTGGGCAGACCTCTTCAGCAGCAACCCGCAGTACTTACTTCACCTGCGGGAGGCTGACGACGAGGCTGGAGCGGCAGGCACCTGCACCGTCGTCCTCTCACTTACGCAGAAGAATCGGAGGGTTAAGAACCTGCCGCTCCTTGCCATCACCGTCTGCGTCTACAAGGTCAGCGAAAGAAGCCTGTCACTGTTTTCCAAACATTGGGTCAGATACAAACTCCTCCTCAAGTGGGTGAAATAATTTTGTCACAGAAAGACTGTTTCCCCTCAGTTGAATGAACGACCCTTGCCTAAGGAGATCATGGCACACAAATACTCTATACAATGGTATGTGTTACCCCAGTGTCCTTACTCCAGGTGGAGGAGGCAGAGAAGGTACCCTCCCCGCTGCCGGCCTCCTGGTTCAGAATCAACCGGCCGCTCTTGTTGACGAAGTTCTTTAAAACACGTACCGTCACGCACCGTCTGGAGCTGTTGCCAGGACGGTACATCCTGATCCCCTGCACCGCCACAGCAGACCAAGAGGGCGAGTTCCTCCTGCGGGTGTTCTGCGAGAAGGCCGCCACCATGCAGTATGTACCCAGGAACACTGCTCTCATGCGGAGTCACTCATCTTGCTCATGTAGTATTTTGTTTAAATATAATGGCTTACTCCTTTTCTTTAGCACAAATATTACACATCTTGAATACTTCTTGCTGACAGGGACAAGAAGTATGAGTGGAAATGTGTCATTCATGATCTTCACAAATCTAGAAATGCTTATTAAATACGTACACTAATCTATCCATTGTATATATGTTGGTGCGTAATGGACGTTATTGCATGGTTTCTGAACACAAATGTTATCACTGCAGGGAAAACGATGAGGACCCCATGCTTCTGGACACCACACACGAGGTAAGATATAAGTCTTGATATTGAAAAACGACCTTCCTGACACACTTTCCTCCTTCCTTCTTTGTCACAATATTCGTGTCAAATTGTTACCATTTGACATGTGTGTGTGTATTCACCTAGTTGTGTTTGCGGGGGTTGAGCTTTGCTCTTTCGGCCCGCCTCTCAACTGTCACTCAACTGTTTACTAACTACTTTTTTTTCCTCCACACCACACACACACCCCAGGAAGCAGCCCGTGACAGCTGACTAACTCCCAGATACCTATTTACTGCTAGGTAACAGGGGCACTCAGGGTGAAAGAAACTTTGCCCATTTGTTTCTGCCTGGTGCGGGAATTGAACCCGCGCCACAGAATTACGAGTCCTGTGCACTATCCACCAGGCCCGTGTGTATGTGTGTGTGTGTGTATAGAGAGAGAGAGAGAGAGAGAGAGAGAGAGAGAGAGAGAGCGACTGATCGAGCTGAATAAATTACGTCACAATTCAGACTGTTTTTCTTACATTGCTTATAAGGGAGTAGAAGTGCATGAATGTTCTAAATAACTGACAAGCAGGTCATTTTCAAGGTCAAATCTCCCTCAACTAAGTTAGTTTTCCACAGGCTGAGGATGAGGTCGACGCCAATAAAGAGCCGAGTGGAGAGTCACCCGGAGCCACTATCCAGAAGGAAGAGTTCCTCGCGCTTGCCGGGAAGGATGGCAGAGTGAAGGCTGCTACTCTTCACAACATCCTCAACCTCCTCTTCTCGGGTAAGCCAGAAACATCACAGGGACTTGATCCTCCTGTGGTCACTTAGGAGGTTACAGAGCTCATGGACCGGTTTTCTTCCTATATCTTAACAAGGAAGAGATTAATCTCGCATTCAATCTTATAGTGAAAAACCCTCGTCCAGTTGGCGACTTTCGCCAGGCAACAAAACTAATTTCATTCCGTGCTTTAGAGAATCATACACTGTACCCTTCCTTGGGTTAGATTTATTATTTTATCAAATATGTGGCCACTGTTACCAGACGACTTGATTTCTGTACTTGGCACTCCTGAGAGTCAGAACGGCCCAGTCTTACATGCCAACATTGAAGAATTAACCCTCTTGTATTTTACTATGTATTAATAACTAATGAATCAGACTTCATGCAATTTCCTTTATTTTATATGTATTTTTAGTGACTAGATGATGTCTCTTTAAGCATTCTGGAAAGTATCGCATGAATGTTGTAGCCGCCAAAGAGAAAACAGGTAATACGTAGAACTGTGGAATTAGTCGATATATCAGTAATAGTGAGGTTAATCCCAGTAAGATTAGACTATTTTTACAGCACCCAATTGGCGGAACCAAGCCTCTTAGAATAGACTTTTGCTCAGTGGTCGCAAGCGAAGACCACCCAACCCGTCCTCTTAAAAATAACGTCACTTTTGGCTCGTATGCGCGCTATGGCCAAATTTGGACGTAATTTGAAATGAAATTGACTCACAAAAGTGACGTACTGTTCCGTTTTCTGTTTGAGTCGTCCGGCCAACTCTGTAAGGTTAGAATAGATGACTCTCAATTCACGTTTTTCATAACGTTTTGAAACTAAGATAATTTCCTGCCCACCTAACCTATCAGAGGACCCTTAACTTACTGTTGTTGAAAAAAAAATCCCAAATTTATTTTTATTTTTTTTCATTTTCAAATTACGTCCAAATTCGGCCATACGGGTAACGGCTAAAATCGACGTTATTTTTAAGATGATAGGACCCACTAGCGTCGGCACTTTGTTCCGCATCGTTATTTGCCTCTGGATATAATTCACACACACACACACTATATATATATATATATTATATATATATATATATATATATATATATATATATATATATATATATATATATATATATGAATAATGAAAACTCACACCCCAGAAGTGACTCGAACCCATACTCCCAGAAGCAACGCAACTGGTAACTACAGGGCGCCTTAATCCGCTTGACCATCACGGCCGTCAAAAGGAAGTGATAGCCGAGGCTATTTGAGCCACTTCCCCGACGGCAACTCGGATGGTAATCTTGGGCATAGCATTTCACCAAATCACCTCATTCTTTGGGGCACACGTGAGGAACACAAATGCGAACAAGCCTGAATGGTCCCCAGGACTATATGCGAATGAAAACTCACACCCCAGAAGTGACTCGAACCCATACTCCCAGAAGCAACGCAACTGGTAACTACAGGGCGCCTTAATCCGCTTGATCATTCGCATATAGTCCTGGGGACCATTCAGGCTTGTTCGCATTTGTGTTCCTCACGTGTGCCCCAAAGAATGAGGTGATTTGGTGAAATGCTATGCCCAAGATTACCATCCGAGTTGCCGTCGGGGAAGTGGCTCAAATAGCCTCGGCTATCACTTCCTTTTGACGGCCGTGATGGTCAAGCGGATTAAGGCGCCCTGTAGTTACCAGTTGCGTTGCTTCTGGGAGTATGGGTTCGAGTCACTTCTGGGGTGTGAGTTTTCATTCGCATATAGTCCTGGGGACCATTCAGGCTTGTTCGCATTTGTGTTCCTCACGTGTGCCCCAAAGAATGAGGTGATTTGGTGAAATGCTATGCCCAAGATTACCATCCGAGTTGCCGTCGGGGAAGTGGCTCAAATAGCCTCGGCTATCACTTCCTTTTGACGGCCGTGATGGTCAAGCGGATTAAGGCGCCCTGTAGTTACCAGTTGCGTTGCTTCTGGGAGTATGGGTTCGAGTCACTTCTGGGGTGTGAGTTTTCATTCGCATATAGTCCTGGAGACCATTCAGGCTTGTTCGCATATATATATATATATATATATATATATATATATATATATATATATATATATATATATATATATATTCCTTCTTCCACAAATACATTTTCATTTCCATATTATAAAACTACATTCTCTCAAACTGGCGTTGAATATAAGTACGCTTTCTTTGGCAGGAATATTGGAGTTCTCCCTAGACCTCAGCCGCAGTCTCCTGGCGATGATGGACAGAGACCTCTCCGGCAACGTAGACTTTTACGAATTCAAAACTCTGATCCGCTCCCTCAGGCGCTGGGTGGTGAGTGAGTGAGTGAGAGCTCAAAAGAAAGTAAATGAATAAGTGAATGAATAAGTGAATGAATGACCATAATAGGAAAGCCACAGCACTCCTCCCCCCCCCCCAAAAAAAAAACATTTAAAGCAACAAAATATAATATTTAAATTTATTTATGTCCCCAAAATAAAATTATAAAAAAATACTGTTAATCATTGAGGCCAAATCTCTTAAAATCATTTAATATCATACAATCTATTTAAAATTTCTGTCTTGCTTAAAATTCAGGTCCCTAAGGTCGCAGTCTTAATTCCACAGAACAAATAAAAGTTGCGATCTAGAATACACCAATTAGGGAATCCGCCATTACGAAGATTTTTCATGCACTTCACGCCTCTTTGCATCCTTGGTCCCTCAGGATGTCTATGACAGGAAGAAGGCGGCGGAGAGCGGACTGCTCTCGGGGCGAGCTTGGGGTTTGGGGGATGCTCTGAAGGAACTTGGTTATCAGGTGCCCCGTCGCCTGCAAGGCCTGGTGGTGGTCAGGTACGGCGACCAGCATGGTAACATATCCCTTAGCGACTTCCTCATGGTCACCTGCAGGATCTCCGTCATGCTTGGTGAGTACTAGATTCGTAAGCCACTAACTTGTTCACCTGTGGTGCGAACTGGCTCCTGATGTGTGTGTGTAATGTTGGTTAAAGAGGACATCACATTTGAAGTTATTTATTTTGTATGAAGGTCGCTGCACGGACGAGCATAACCTGAGGACGAGTTGTGTCATGCATAAAGTAGTTATTGTTGTTGATTGAGGAGCGACGACGATCGAGGGATTGGCTGCGTCCCGACTGCCCGATGCCGGGAAATGGCGAAGAGGGATCGGATTCAGGGACATGGCCAATGAAGCGGAAGGTATGGCGAAGGCTGTCATAACGGACGTGTTCGTCTCTCGCACCTGCCCCGTCGAGGAGAACGGGAAATATGCAACCTATAGACGGTACTCTGTCGCCTGACGTGAGTACTATAAAACCCTAGGCAGTGGAGGTGAGGTCCGAATCTTCCTGGTTCGGACTTCACTGGCATTAGGGCGAATCTACTAACCGAAAACAACGGAAATGTGCAGCCAGGCAGGAGTGCCTAATCCAAAGGCGAGTGAGAGCCGTGTCGAAAAGACGAGAACGGCGACGGGACAACAGACGCGGGAAGGAGCCCTCCCAGACGCTCGCCAGAGAAGAGGACCAAAGGACTGGCGCCATCTCTGCCTCCCATCCCGCGAGGCAGGCCGCCCGGAGCTGTGGGAGTTTAACCGTATGGTCCAGAGGCACCTGTGTAGTCATGCGCCATCCCTGTTGCTGCGCCAGCCATTTCATTGCCATTAGTCCCGACATTAGACGGAACCCAGTGGAGTGAGGCCGACCAACCCGGGAACCAGAGTACATCCCAGCGGATCTTTGACCCAGTATGGCGGTGAACCCGCGGACGCAGAGATGATATCAGACGCAGGGTCGTAACAGAGTCCCCGTAAAGTGGTCCTCTACGTGGTGGTCCATGTAGAGGACCACCGCCGAGGACCCAGAAACTTGTCGGAGGAGTCATAAAACCAGCAAGATTGTAAACAGTTCTCCAGTCAGGCACGAATGAGCCGGGAACAGCTCATTCGTGCAAAGAACGCAGCCGCTGAGGTGAACGGCGACTGATCGATACGGAACCCATCGGAGTAAACCTCCATGTATCCCGGGTATAAGGGCTCAGCCACTTGGGCTGAACGGTCACGCAGGTTGGCGTTCAATCCCGGACCGTCCAAGTGGTTGGGGCACCATTCCTTCCTCCCCGTCCCATCCCAAATCCTTATCCTGATCCCTTCCCAGTGCTATATAGTTGTACTGACATGGCGCTTCCTCCTGATAATTCCCTCCCTCCCGGGTATAAGGAGGCTCACAGGTCAGCAAAAACCAAGGGGACCAGTTCCTCTAAATCCCGCTTCTGGCGAAGAGACTTCGAAAAGTTCACAGACACCCAGATGAGCTCCTCTGTCCATCTTGAGGTTATCTTGAGATGATTTCGGGGGCTTAGCGTCCCCGCGGCCTGGACCTCGACCAGGCCTCCTTTTTGTTACACCCCCCCCCACCCCAGGAAGCAGCCTGTAGCAGCTGTCTAACTCCCAGGTACCTATTTACTGCGAGGTGACAGGAGCATCAGTGTGAAAAAAACATTTTGCCCATTTGTCTCCGCCTCCACCGGGGATCGAACCCGGAACTTCAGGGCTACGAATCCGAAGCGCTGTCCATCCAGCTGTCCATAGAGGCATCTGAGAGATGACCGGACCAAGGATGGGAAGGGAAAACTGCATATGTGCCTCCATGGGTCACACGACGAAAGGCAGCTGACGGCGACTAGAACGTCCAACCAGCAGATCCCACTAGTGGCCTGCGGGCCGCTCCAAGCAACAACCGGTTGGACCAAACTCTCACAAGTCAAGCCTGGCCTCGGGCCCGGGCTCGGGAAGTAGAAGAACTCCCAGAACCCCATCAAGCAGGTATCAACCAGGTGCCTCGGCGTGAAGGAATTTTCAGTCAAAAAGGGTTTGGGCGGGTGCATTAACGAGCGTTTTGGCCATTGTTTAGGAAGAGGGGCTACACCAGGCCCACCACATTTATCTCAATATTTTACAAGTTGGGGTGAGAACGTATATTGTTGCTAATCTAAATTTACGTGATCTACTCTCTAATGGAATACGAGAGGACAGGAATCCGGCGGCTTGACAAAAGGTCCTCCCTCCCCCACCTTGTACGAGAATATTTGTTTTCCAACTGTGTTTTGAACTGCCGTAATGTCTTGGCATTTACGCCATTTCCCGTTTCCCCTCCCACTTTGTGGCTTGTTAAGCATAAAACTGTCGCTCCTGACGCTAAATTAATCCTTCAGAAGGTATAAATGTAATCCCTCACTATCTCTCACCTTCACCTTCCTCACCTTGCACATTCTCATACCTTTCCCACCTTTATTAACACTAATCCTTTGTATCCATCTGTTACATTCAAGCAAATGTAACTATCTGCTTGCCAGGGGGGGGGGGGGGCAAACTATATCTAATTGCGTTCAGTCAACACATGATGTATGTTAATACATTGTTATTATCACTGCCATATGTCCGGCAGTGCCCCGGGAAGGGGGAATATACAAAATTAAGTCTTACTCTCATATTGGTGACTCAAGCTCCTTGTCAGCACTCATCTTGACTAATAAACATATTAAAAATGAGGGAAAGTATGAAACAAGTATATTCTAACAGGTAAACATTCGTGATTATTTTACATCCACATGCGATTATAATATTCAATAATTACTTTAATAAATTCAATATTATCTGTTGTACTGAAAGGGGAAAACCCCATTTTATTCAGTTCCTAGTGTCTACTTATTAATATGTTAAACTATTACAAGATGTCGAATGAAGGATTGCATTGATGGCTGGTTTACAACCATACTGCTTTAGTGTAAGTATATTATACTTATAATAGTTCTACTGTTGGTGCTAAAATTTTGTTGTTGTTTTCCAGAGAGATTCCAGATGCACATTAGTGAGGAGAAGGACCAGGCTGTAATACAGTTGTCAGAGTGGCTCCAGGATACACTCTACTGCTGACACACTAAACCTTCTCAAGCCATGTCCAAGCACACCAAACTGTGCAAGTAAAACAGCAGAAAAATTAAGGTTGTTGTTATGCCGAGACGTGACCAAGCATTACGGAAGGAATGCTCAGTTTCTCGAAGCCGAGACAATCCCAAAGTTGATTTAAAAGCTGAAACTAACACGCCACAATACACGAGTGTTAACGAACAAGTCAGGCACATTGTTTGTGACACTAAAGTACTATTGGCTTAGCTCTCGACTCTCAATCTTAGATCCCGGGTTCGGTTTCCGGACGGGAGAAAAACAGTTGGGCACGTTTTCATTCAACTCTGTTCATCTAGCGGTAAATACAGGTTCCCGGGAAATAAGCGTCTGTTCATCTGGCATCCTGTTACATCCTGAAGGTCAGGTTAGTACTTGGACTCCTGGGAGGGGACCTTCTACAGACTTCCTGTCCCCAATAACGCAAATTATTGTCACCAACATATGCTGTATTTGGCCAGTGTTTACCCTCTAATAATGTAGATCATTTTCTTCTGCGCACTTAATAAAGAAAAATTTAATTTAAGATAGACATTAGTATTTTGAACCACTGAGCTTTGTTTTACTTTAACAATATAATTTACATGAGTATAAATAAACGAAAGTTTATTATCCGAACAAAAAGTTCACAATTCAAATATGAATGCATCAGGTTACCCCGAGACGCTGTGCGTGTTAGGGGCTTTGCAAGAATGTAAAAACACCAATATTATGTAATCTCACAAACCCATTGTACCTTCTTGTAAATAAATTATTTTTATTATAATTATGATTATAGGTTCAGCACCTTAGGCTGTGGCCAGCGCTGGATGGGTGACCGAGCGTACAGCCTCTTCCTTGGCTTGCGGTACGTGGGAGAGTCAGACAACTTACCAGTCCTCCGACAATAACATATCAGCAAACGGAGAAATGTATTGTCAGAACAGTCGGTTCCCATTCAAAAAGTTCCGGATCTGGATTGGCGCTCAGGACGGACACGTTTGGAAAAATATTCCTTTCACCTGATATAGCTGTTCACTTAAGAGTAGTAACAGATACACGGTAGTTTCTCACCTCATGTATTCACCTAGTTGTGCTTGCGGGGCACGAGCTTCAGCTCTTTGGTCTCGCCTCAACAATCAATCAGCTGAGCCTATTTGGGCTCTATCATATCTACAATTCAAACTGTACCACATAACTGTCTAGTGTATTCCACTTGTTAGCTACTCTGCTAATGTTAAATAATTTGTCTTTGAAGGTGGTCAACCGTTGGCCTTGAGAGACCTCAATAAGCCAAGCAGACATCCTGTTCCCGACAATAGAAAACCAAATCATCATTGTAGAGACCTATAGGCCTATTTGGAAATATAGTAGATCAGTCGACCAAAAGAGAGTAAAATTTTAAAATAATGGTTACACGTTATAAATTAAGTTTGGAGACTAACTCGCAGATCTTTGGTACAATGTGAACTTGAAACATTCCACACATGGTTTTTATTTTTAAATTTGTTAATTTATTATGCGCCCCATACCCATTCCGTGGGCGGCAGTTTAAACAATTAGAGGCACATTAATGGGTTCGGAAACTGAACCTAAAAATTCACTGACCTATGTAACAATCTTGGTAAGTTAGTTAAATTGTTTAAACTTGTGTATCAATAGTCTTTATAGCACAAATGGTGCAAGAACACAACAGCAACTTACATCTGTGGTGAGCCACTTGCATGTTTACCGATCATGCAGCCAGCACCCAACCAGTGGGCAGTGGTGGGGACCTACACCCATGTACCCCAATGTAACCTAACATTGGTTACCTTGCTCTTATTTTTTGGTAGCACATCATTTTGAATGAAATATACATTTCTTGAACATTTGTAATAGAATTCTCTGAAATTTTATTTGTTTCACATGAATGATCAATAATTTTCCTAACATACAAAATGCTTATTACACATTATGTGGAAACAATCATAATAAATATTAAAACTAATAGATGTGTATTAATACTCAAGAATTTAACAACAATATTTTTCAAAAATATATTGCGAACAGATTTCAGTAAAATAAGTTGGAAAAATACAAATTAAAAATATATATAACACATTACAATAGTTTACTTATAGGCGCAGAGGTTGTGTAATTATAAACCGTTGCAGACTGTTCTCACGCAGTGTATTACTGCACTAATCTGTAACTTTTGTTCCTTAGATCTAATGCTAAGTAAGGGAGAACGGCACATCTCTGACGCCGAAATATGTTTCTCGGAACGCAGGTGATAACACATTTGAATACTCAAGACAAGCACATGTGTCCCGTAACAAAGTGGTACAAGTTCTCAGCTCATAATCTAGGGACCGGGTTCAATCCCCGGGCAGAATTGAAGCGGTTGGGTACATTTCCTTTCATCTAATGCGTTGGTTCACTTAGGAATGATATAGGTACCGTGGAGTTTAGCAACTGTGGCCTGCATGGGGGAAGGCATGTAATCAGCCTATGAGGGTTAGAGATGTCTAAGCACAAGCTTCCTGTCCTAACAACGGGAATTGTTAAGTACATGTTCATCACATGCCTTAGCATCAACACCACTCACAGCTCATCACACACACACACTCATCATCCTCACACACTTTGCCGGGGCCGAAAGAGCAGAGCTCAACCCCCGCAAGAACAACTAGGTGCAAGTGCAACTAGGTACACTTACAAGAGCAGCGGTGTTATGAGACCACCCTAAACCCTACGCACGTGGAGGTCAACAAGACAACCACCAACGAATTATTCAGTAATAGTTGCTTACGAATTTAGTAACAATTACCGTGGGATAATTATACTCTCGGTACTTGGTTTGCAACCACGAGAATGTGAGTGTGTGAGAAGCCGTCACCTCACGAGAGAAGCGACACCTGTCAACCACTGGGAGCGGCCCAAGGACACCACCTCGTCTCCAAAGTCAATGTGATTGTGAGTTGCCATCTTGTTATGACTAGGTTTTATGCACGCATGCAACCCTCCCCCCCCCCCCCCACAGTCACACACGGAACCCCAACACTCGCAACCGCCATTTAAACGTCAACATTGTGCAGTGTTTTCTTTTGCAAACGTTATTTGTATTAACTTGGTTATTGCCATCGCCTGATCTTTGTACTATTAAACTGTTTAAGTTCCAAACTTCAAATAGGTATTTACACCAGAAAATATTTCGATAAAATGTAAACTATAACTATCATATATTGTCACTATACACAGTCTGAGCATTATGCAAATACAGAACATTAATTCCTACCCAATATATTCATTTATAATTACCTCGTTCATCCGGGTAATTATCCATTACTTTAATAAACGCATTATCGATTTGGAATTTTCTGCATAAAATCTATTATATCTAATTAAGTTTTTTTTATACAAATCTAACCTAATCGAAGAACTAAGCCAACTTTTAATATACACAAAAGATTATCATGTTCATACAATTTACACCCATATTTTGTAAATAAGCATCAGAGATTTGTTTGATAACCTGAAGAGAACAATTCACTATACTGATTAATTGCATTTGTTTTGCAAATTCTTTGAAAAAAATCAGATTACATAAATTCACCTATCCACAACTACGATATCCACCCGTAAATCCACCGGCTCAAACCACCACCAAGGAACCAAGTGATGCAAGAGAAGAACTCACCGTTGATATCCCCTTTCTTATCCCTGGAATGTGGCTCCCGAATATTTTATCTTCAAACTGTAAATTAAGTGGAGGCTTCTCTTCACACTTCGTGAAAGTCGAAAATATATCGAAAAAGAGAGGAAGATTGCGAACTCTACACGCACAAAAAAATGCTGTTGCTATCCACTATTTAGGGTCACCGCGCGCCGTAACTGGGTGTGGTCGAGTGACGGACGGCGGCGGGGCGGTGAACAGCAAGACACAACACAAGGGTGTTGAGAAGCCTCGCCTGGTGATATGGACGGGGCTTCCAGACCAAGCTTAGCTACCAGCACGACGTCAACCGCTTGTTACCCAGCAACTACCAGCTGTGCGTAGATTCACCTAGTGTGTGTATATATATATATATATATATATATATATATATATATATATATATATATATATATATATATATAAAAAAAAAAAAAAAACTAATCTTCACCCGTATAGCTTTCCTTTAGATTGATTATTCAAGTGAATGCTGCAAGACATTTGGTCAGATACAACCTACAGAAGGTTGTAATTTATATTGCAAGCCGTGTTCCACCGAGTAAACCATTGGGTAGGGCTATTTATGTTATGCAGACGTTTAACCCGTATCCCTTTTATTCAGTTACTCCTTGTTGCCGCCAAATGTATGAAACTTTAAATTGGTGTTCTATTTTCAGTTTTGAGGAATTGTGGCAGTAAATGTGCATCTTTGTAATTTAGACTTATCCGCATACTTATCTTAAGGTTCATATACGCTACTAACATTCTATATGAAGATAAAAAAATTTCCACAATAAAATTCAACAAAAGTAAAATAATCTTTGCTATAGTTCACTACTTTGTTCAAGATATCCATTTTCCCCTCTTTTACAACAGACTGCTATACCTAGGTACAATACAGTTCAATTTAAAGTTTCTTACATCCAGCTTCAGCGGCCTCGTTTGTCATATTTTATAATTCCCACACAACCCGCCCTCGACTTACGTCCATTACATCCAGCGGTCGACTCCCACAAATTTTTACGTGCTGTTCATTCAAAACGTGAACTTTATCAAATATATATATGATAATATATTAGCATATCGTACATATATAGGCAGAGGTTAGGTTAGGTGTTTAAGTTCTGTTGATTATTTGTAATACGTGGGTGAAGCATTTACAGCGTTGTGGGTCTAACAAAATTACTGAAGCACTTGTTCCGGAAGTGTTCGAATGAAGTCAGTTGTGAGTAATATGTAAACCGTTTGTCATTCATAAACAGGAGGGGGGGGGGGTTTGAAGGGGGTGTATGGAATCAACTTTTGGGTCTTTATTTGGAGGACGGGCTGCACCATGTATTTTTGGTTTTAACTACTGATGAGCCGACTTCATATCACAATACCAACATCTGCTTTTTCAGCATTAGGGACTAGTTCCAATGATAAAACTTTCCATCATATTAATTTGTTTATTGTTTCCAATACAAATGAGTGCATGCTTATAAACATTAGAAGGCTATACATAGTGCCAAACTATTAACTGGCTAAAATATAACATGTATACATATATATATATAATTAAGGGTTATTCTTGTCATGTTTCTGGTCGAGTGCTGCCATCTGGCGGTGTGGTCATTTACTCTCCGATGAGAGCCAGGAGAACCTTCCTGTAGTCCCCAGAAGTGTCGGCCTGAGAAGAAATGTTTAATAAAAAACACTTAGAATAAGTTTTGATGTTTAATTCACCCATTTACGAACCAAACTAAAATTGAGGGGGGCCATCAAGTGAAATTCAAAATATCTTCAATTTGGAAGATTCATAACATTTGCGGTATGAAGACTAGGCAGAGGAACAGTACTCTACTCGCAACATGAGTGAAAACACAGACCCGGCCAAGAAAAGGCGCCAGCTAACTAAACTGCAAGGGGTGACAAAAAATACCACCCCATAACTCCCACCAATTACACCTTTATCTTATAAATTAAACTTTACAATCCTACTCTAAATGTGTAACAAAATGAGACTCCCACCTTGATGTCGTTCTCCAGAAGCTTGTCGTACAGGTTATGATATTCTGTTTTGATGTTGCCCAAGTCTACCTCGCAGCGAGAGACTACCAGGCGGATGAGGTCCTGGTCCTTTGTGCCCGGCCCGGCCATTGCCTTGTGCAGAGACTCTGCGAAGAACACGTACCGGTTCTCCAGGCAGTCAACTGTACCAAATGGTGATGGTCAGCAATGGCGGTGGGTTGGTAGGTAAGTGGGTGGGTGGGTGGGTGTGAACAGAAAACAGTAGTGATACGTGAGCAATATCCATCCTGGTCTTTAACTATACATCAAGATCGGGTGGGGGTGGCGGCGGCTTTAACCCTCCCGCTATATAGACCTAAACTGGCCAACAAAGTGTCATGTGATACTTACACACAGCTCTCATGTTAGTCTTGGTGCTGCCCTTGTACTCGCAGTCGAAGGTGTCTCCCAGAGTTCGACCCGCCAGCTTGTAATACTCTACTAAGATGCTGCGAAATTCTTTGTAGGAGTACAAGCAGAGGGCCTTGAGCAACTTTTTCTCAACTAGACCTTTTCCTGCAGAACGGCAGTCACAGGTTACGAATGAAATACATTAACGCTTCCCGTCTTCGGAAATTAATACGAGAAAGTTACCGTACCCTGACATCACACCCCCCCCCCCCCCCATAAACCATAACCCTAGACGCGTTTGTCAATCTTAATCACCATTCACAGCATTCATACCAGCCAAGTTGTCCAAATAAAAAAAAAAAAAGTTATATTACAGAATGGTTTGACGACCAGGCATTCTATACTAGAGCGATTAAACCGCCGTCCCTCCACGCCATGCATCACACACACCAGTATCAAACACTGGTACATTGTACAGAGAGCGGCGGCCGATAACAGTTGTCATGAGACGTGAGACAGGAAGGGCAGGCGCACACACCTCACTAATGGACCAATAAGATAACACTACCAGGTGAGTAATCGACAATCTACTTTAGAATGGTCCTGAATGGACCGAAACGTTGTCTCCACTTTCTAGTGAGGCTTGGTCATATTTCAGCCACATTGTGACTCCTAGTCTACATCACCAGGTGTCGCGACACAACATAACGCCTGCGATTATTCAAGTCTGGATATATTAATGCATAATCTACACTAAACAAGATACATTAACAAACATGAAAAAGTAATTTAACTAACGAGGCATATACTAATTAAAGAGTATGAAGGGAGATTAAATGGCAAATTTATCATCCAGAAGTGACTGTACTTATAGCACCAGTAACGTACAAAATATGAACTTTGTATCTGCAACTCTGTCAATCCGTATTTTGCTACAGCTTTAATAGAAGCCCCATGAATTGAAGGCAAAAATCAAGAATCAACTTTCCTAAGCCTAATCTAGTTCATATATGAACTAAATGAAGCCTAAGATTACTTATATTACGCCTGTTATTTAGATCTAGTTTAGATTAGGTTATGATGACCAAACGACACTAGAAGATTGAGACGACGTTTCTGTCCGTCCTGGACCAATATATCAAGTTGATTGTCATCAACTTTATAATCATATCTTCAGTGACGTTGTGACTCTTCGTCTGCAGGTTAGGTTAGTTTAATCACCGGGATGTTGCAGTTCATTATGCCTCTTTACACCAGTAGTACACTACAAACTTCGTGGGTGGAATAATGACACATTCAACACACACTGGCCGTTGCACTATGGGTTTTAGGAGGATGATTAAGTGTGCAGCGGCCCACACTCACCGTCGTTGTAGAGTTCATTGGCGATGACGCGGCCGAAGTCCTCGTTGACAGTGTCGCTCCTCTTGGCTTCTACCACCCGCTGCATCAGGGCCTGGAAGGTCTCCGAGGTGGCCTTCGTCAAGGACTCTTCCAGGCTGGTGCTGAAGAGACGCTCGTACGCCGACTTTATTGACCTGCAGTGTGTCAAGGTGAGCGAGTGAGGCAGGGGAAAGAGGGCTGCGTGAGGCAGGGGAGGCAGGAGAGGGGTGGTGGCCCGTGAGAGGCAGGGAGGGGGTGGTGGAGAGACGCGTCAGGGTGTAAAAAGACTGAAAATAAAGACTAAAGAGATACAGGGAATCAAACATAATATTATGTACAAAATAGATAAACTATAAGAATGATACAGCAACCACGCCACACCCAGACTCCTGTACAAACATGAACATTTGTGAATGATCACGTAGTCTACCTCAGAGTGCAGATACAAGACAAGAGATGTGCGAAGTACTAAACGACAGCTCTGGCTCTTATCCTTCTGCCACAATCACCACGTACTTAATGAGGAAGTTGTCGGCAGTAAAGAGGATCTCCACCATGACCCTCCCGTTCTTGTGCTTGCAGGCGTCGTGCAGTTCCTGAGCCAGGTAGTCGGCTTCGGGCGTCATCAGGGCTACGATCACATCTTCGAAGTCTCCACTAAGCTCCTTCTTCAAGTCTTTCGTCAGATCCTGTGGGGGGGGGGGGGTAGGGGGTGTTCAAGCCTTGCCGACTACTTTAAAGTGACAAGGAATTTTGAAGAGGAATGCAATGGCTCTCAATCTTAATTCATCAGTGAAGTTTTAATGTTCCCAAAAGCATATTATAACATTACAATAGCCGCTATCAATATATTTACGTATGACCTTGAAACTAGCACTTTTTCATTAGAAATCAATTTAATTCTGAATCACCGTTTACAAATGAACGGTTCGAGGGAGACGGAAGAGAAAGCACAAGCATGAAGAGAAGAGTTTGCAGGTGCCCAGAAGAGCACCGTGGCCTCACCTTCTCGTAGGCTCTGTTGTAGGCTTGTTGAAGCCCTTTCCTCTGGTCGTTGGTGCAGGAGGTAAGGATGTTTATAATTGTCGCTTCATCCGTCCCCACGCCCTTCATCGCCTTCCTCAGGGCATCAACATCCCCAGCCACGGACATGGGCATCTTCGCCCTCACAGTTGGTTTTTCCTATTGATGGAAAATTTTGTAGTGTGTTGGTAAATGGGTGTTGTAAGGGCTGTGTTAGTGTCGTTGTGGACACGCCAGACTTGACCCGTGTGTGCTGGAAGCGTTGTAGTGTCAGCAGTGTTTGAACAGGACCAAGTCTTAGGAAAGCGTATATGGACAGTACACCAAGCAGGGTTCAAACGCATGACTGAGCAGCTAGGTAAAAGTTAATGGCGAGCCAAGAAAAAGTATCACGAAACTATGGGAAAAATATACTAAATGCAGGATGGTGGCATTACTTCAGGAGTGAATATAAAAATCAACGCCAACTGTTCAAGTAATTATCATTAATTGCTTAATACTAAACGTGTCAAGGCCGGAAGTGCTGAAGAAAACGAGTATAAACTAAAGCCAACATGAAACTTTGCAGGTGTGGCGGGTGGAGGTCTTTGAACAGCCCTGGTTATGAAGAGAATGAAGACTTTAGGAAGGTAACGCTTGTCAAGCAAAATTATGAAACGTCGAGCACTTTCGAGCCACTTATACAAACACAGTAATGCAATCTAAGCTGGGGGATCGAGTGGCGAGACAAAGTGATTGGGACAGTGAAACTCAAAGTTTGGAAGAGCAACAGTGACATTTATGACCCGTATAGAACAGCGTGTGTAACAAAAGCAAAAGTAAACAAGGAAGCAGGAAAATAATCTTCAGACATGGCTCGCAAGGAGATGGATGAAGTGGACTAGTGAACAGTCAACCACAAGTTGTACGGAGTTTGGCTATGGACCAAAAACTTTTAAAAAGGCACATTAAACTAGTTATTATTGCTGTTTATTATGCGATACTGTGCAAGAGGGAACGTGGTTTTGACTACCAGATTAACCAGCACTGCTCTCTTCTCTTCCTGATGTGTGCCACGTGTGGGATTAGGGTAATGACTTAATGGTGGGGCATAAATACTTTGCTTTGCCTGTATTGTCATGCGCCCAGCCAACAATACTAGTTAAAAAAAGTTAAATTAACGCCACGCAGTATTGTGTAGATTCTTGCAACAACTTGGCACGAAGAGTTGTGCATTACAATTATTAATTCAAGAAACCCCCGGTGTGGCAATGTCAACCGTCTCCATGGACGAGCAGAATGCTTGTGAACACAGCTACGTTGATCAAGCTAAAACCTCAAGCAGAGGCGTTATGCAGAGTGAATTCTAAAGAGGAACACTTACACCACGGTGTAGCTTACACCACTGGGTTAAGATTGAGCCAGCATCATAGTGGACCGATTACGAGAAGATTCTACGCACGAGAATATACGAATGAATCATTAACAACTCACATCTACATTAAGAACAAGATGCATTTTCAAGACAAAAATATTGGGAGAAAATGAAGGAGTATAATGCTATACGCAGCGAGCATTGTGCTCGGCACTAGAAAATATCGCTCCAAGCTTGAGAGTAATAACGAAATTAGCCGTGAATAATTCTATTAAAGTGTTTACAATAATGTGTTATGACAAATTCTAAAGACATTCAAGCTCCGCGGGGTAATAGAGAAGCTATACCAACATCACACACGCCTCCGGGCACTTGTTGCCTTTGATACTGTTCTCTACTGCACGAGAACCACTGCCCAACAGTTCCTACATCTGAGATTTATTATACTCAACTGAACTTTTAGTTACGTGCCATATTTGTTTCATTCATCCATTCATTATATTACGGAGACTGTACAAGATAAGCAACACCGCTCCAGCAGTCGGCCAGGGAACAACAGTAGTTTCACGAGACCAGTTACGTGCCTCTGTATGCAACATACATATTTATTCACTCCATCCACAAACCATATATACTTAACCTTGACCATTACCATATATCGTGCTGTGTATACCCGCACTCCTTGCTCCCTCACTCTCCCTACCTGCCCACCTACCTCCTCTCCCTCCCTACCTACGTGCCCACCCCCTTCCTCAGAATCACAGGGAACACAGGGCTCGGCGGCACCACCACGGGCTCCATGCAAACTAGTCTCATCTAGTTGCATCGTGGCTTCAGTAACCGAAGTTTTCACACTGCAATTTCATCGATTCACACTACTCAATTTTGACTGAACAAAATTCCTCTTATCAATCACTCATTACGCATTTAAACCAGTCACATAATATCTTCTCCAACATCCTGGCAATCTAAAGATCCGCTTCGCTAAATTGACTAATCCTTGGCCAACATCAAATTTCACATTCACCAAATTACAAATTTTCAATATATTGATATATTGAGCCAATATATTGAGCTTTCGCCTCTACCATCCTCACGGCCCTTCAGCACTTATTAAATAAGCAAAGTAACAGCACAACCCTGGCGTACAAGCTACACAAGTCACCAGTAACATTTAATTACACAATACATAGGAACTTCTCACAGCATTAAAGAACTTACAAACTCATTAAAATGCCATATAATATTTTTTAAGTCCATATGCACCTTACAGTTCCTCTCAAGCCCTCTCTAAGTTATCTCAATGCAAATATCAAATCAAAACACCATTTCTGTGCGTGCTCTTACGAGCCTAACAAAACCGCTTACCTCTGCCATTTCACCGACTGCTGCCAATGTTTCTGTTGGTCACACGACGCGTCCTCTCCCAACGACACCTGAAGACTGACTAAAAACTTTTCCCAGGCTCTTATTTCTACCTGTCTCCTGTGCTGTGATTGGCTGGCCACTGCATCATACCGAACATCATCGTACACAAGAGGTGGCACCACAATATAGCGGTTGGCCATTACATCATCATAGATTATTTCAGCATATATCTGGTTATCAGATAATGACATAACTGCATAAATATTTCCGCTGCCCCCTGTGGTAGATATCGTAATGTATCACGCTTCACGACTATCTGATTAGGAAATATTTGAGCAGGACAATCTACCTGACAACACAGTAAAAATGTGTGTTCTAAATACTTATTTGTTTCTGTAATTAAGTAACATCTATCCAAATAATTACATGATTTCGAGTTTAATCTACTTACGAAAGTATATTGTCACTGTATATATATATACACCGAAAAACAGGGTATAGTTCCGTGTCCTTATAATTCTTCACCCAATTACGTTTACATTAGAGAGGCGTGCTTCGAACACAGGCAGTGAGCGAAACACTGTTCGAGAAAAATTCTAACGTTAATCACTTGTAAGTCTCGTGCAAAACATTTTTAATTCCAAAAGCAGCGGCAGCTGATTGGACGAGTATTTGCTCAATGTTGTTGAGAATGGCAGGTAATCAGAGAAAATTTGTATATCATTCGCCTGCTTTGAATTGTTTCAAAATCATCTGAGATTTGAATGAAGAGAGAGAGAGAGAGAGAGAGAGAGAGAGAGAGAGAGAGAGAGAGAGAGAGAGAGAGAGAGAGAGAGAGAGAGAGAGAGAGAGAGAGCCTGTGAGAGGGAAGAGCGAGATCCTGTAGGAGTAAGAGAGAATTGTGTGACAGTAGAGAGGTATACTGGGAGGGGAGAGAGGGTGCCAGGGAGGGGAAGCAGAAACCGTGTAGGTTTTCGCAATACTTGTGTCGTTACCCGTGCGTCTCCGAGTATATGTTAATAGTGACATTAATATAGCTTCTCCTTCAAGGCGTTGTACCTGTGGGTCAGCAAGATTTTATTTAGGCTTGTGTCTTGCCTATGAATTTTCTACAGATATCTTAAGAGATTAGTGTCTAGCATGTGTAATTACTGCTGATAATTCAATCAAACATGTTAAAAACATTTAGTACATATTTCCATGACTTCACGTTAGGTTTTACCTTCATAAATGTATCTCCTCAGTATTATAAAATAATATTTTTAGCTCCATTTTTCGTGCTTTATTTTGTTCCACTTACTACCTCACCTCTTCTTTACTACCTCACCTAGTTTTAGACCTTATATTAGCTTCCTTCATCTCTCTCTCTCAAAAAAAAAACAAGTTACAGCCCCGCTCCTGTGCCAGGTAAGTCCACTACGGGCTCACCATAGCCCGTGCTACTTGGAACTTTTTGTTCCCAGTAGCTGAAGCTATAACAACAAAAATATTTCAAAAGGATTACGGGTTATTCATGTCCATACCACTTCTTGGGTGGCTTAATCTTCATTAATCATCAATCGTCTCAAAAGACGAAAGATTTATGCGTTTTGAAGGGAAACCACAGTTCGATATGTCTTAAGTCACTACCTCATAAGGGTCCAAGACGGGTCGAAACGTTTTTTTCCTTCCTATCTTTTCATAGGTGGAGGATGAGTTATTTATTAATGTTTAATTTACATTAAATTCGTTGTAAATTATCAGGTTAATTTTGTGTTATAAGGTAATATGCATGAAGCAAAGCAAACTTTAATATCATCTTCAAGATGTATAATAATCATATTGTATCATTACAATCTTGAATGAATATATTGTATATTTTATGGCTAATTGTTTTGTCTATGTTATTTTACCACAGACGTGGCCATATATTTTTACAGTGCTAACCAGCATGTATACATTTTCGTCTGTCCTCCATACAAAGAATTTGAGCGCTGCTTCAGTACACTGAACCACTGAGGAAGACTGACGTTGTTTTACAATGCTAACTAGTATAAAATATATAGAATAATGGAATTAATGTAACATTTTATTGCTCACAGATATTTTTCTTGAAAAGTAACGAAGGTGATTTTAATAAAATCAAAATGAATAAAAAAAACACATACAAGAGAATACACACAAAGGCCACAGAAGACTAAAATTTCTCTCCTGAGTTATCCACTAAAGCCATTGCATGACTTTTTTATACTTTTTTTTTTACAAAACTTCAATTTTCCTCTTGAGATCTCAAGCATTAAAGGAAAATGTTACTGGCGGGAGCCTGTTTCGACACCCCGAAGTCTGGACTCTTATATCACGGAAATTTCCCCGGAGGCGTTGTCAGCTCGTGTTTATTAGATCAGCCATAAAGCCTGGTATTGGAGAGAGGCTCCAGGCTGGAAAACATGCCAATGGAATCCTTGCAGTAGATTAGCTTGACCCCTCGAGAACGATAAATGCAGATGTCTTCACCCCATGGAGAACGTAAGTGAGTTCGATGTCTTCACCCCATGGAGAACGTAGGCGAGTTCGATGTCTTCACCCCATGGAGAACGTAGGCGAGTTCGATGTCTTCACCCCATGGAGAACGTAGGCGAGTTCGATGTCATCACCCCATGGAGAACGTAGGCGAGTTCGATGTCTTCACCCCATGGAGAACGTAGGCGAGTTCGATGTCTTCACCCCATGGAGAACGTAGGCGAGTTCGATGTCTTCGCCCAATGGAGCACCAAGAATTCATGCTTGACGTATGATAATTTAATCCGTGTACTATGTTTTTGCCAGCCTTAGAATTTGGTGATTTCATCGTCGATATGTGGTGAGTTAACCTTCTAAGTATAGAGTGGAGACGCCTCCAACAAATAAGTGAGGTTGTGGTATTCATTTAATACGATAATTACAACTGGAAAGAGATTTATTCTTTGGAAAAAAAAGTTCGGCAGGTTACTGACTTATGACAGAATGACAAATTATTTTCTGGAAGAGTGGTAAGTTGGCATACTAACAAGTGGAAAATTGGGGCTCGCAAGGTCCAACGTTCAATTCCCAAACATCCTTTTGTATTTCAATTTTACGTTTTCAACCTGCAAGGAGTATTAAGAGTGAAGTGGTGGTCAAAACACATTACTGTGTGTCGTAGTGCCTAATGAAGATGGTTAATAAAGTTGACCAGAGCCCGTGTCAGCATTTAACAGGTTGGTGGAACTTCAGTTTTAATCTCCTTTGACAGATCAGTCAGTGTCCTAGTGAGCAACTTAATTCATTTTTAGGTCTTGCAAAACGACCTACGTGTACTTCACAAATGGTGAGAAGACCGGCAAACAGACAATCATGATCGTGCAGTCATTGAAAGCTGTTCAGCAAGCAGGAACTAAAAAAGGAAAAGCCAACCAAACCGTATAAATAATTAAACAAACGTTTTATTCCAAGGAAAAGATATTGGTTATTTACCAATACAAATTTTTTGGTGCGCCTCCTCCAAGCGTGGAAACCTGACTTCAAGGAGATATAAGTACTTTGAAAATGATACGCGTAGAACAACAAAAATCATCCCAGAACTAACTCCTAAACCATAAAAGGTTGAGGGCGTCAACACTAATACCACCACGAAATAAACATGATATGATTGACCAAGTTAAGACCTTTAAAATACTGAACAAATTGGAAGATATTATGGGAGACCACATATTACCAAGACCAATGTGATTCACACAAGTAGGCAACAGCTTCAAGTCGGAGAATCCTCACTGTTGGACACAACACTTCAAAGTCTATATAGAACGAATTCCGAGGAATAGTGGAGAAACCTTTAACAAGTTGCCTGCTTCCTGTCTCCATGTAGGCCAATAGAAATGGCGGCCCTCCGGTAAGTTTAGGCATAAGTGAAGAACAACTTTCCTCAAGCAAGGCAGCACAAGACAAACCTCACCGAGACATTTACGGAATTGGACAAGTTTAACAACTCAAATACAAATTCACTTCTTCAAGATGTCCAGAGCCAAATAAGATGAAATATTTAAAAAATTACAAAAAATGCAGAAAATACACTAGGAAATTCTTCTTTTACGGTGGTAAACATATGAAATAGTAATGCAGCTGAATCACAGACAATGTGTACTCACCTAGTTGTGTTTGCGGGGGTTGAGCTCTGGCTCTTTGGTCCCGCCTCTCAACTGTCAATCTACTGGTGTACAGATTCTTGTGCTTCTCGGGCTCTATCATATCTACATTTAAAACTGTGTATGGAGTCAGCCTCCACTCCTAGTGCATTCCATTTACTAATACTCTGACACTGAAAAAGTTCTTTATAATGTCTCAGTGGCACATAAGGGTACTCAACTTCTACCTCTGTCCCCTTGTGCGTGTACAACATGTGTTACATAATCCATCTTTGTCAGAGTTTCTTTCACCCTATGCCCTTGTTACCTAGCAGTAAAATAGGTACCTGGGTGTTAGTCAGCTGTCACGGGCTGCTTCCTGGGGGTGGAGGCCTGGTCGAAGACCGGGCCGCGGGGACACTAAAAGCACCGAAATCATCTCAAGATAACTTCAAGATAACCCCTGGCAATTCCACTGAGAATTTTGTATGTGGTGATCATGTCTCCCCGAGCTCTTCTATCTATCAGCAACGCGAGGTGCAGTTCACGTAGTCTGCCCTCATAACTCATGCCTCTAAGTTCTGGGACTAGCCTAATGGCATACCTCTGAATTTTTTCCAGTTTCGTCTTGTGCGTGACAAGTTACGGGTTCCATTCTGGGGCCGCATACTCCAGGATTGGCTTTATATATACAAGTATATGTAGGTATACTTATATCCTTAGTATACAAAGTTTTGAAAGATTCCTTACGCAGGGTTCTAAAGGCATTTCTGATGTTAGCCAGCCTCGCATATGCCGCTGATGTTATTAATTGATGTGGGCTTCAGGAGACAGGTTTGGCGTGATATTGACTCCTAGATCTTTCTCTCTTTCCGTTTCATGCAGGACTTTGTCTTCCATTCGGTATTCAGTGTCTGGCCTCCTATTTCCCCCGCCTAGTTTCATTAATTTAGATTTACTTGGTTGAACTTTAGTAACCATTTATTGGACCATTCCTTCAGTTTGTCTAGGTCATCTTGTAGCCTCATACTATCTTCC